TGTGCGATTAGAAAAAAAACAGACTTTTGTAAAATCACATAAACACTTATACATTAAAATAAGTATTAAGAACAGATCGCGTTACAGAATTGTATAGTTAACGTTTGTGGTAAATCAAAGTGTTTTTTTTCCTTTTATTGATATTTCTAGATATATTGTTAACCCTTAAAAACTTGTAAATAAGTTAACATGGCTTTTCTCGTGAAAACACTAAGAGAGATCTGATGCGTGGAATCTTTAAACATTCATAAGAACATAATTTTGTGCCGTCTACAGATACCGTGAAGAGCGAAAATTCATATTAAACAAGGCGCCGTTGATGCACTTCATGTGGAACCAGGACTTTTATAAATTTATAATGTCAAATTAAGTAAGACATAAAATGAAATAAAATGTAGCTTATAATATAGACCTCGATGGAGGCTCTGGCATTCATTACTGGAGCTCCTTACACAGGCACATGCGAGCATAAATAACACTCTCATAAACGCACAGACAAAACACACATACACTCACACTCTAATAAAGACACACACTTACACGCACACCAACACACACTCACACACACACCAAAACTCATACATACACGCACGCACGCACGCACGCACGCACGCAGACAGACAGACAGACAGACAGACAGACAGACAGACACACACACACACACATACATACATACATACATACATACATACATACATACATACCGATACACCACAACTCATTGACGTGTGAAGGTAACAAATAATCAAATATATCGATATACGTATATGTTAGATACCAGTGACATTTACGAAAATTAATGAAGTGCCAGGTCAATATTGTTGGACAATATGCTTAGATATTGTACACAATGTCAAAATATACATATCGTAAGTTGAGCAAAAATTTGAAAATATATCGATGATGATTGGATGAAAACAGTGGAAGGGGTAGAGTGAACTATAAATAAACATATGGTATGCTAATAGAGAGTAAAGTACAACGCATTTTTGACAAAAAAAGTAATGTGGAAAGAGGTCATGAAATTTCCATATTTTGATTGCTATGGAAGAGTATTAAAAGTTATAGAAGTAATTTGCTTGCCCCAATTCAAATACTTAAAAAAAATTCTTATTTTATATATATTTTATGTGTTCAGAAATCTTGGATGAGGTTTTAGTCAATTGGCTGAAATCAATACATTATATGAACAGTTTATTGTTATTTTGTTATCAGAATGCATGTCTTGAAACATAATAAACACTTACATTATAAGTAAAAGCAGCAAAAGGTTTTTTATATAATTTATATATTCCTTACCCCTACCTCCACTTTTTGGGGGCAATTCAGTTTATTCACATAAAAATGCTTATAATTTGAAAACTTGATGGTAAATGTCTTTGAAAAGTTGCAATTGAATAAGTTAAATAGAGTACTTTGATAAAATATTAAGCTTGATCAGATTCCTTAATGTACCCATTACAGGTATCTTACCTTAAAATTTCTAATTTATCTAGATTTTTACTTCATAGGTATTCAAAATTATTGTTCGTATTCACATAATTATGGCCATATGAATAATGTGTGTATTGTATTACCTCACTTAAATGGATATGTTTGCTTTAATAAATGACATAATCAGTTTTTAAGGTGATAAAATTAGCCTTCACCATTTAACATGATAAAGTTACACAATTAATATTTATCCGTAGAAGGGAGCGAAATAATTTATTCAATACATGCAAAGTGACATCTAGATGTTCATCAATTTTTTAAATGGTGTTCGAAATGTTTTGATTAGAATCAAATAGTCACTCAAGAGCAATTAATCATAATTATTTTCTTTCTCAAGTTATTTAAAGTAAAGTGTTTATGTTATTTAGTAAGGTCAATTCAATAATAAAGTTAATGACACGTCTATTGGCATAAAAGTAATTGCGCACGAAAGTACGTAAATTGGAAATCATTGTATCACATGCATATTATTATAATAATTATATACTTAAATAAGTGTTTAAAAAAACCACCAAAAAAAACAGAGCAATTATTTCCCAATTTTGGGTAATTTCCTTTGGGAAGTTGTTTAGTTTGATATTAAATCATTTTTAAATACCCCAACTATTTTTATTATTTTTCGTTAACCCCCAAAAACAAATTTAAGAAGTGGATGGGGTTTTTCCCAACCCCACTATAAACCTGCAAATAATGTTCGAAAAACATACTTTTTTTAAAAAACAGAATAAGGGGGGGAAACCTTTTTTGGGTTTTTTCCGCCGGAACCCAACGAACTACCTACAAGAAGATTTTTTGGAAATTCAAAACTTTTTTCCCCCTCAAAACAGAAAAGAAATTTTTCCCGGGGAGAAAAAATGTGTTTTTACATTAAAAACACATTTTTTTTTAAATATCCCCCAAGGGTTTTTGGTTTGGGTTATTCTGGGGAATCCCCAACCCCCTACTAAAAAGGAAAATTTGGAATTTTGGGAAATATTGCAAATATTCCCCCTTGATAACAAAAAGCTTTTTTACGAAACAATTTTAAGGTTGTATAAAAAAGATAGGGTGTTTCCGTTTACTTTTGGGTTACTCACCCTTTACCTTAAATCGAAAAAAGGAACTTCAGTTTGGGCATTCTCATATTTTATTCTGAACAAATTTGGGTTGGGATTTTTTTCCCAATGTTTTTCAAAATCTTTCTTTTAAAAACTCCCTTTTTTCCCCCTGGACTCAATTCTTTTTAAAGAAAAAATTAAATTTCGTTTAACGAAACTTTAAATTTTCCAACAATTTTAAAAATCTTTTCATTTTTTAAAAGTTTCCAATTCAATGTCTTAAAATATTTAAATCAATTTTTGGGTTCTGGATTAGAACCCAAATTGGAAAAAATAAAAAAAGGGACATTTTTAAAAAAAAAAACTATGTATAGTTATGGTTCTTGAACAATGAACTCTCCTAGTTGGCATCCATTCATATTTCAAGTTTCAAGTCAATCTGTTCAGTAGTCTTCAAGTTATACTCAAGACGAAAATGCGGGACTGAAGGACAGACGGACGGAGGCATGGACGGACAGAGACTAAAACCATGTCCCCGCCGCCTTTCGGCGGAGTATAATACATATATAAACAGCTGGCAAAAATTCAACTGGGACAATTAATCTTTTCCGACATGTTTCTTAAAAAACAGGCTATGTTATAACTTTCTTTTATCATACACATTAATAGAACTTAAAGGGGCTGGCCTCCGAATTTTCACTAAAAATATATTTCCTTAAAATTTATATATGGGCACCGTGCGATCATAAAAAATTCAAAACTCAATAAAATAGACAAAACGAAACAAGGAAATATCTGACCGTGTCTGGATTTGAACCCCTGGACACCATATATTTTTTTTAAAAAAGAAGAATTTCACAGTGCCTGTACTAAGTATGGCGGCAAGTCAATAAACATGCGATATACAGTACTGTAATACTGTCGGGTTAAGGTATAAGAATAAGGAATAAAAAAAATACTATGTATACTGTGTTTACCTGACTTATATTTAGCCAAGAACTAACTTTCAAAGCCTTCTTTATGAATGTTACCAAAATTCTTAAATACGAGAAAATTTTCTTTTTCTGTCATCTGGAGGCCAGCCCCTTTAAAACTTACCTGTAAGGTACATTTTCAATTTTTTGAAAATTTCTCAACTCACAATATGCCACATAATTTTCCCAAATTAAAACCAGAAGCATAGCTGGAAAAGGCCTTGCGTGATTTTTAAAATCAAGGTCATTGTGACATTGACCTGTGGTGCCTGTCCAAAAATCAGTAAGGGTTATCTTCTGGTCAGGGCCTCACTAGCCTCCTCCCTCACTTAATATAAAGACAGTAAATGCCATATCAAGCTAATGAGCCGACAAGGAATACGACTATTGTGCTGATTGTGATTCCGTAAAATCACAGAATTTATTTCGTAAAAACGAAATATTAATTCGTACTTACGAATTAATATTTCGTAATTACGAAATATTTTTTTCATTGTGACGAATATATCGTAAAAGTAATTAATATTTCTTAATTAAGAATTAAATCTCGTAAAAACGAATTCCCGTGAAAATATTACCTTATTTACGATAAGTAAAGAACGATATGTAGATACTTATGCTTCTAAAACAATTTTCAAACATCTAAGATTATGTCAATTATGTATTGCAAATATGTTTCTACATTAGATGTAATCATTAAACTATATGCATTCATTTCTTATTGAAAAAATTGACTAGACTATATTTCTAATTACCTCCCTTTATTAACATGAAGTGTAATTTCGGTAATATCGTTACAAATAATGCTTTTTTGGAACTTAAGATATTGATAATTCTTCATTTGAAATTGAGCATTTTATTTTTGATATAAAACCATAAAGAAATTGAGTTACAGGATCTTTGATATTTACCATTTACTTCTCACACATACAATATGGTATGCTTGCAAAAATTATAAAATGAATATACAGTATAATTTTCATTTCTAATTACTTTATTTATAATTGTGTTAACAGCAGAACTGCATTCTATAGTGCTTTTATTTTTATTTAATCGTGACTGACCATTTACACAGGCAAGTATTTTACACTTTTAAAGGAATTTTGAAGAATTTTTTTATTCAGTGAAAGTTATGCCTCTATAATAATTTACAACACAAAGACTCAAGATAAACACAATTTACAAACATTAAAACTATTAAAATCAAAATGATTTTGGCGTAATAATATGTTTTAAAGTCTAAGATATGCTCACTAATTGATTGACCAACACCTACCATCTTTAATACTTTAATGGGGATTTTGCTTTTTTGACCTCTAAAATACTTAAAAACCTTTATCTTATTAAAAATTACATTCTCTTATAAGCCTTCAAAAATTTTTGTGACTGATGTTTCGCTAAATATTGTCATTTTGCTTTTGACTTTTTGTACAGTGACCTGACAAACTGGAATAACAAAAAATTTAGAACAAGTATAATATAAAGAAGTAATTACAGATCTTTGCATCCCGACCATCCCCACCATCCGGTGCATGTTCTTTTAGATGTCGCATAATATTCCATGCAATATGTATCTGCCAAACTGAAAGAAAGAAAAAGGACGACGTTAGAATATATCTTCATTGCAAAAAGTCAGTCCCATTACAATCAGGTAAGATGAAGGAAATATTGACCTGAAATCGAAAGAAAAAAGAAAGCTTGTCGATGCAAGCACATTTTCTATAACAGTGCTTCCTTTGTTACATGTAACTTATACACACATATTTGATAACAGACTATTTACAAACACGTCTTGTGCTTAATACATTGATAAAAGACAGTTGTATTTAAAATGAAGTATAAAGAAAACCTCTGAACATTGTTAGTACTCATATTATAATAATAATTATTATTATCATTATTATTTTCACTTTAAATGTTTTGTTTATCATTATTTATCTAATTTAATTGTTACCATCATTATGATAATTATTATTGTCAATTAAATTTTATTATTATCATTATTTATTTAATAATAATAATAATAATAGTATAGTACTACTACTACTACTACTACCACCACTACCACTACCACCACCACTACCACAACCACTACCACCACTACCTACACCACCACTACCACTACTACCACCACTACCACTACCACCACTACCATCACTACCACCACTACCTACACCACCACTACCACTACTACCACCACTACCACTACCACCACTACCATCACTACCACCACCACCACTACCACCAACCGACCACTACTATAATACTTTTCTTTATAAATGGCATTTTGGACATTGCATTTTTGTAAGAAGATGTTATTGTAAATTAGTTGTACGTAATTTAGAAAAAGCAAATTGGTTGAATAAGGAATCGTTTTAAACAACAAGTTATCTTTCTAAAAAAGATACTTTCGGCCCGAACTAAAAACGATTGTTGCACTTGTTAATATATATGTATCGAGAAATTTGACATTCTTTTTCCGAATAACTTTCATTTATAGGACACTGGTGCTGTAAATAGGGTTTACAGTTTCAGGCAAAAACATGCGAAAAAATTAAGGTTTTATCATCGCCAAGGATTTTTACAGTTTTGATAAGACGGCCATTAATGTATGAGGAAATTATAAGGCATGGAGACAAATTTCCCCAACGTTGAAATGGAGCGAAAAGTTTCTTGGCTAGAATTGTTAAAAATTCTTGGGCTATTGTTTATCTATTTAAAAATACTTAAAAAGGCGGGGCAAAGACTTTAGGAAAAAAAATAGGCATATCAAAGAAGAATTTCTTTAAACTTGGCCCCAGCCAGGACCACCAAAATACATTTCAACTTTTATTAAAACCCAACTAGGAAAAGTAACGGGGGTTCATTAAAAGTGGTCTTCTTTACAGGACGTAAGATTGACAATTTTTTTAAATGGCTTCTGCTGGAGGTATAGTCCGTATAAACAGAAAAATAAAGGATTTTTTTTCGTCTTTTCCATTCACTATATTCTTCATGGGTTAGGGCATGAAGAAAAGAATAAAGTATTTTACCTTTTTTTCCCAATCTGCGCACATGTTACTTGACAGACGAAATCCTTATTTCCTTTATACGTCTAAATTTATTTAATCCCAACAAAGAATATAATGCATTGCGCTAAGCATATTGTATTTTTAAAATAGCCAAGGTTTTGTCGTAGGTTTAAAGTTCTATGATCAAAATTAAGAGACAATAAATTGTTTAAGCCTTTCCCCCTTTATTACACTTAGGGCCAATACGCCTTAACCCATTAAACCGATTTTACACGCCTTTTTAAACGCCTTTTTCAGCACCCGCCCCCCCCCGTTTATTGGGTTTGATCTCAAAATGGTGAAAAATGGTTATTTAAACAAGGCATCCCAACAGTTTTGGGAATTTCGTTGTTTGAGAAAAGATGTGTTTTAAAAAAAATGACCACTTTTTTCCGGCGCGCCCCCCCAAAACAAAAGATTAGTCAGGGGTTTTTCCCAGGGAAAGGGGCAACATCCCCTTTTTCTGTTTGGGGGGGGGGGGTTCTTGCAAGGGGGCGGCAGTTCCCCTGAATCGCGCCAAGGGGAAATTTTTTTGGACTTCGATAGCTTTAAAATTGACCCCAGATCAAAGTTTGATTAAGGTATTGAAACAGGGTTTTTATTAAAATTTTATACTTATGAATTGTAACGGGAGACTTTTCAATGAAAACAGCCATTTTTCACAAAATGCTCATGAAGTAATGAAAAAACTAAAAAAATCTATAAAACAACAATTTTTCTTCAAATTTATATGTTAGGCCATGTTTAAACATGGTAAAAAACGCGATTTTGGGTAATTTCAGGTATTTTCATCATTTTCTGTTTTGAAAAAATAAAAAAAATTAAATGTTATCCATGTTAGGCGCCTGTTTAAAACATGGGAAGAACGCGATTTTGTGGGTAATTTCAGGTATTTTCATCGCATTTTCTGGATTAATGAAAAAACTAAAAAAAATTACAAAACAACAGCTTTTTCTTCAAAATTTATAATAGGCTAGGGCCATGTTTAAACACGGAAAAATGCGATTTTGGGTAATTTCAGGTATTTTCATCATTTTCTGTTAACCCAATACCCGATATACACGCCTTTTCAACGCCTTTTTCATTCCCCCCCTTTATTGTTGTCTCAAATAGTGAAAAATGCCTTATTTAGGCCCTCAACACTTGTTTTTGTTTGAGAAATTTGTTTAAAAAGTGACCACTTTTTCGGCGCGGCCCCCAAGCAAAAGATACATCAGGGGGTTGCCAGAAGGGGGCACATCCCCTTCTGTTTGGGGGGGGTTTGAAGGGGGCGGCAGTCCCCCTCATCGCCAAGAAAATTTTGGACTTGTGAGAAGCTAAAGATGACCCCAGATCGATTCATAAGGTAACGTGTAATCAACGCTGAAAAGCATTTGACTCTATCTCAATCCATTGAGAAGTTGCAGCACTTTGAAATAAATTTTGATGGGAAAAATCAACGCAAAATAGTGATTTTTGGCAATTTTAGATGTCCCCTCGTTGCCATGGTAACAGGAAATTTAAGCCTTGGCATGTTGTTACAAAGGCAATGATTCAGTCAACATTTGTGCCAAGTTTGATCAGTATTGAAGCAGTTTTTATAGATTTATAGCAATTTGAACTTGTAACGGGAGACTTTTCAATGAAAACAGCCATTTATCACAAAATGCTCATGAAGTAATGGGTTAATGTTACGATCACAACAATACAAATGAAATTGTTAAAATTCATTGCCTAACAAAAGAAAAGCGTAGATCAAGTGACATCTCATCAAAATATTGCCAATACTGTGGCGACAGTGTACATAATATAATGTATTCTATCTATTATACAATTGTCATGAAAGGTCATTACAACTTATGAATAAACCTTTCACCAATGTATCATTCAGATTCTAGTTAGACTCTATTTAAAGGGAATAAAGCTAAATATAATTATTGCAATATTTTTATAAAATTTAAAAAGGTAAAATTATGTTGTTTAATCTTATGTTCGCTTCTCAAAAGAATTATAAACTAGAATGTCTCTGTTATTTAACACATGTGGAAACTGTGAGACAGAACATAATGTTCCGGTTAAAAATATTGTACCGTTATTTTAAGGCCCGTTATGCCCGATAAGGCGCTTATTTTTATTTCGCAAAAGCTTTTTATTTTTGTAATTCTGTTATTCTTTCCAAATGAATGCTAGTAAGCCATTTACCCTAAGCATTTTTACTTCTGTTGCTTTTTTGCAATAAGTATAAACTTAGATACAGTTGTTAGTATTTTGTATTGAAATTTAAAATTTAGCAATGATTTCGTGCATGTGAATTCGCTCGAAAGGAAATATACTGACACATTTCTTTCACATAGGAATTTTGAAATTAGTGTTTTTCAGAATTTATAAACGGCAAATATAAATCTTTAAATACTCAGAATGTTATTTTTTTCAATAAGTGGTCATAGTTTATATAATGAATTATAGCAGAAATGAGGCTTCTGCACAATACAATGTATTCTATTTTTATGTTGCGTTTTGTTTTGCCTTATGACATAATAACATAAAATATTTCTTTTGTTAATTAAAAATATTTAAGTACAGCATAAGTTATAAAATCACATCAATTTTCAAAGATTAAAGTTTCAGTGTACTTAATATGCTAACATTTCATTTTGATTAACAAGAATGAATATACTGAAAAACATGTATTACCTGAAGCAAACTGCAATCAAGAGCAACTGCAAAACGACAGCATCCATTTCTAATATCATTATTTTGCTTCTGTTTAGATGTCCGTTGTTCTCCTTAAACTGTTCATTCATCGCTGATCAAGCAATAGAAGTGTGAGATCAAATTTGACATAGGAACGCATAACAACAAAGCTATCGATTGGCTAAAATATTCTACCCAATAAGATATAGGCAAAAGCAATTCCTCTTGCGATAAAGGATTGTAATTCTAATTCAAAGGCAAAGGATGAGATGACGCCAAAGAAGTAAGTCTATATTTTCTACATTTAGCTTTTAGATAAAAGATTTGTTTGATTTTATTATTATAAGTGCTAATCAAAAATTACAATTGCATGTTGTTTTATTTTTTAACATAGTTTATACTAAGTTTGAGGTGTTGCAACATTTTTGAAAGTTCGTGCAAAAAAAATAATCCAAACAAAATGTTTTGATTCTAATTGTCCCTTGTTTTAATAGGTATACGAAAATAATACAACTAATTCAGACACTGATTTACACTTAAATGATCATAAAACATTTAATTGTAATACTGGACATTAAAAAAATAATCTATTTTAAATAAATGGACAGAAAAGGGGAATTGAAGCGTAATTATTAAAAACAACAACAAAAACATTCTGTAGTCTATGCATTGTATAATATATCTACCTTTTTTGTGCAGATAAAAAGATATATATACCTTGCCATTTAATTTGTTTATCTTATCTGCATTACATTATGCTGCTGAAATATAGGGTTTTACACTATTGAAAAAGAAAATAAAGTTAATATAGAATGTCAAAAAATATAATTATAAAAAAAAATTGAACATACACGTTTTCTTTTTCAAACTTTAGTAATTATATATTATAATTGTATTTTAATTGTATAACGATTAAGTTACTTAATTCTTCAAGTTGTAATATTTTCAAGTTATTTGTTATTACGCTTAAAACATATACAGATACAGTGAACATGGAATCAACACAATATTTTAGTCATATTTTGTTAAAGCTGGGTTTAATTCTTTCCCAGGCTGTTGTAGCTGGAATCATGACATCAACAGATCGCGGATTCAGCCTTGTGCTGTGTTTGCTTGTCTGCACAGTTTTTGTTCCAACAGTGTTAACGTCTTTCATCAATTATGCTCCGGGATTTGAATATCTGTACAATCTCAACTCGGTCATTGAGCTTCGAGAAGTTCAAACATTTCTCTCCACAGGGCAGGTAAACGTAACATACTGATTTGCTTGACGAATCATTTTAGCGAATATATACTTATACTTGTACAATGAAAGCATTTGTCATACTCTTGTTATTCCACATACATTTCATTTGATATTAATTTCCTTTTTCAATCGAATATTTCATTGAAATGATTGGATGGAAGGAAAAACATACCCAAGACTGCTCGTGCTCATGACTCTACCAATGGTGCCCCTTTTCCTCCCTACTAAACTTATTTATACAAAATGGCACATATGGTTTTAAACTCCAAATTACTATTTGTTTGACGATTTTCACCTGAAATTAAAAGAAACACATTATCAAATAAAAATGAATTCAAAATACTATCATCCAAGTTTCTAACTTAATTATTTTATTCCCTTATAAACTTATCTTCCAAAATATTGACCATGATGAAATAAGTACAAATAACTGTACGAAATCTTTTTCAGATCGGCTTTGTTAACATAGCAGAAAAGGATGACTACCAAGAGTTGCTCCTTGTAGTACACAAATTTACATTTAGCCCGAAAGGGCACCCAGGTGAATAACTTGCTTTCGCTTAAATTTAAATGTTTGTTAACTTTGTTTTGTCACATACTTTTTTGCTCAGCATAAGTAGGTCAAAGGAGCCTAGCTCTAAGATGTTTTCAAAAAGTACCACCTTGTGATCGCAAACAACATTTATACAAATCATCCCCTTGGGGTCAAAATTTGCAAGGGCTTCACTTATTTCACATGGACTTAAAGGAAAATACATTTTAGTCTTAGTTTGTAAAACTAGAATGCCTAGAGCATAGATATTTGGCATGCAGTATTTCTTAGTGGACATCTACCAAACATATGTAAGTCTTGTACCTGGGGTCAAAAAAGGCTACGTCCTATGGGTCACTTACATAGAATTGTTAAGCAAAATATCACAAGAAATTTTCTTTTCTGAAATAACAAGGCCCAGCGTTTACATATTTTGAATGTGCCATAGCTTTGTGGTCCATAATTTAAGCTATATAAATCATGCCTTATGGGTCAAAATAGTCACTTCGTTCACGAGTACGAGTAATTGTATATATATATAAATTGCATGTAGCGTTTCCTGTTAAACATCTAAAATCATAAGCCATGCCCCTTGGGTTAAAAATGGACCCTCCCCTGGGGTCACTTAGTTTACATAGACATGTATGATAAACATTTTCGTTTTGCTGAGACATTTTGCAAGTAGCATCCCCTTGGGTCCTTTTAAAATATATAAATCGTGCCATTTGGGTCAAAATTGGTCCCCGTCCTTGTGGTCACTTCGTTAATATACTTTTACAGGAACATTTATGTTTCTTTTGTTAATGCCTTCTTTTGTGTATTGGCAAGAAATTAGATATTTGGCATGTAGCATTTCCTAGAGGCCATCAAAAATGGCCCATCCCTGGGATCACCTTTTTCTCCCATATACTTGTATTAATAATAAAATGTATTAAAAGTTTTATTTTCTGAAAGTACAATGCATAAGCGCACATTGCTTAGATATCTTCCTCGTAACATCACCTTGTTGTCCTTTTCAAAAGTTCTATCAATCATGTCCCTGAGATTTAATTTGGCCCAATCCCTGAAGTCCCTAGTTTCCATTTCTGTCCTTTTGTGAACCCAAAATGCCTACAGCCTAGATTTTAAGTACAATGCCCAAAGCTAAGATATTTTGCATGAAGCATATATTTACCTGGTGGTCCTCTATAAAATTATATTAATCATGCCTTCCGCCCTACCAAGGGGCACTTAGTCCAAAAAGACTTAGAAGGGGAAAATACATTTATGCTTTATTTAGTGAAACAACATTGCCTATAGCTTTGATATTTGGCAAGTAGCATTGCCTAGCGGAAATTTACAATATTATATAAATCATACCCCAGCGGTTAAAAATGGCCCAGCCCTGGGATCATAAAGTTTACATAGACTTGTATAGTAAAAATGTTTTAAAAATCTTCTCTGTAGAAACTACAATGTACAGCGTTTAGACATTTTGTGTGTAGCACAAAATTGCAATCCTAAACTTAAGTTATATGTATATTCTGAAAATTTAATGCAAAGAGCTAAAACATTTTCCGTTCCCATCCCGGGGGTCATTTAATGAACATATACTTAATCATTAAAATGTCTGTAAAACAATAATGCCAAGAGCTTAATTATTTGTCATGTAGTATCACCTTGTGGTCCTCTAAATAAATTCTATAAATCATGCCCCTGGTGTCAAAATAAGTTCCTGTCCCGAGGATCATTTAATTCATATAGACTTATACAAGACAATACATTTAACTCTCCATATCGATATGTGAAATTTCAATGCCAAGAGTATTGGTCATACAGCATAATTGTAATAGACATCTCGCAGAACAAGAGATTTGTAGAATAACTGACTAAAGCATTGAAGAATTTAAACTGTAACCCTTTCTAGCAATGTATTTCAGGTAAGTGCTCCTGAGTCATAATGTTCCTACTGTTATAAACTAAGTTAAGATAAACATCATTTAAAAGTTATGCCATTTCCCCCACTTTCTTTTTTTTAATATATAGAGTTGTTAATGAATTGTTAACTTACCTTTTTGCGTTATCATTTTTACTGATTTGTATATCATTGTTTTTTGTCAGAGGCAGACAATCATCATCAGAACTTCTCTAAATGGTAAGTTTGAAGACAACGTTTTTTCATATAAAAAGTAACAGAAACTCGCATGCCTTTAATTTTGAAGTCATAATTTACCGACATACTTGTATAGCGCTTAATTGATATATATCGTTGTAATCTCTACTGTATGTATAAAACTTATTTTGAGAGGCTTTTAATTCAGAGCTTATAAAGTTCATATGAAAGCATAAATTAAATATTGTAAAAATTACATTATTGATCCTTTTCTAATGTTTATGATTTTTATTCTAAAAACGTGAACAGTTTTGTAAATTCTACGCCATTGAAATAACAGAACCATAATTTAAGAATTTGTTTAACCCAGGTTCTCCTTTGAGATAAGCCGTCGAGGTGAAATACGAAAGGTTTATCACCCGGCTGATGAAGACGATGAGGTTCTTTTGATTAAGAAAGGATTTGCTGGAATGCTTTCAGCTAAACTTCATCATCGTAATGAGGTAGTAGATAACATTTTGTAAAGTTAAACATAAGTACAGAAAGAAAACATATAGCATGAGGTTTTTAATTCAGATACTTAGAATTATTTTCATTGGGTTAATTAATCCTTTTGGTGCACTAACAACTCAATGAGGACTCATTTAAAGCCGGAGCCAAGGAGAGGGATTAAGTAAGTTCGAGGGCTTCTTCAAATAGTAAAACATAAATTTCGAACATAGCCATTCTTTAAGTAATAATACTGAATGGATGCGATAAATCAATAGGATTGACATTAACAAGTTAACAGAATTAACATGTCATTGTAAAAAATTAAAATTGAATACTGAATTAACTTAAAAGAGTATTAACATACAATCTTTAAAAAAGTTGTAAAAATTAGAAAACTTGGAGGTCGAACACATCTTAACAGAACAAATTCTGTTCAAATATAAACAACCCTTCCCTGTTTATAACTTTATTGTTCATATATCATTTCTTATTTATCAGGTCTTTGGCTAAATTTCTTATCAATGCATGATGGGTGAACTTAATTTTATCTTGGTATTTTAATATTAAAGGAAGTTGATTTAATATAAATTGTTTTAACAAATAATATGTTTTTATGTAGGAAAATTATTTTGGACAGTAAATAAGTACATTAACTTCCGATTCCACATTGTTACAACCAAATGGACAAATACATTAATTTTCAGACATTGTCTCATAACAGCCGCTTTCAATACGTAGTGGGGTTTCATCAAATCTGATCTGAAATGCAGATCTGAGTGTAGGTCATAAACATTTTAAAATATTGTTCTACACAATAATCGGACTTACCGGATGTGGTTTATAAACTTCGAAGGATCATGTGTCATAGTAATTTTTCTTCTGTCTACATGTTTAGTTTCAACCTTTTCCGTTGTATGCTTGCTTTCCTCTGATGATCACATCTGACGGACCAAGCGAAAGATCTTATAATGGACAGTTCTTAAAGCCTTCTGAACTGAAATGTTTTAATTTTCGTCTTTTGTCTTGATTCGTTTGGGTCGTTGTAGGTGATTTTCTTGTTGCTTTGCCTTCGAATTTTGGCATCGAGTACATTTTGATGATCATTGGGCTGTACTTTTTTGTATTATTTACATGATCATACGATACATATTCTTTAGAATTTGGAGATATTTGACCAGAATCCTAGCCTAACTAAAATAATTTGTGAAAAATGATATAGAACGGACTCATCCCCACCCGCTTAACTAAAGCCAACCTTCAATTAACAGCAAAACAAGATAAAATGATCTGTTCAGTATCAATTAACGATTCTTACTTTGTAATGTTATTTAAATTTTACTTTTTTAGAGACTAAATAAATTGCCTTCAAAATTATTTCAACATTGGTCAAATAAAATTGATATTTCATTTTAGAATATCATATAAGTATTTTTAATATCCTTTATTAATTTACAAAATTGGACTGATAAATGGAATCACACTTCTTTGGCTAAAGTTTCATTCAAACTCGACTGTAAAAAAACTGGGAATGGTGTTCTTGCATGTTAAAAACATTTTATTTGCAAATAAGTGAACTATAAATTTTGAATTCAGGAATACACTGAATTTAAGAAAACATGAGTATGCATAAGTTTGTTTTTCGATATTTACCTCTTTTGATTTGATTCACGGGAGGCAAATAACACACTTTAATGTACCATAAAGAAAGATGGTCTTGCTATAACATAAAAAAACTAATTTCTTTTGCACGGGCTTGACGGACTTATAAAGCTTTGCAAATATTATATTTTTTCAGGTTGATCACGAAAGAAACCAACAAGGCTGGGGATACAAAACAAACGAAATTGGAAGAGAAGGTAAAGATATCCAATTTTAGATGCATGGATGTTATATCCAGTTTATAGTAACGATTGCGTTTGGCTCATTGACGTTAATGAAAATTTATGAAAAATGTAAATGCACCATGAACAGTTTCGATAATAACTGTTTTCAATTTTTCTTTTCCCTTTTTTCCGAAGAGTTTAATAGCCAAGCTCAATGTTATCAATACTTGACACTAACTTTAATTTTGGTATACAAATCTGTCTCTTCAAGTAATAATAAGCAACGTTACTTTTTGAAATACAAAAGTCTTTTTTAGAAATGCAGTGTCATTTCTATAAATTCAAATCAATATTTATCAGGACCTCACAATGCCTCATATACCGTCCGTAAAACATCAAAGGGTTATGAATACATAAAGACAAGAAATTCTACACAGATCCAAGCCGTAAATGGAAACGGAACGTATGCAAAGGTAAAGAGTAGATTTTGATACATACAAATTACTCATGAAAATAAATAAAATATTACAATTTCAAAAAAATATTCACTTAGACTGCCTCCGCCGCTGAATAGAAAGACTACATAGAACACTTCAATCGTTTGGTTAACGAGTTCTTTTCAAATGATATGATCGTGTTTTTATACTTAGTCTAGTGTTATGCTCTTTATCTCCCTGTTCCAAATAAAAAGTAGTAATTTTCAATTAATATTCATCGATTTTGATAACGTTTATTTATTTGTTGTATAATAAATCGACAAAAGACCACAGTATTTATATAACCTATAGAAGTGTATTGCAAAAAAATAAGTAACTAAACACAAAGTAATTCAATGTACAGACCGTGTATTTTAATAGAAATGGTTCTATTGTACCTTTCAGATTTTACATTTCAATGAAGACTTAAACACAATTCATAGCGTGATGATAGAGGAAGATATTAACATTGACTTTTCAACTAAAGCTGGGTATTAAATATAGCTGATATTGAAAAATATAGCACATAATATACTAATGTTACCAATAAATAAGAAGTATTGTGACATGCAATTTGCTTGCCATTCCATAATCATAATTCCTTGGCCTAACTGACAGGAAGAAAAAATATCATGAAATATTTTACTATATTTTGTAAATCAAAATTTCTATTCTCTACCTTAGAATGTATATATATATATTTAGCCGGTAAAATGTTTTTATTTATATATGTTCTGCTTATTATTCACTCGAATTCCTACGTTCGTACCCATTGTACCTGAGGTGTTGCCTTAACCGGTTGAGGCATTAAAATTGTATTCACCGTTTTACCCTCGTAAGAGGCGACTTAATGGGTTCAAATTTTTGGAATCTATGCATCTCTTAGCTCCAGCAGGTGAGGTGTTTTGACTCATGATGTTGCTTTAAGTTTGTGACAGCCGAGGTAAGGAAAAATTATGATTCCTGTTCGACACCATATGACCTTAATTGTGTTGGTGAGCCGAAAAATCAAAAGAAAAAAAAACAAAAACAATACTATTTCCATCCATCCCGTTTTCGTAGTTTAATGTTTTGAAACTTTGCCTACCTGACAAATAATACTCGGTATTACTATGGCAATAAGATGTGTGTTTTAATTGTAAAGTCATTTCTTTAAAAGTGTAAAATAACTTTGGGGCATGAAATTGCTATATTTCATTGTTCATTTGCCGTTGGAAATCACATGCTTATTTTTCTTATGTTATCTATACAGATATGAACCTTTTCACGCCATGAGACCAGTTCATGCAGTGTCAGGATTTTCTAACATGGGTTCGTATGCTGTCTATTTTTCCAAAATGTATTTATCTTATAAAAATAACTATAATAACTAAGCACTCAATTGACCCCTTAAAGGCACTCTACTGAGGTTTTTTAACCATATTTGTATACCATTTCATGTATGTTTAGACAATTAACTTGTTTGTTAATTTTTAAATCATTCCCTATTTTTTCAGAATCACCATTTTCATTGTGCAAAATGACCTAAAGTGAAAAGCGTTGCATCGTTTCACTTGATTTCTATACGAATTAATAATTTTCTGGTTTTAGGCTTTTTGATCTCAGTGGAGTTCCTTTAAACTTACCCAAATTAAAATTTAATCTTTTTTATGTATTTTATGAAGTAATAAAATAGACGTTTCTTGTCCAAGAGTTCCAAGATGTGAAGCATGTCAAACAAGAGTTCTTCAACTAAATTTTTGCGGAACCAAAATTCACAGGAAAAAAACCGACAAGCGTCTGAATCAAATAACAATATATCGCATTGAAGAACTGCCCTCTTTTATTTACATAGCTAAATAAATTATGATTGAGTATTATTTTGACGGAGGTTGGCGTGGCCGAATAATAGAGGTCGTTGACTTCAAATCAATAGCCACTAATCGCTGTGGGTTCGAATCCATCCAGGGACTTTAGACTCTTTCATGTGAAGAAACAATCAAGCTAGCTTACGGGACATGGTGGTTTTACTCATGGCAAGTTTGTGCTATAAATACTGTACAAGTTAATTAAGCTGTAAAAATATTAAATGTCCTTTATAGTTTTGGTACACAAGTACTGGTACTAGTGTCAAATAAATTATTGCTAATTTTTAAATTATATTCATCCCCGGTCTTAATCTGTTCAATGAATTTCAGCATTATTTGCATGCTTTATTCAACTTTCACTCTATAATGGAAATTCTTATTAATTAATTGCATACTTTAAGTAATTAATCACAATTTTGCTTATCATTTCTTTATCATTTAAGGTATATTTATGCAACAAGAATCAAATTCTTTTTCACTGATATATTATTACCAAAATTAATCTTAGTTCAATACAATGACTTTATAAAGCTGACTTGCTATTTTAGGTTGTTTTCTATGCCTTTTGTGATTAGTAATTTTATATTTTAAACTTTACTATATCACTGTTTTGAAGCAAGGACATTTATAAAGTTAAGAGTCATTTTCATTTCTTTAATTTATTGCCTTTTAATCAATAGCTTCTTTCAGCGAAGACTTAATGAGGCACCTGCATTGCGTAATTTTATCTTCATGCTAATTTACCTTCTATTTTTGCGTGTCAAAACGCCTTAGTTGACAAATTACTATCTCAAAGCCATTTCTATAATTGAATTACTTTTTGTGATTTTTGACACTTTATCTGACACACCCGCTCTATTGTTCGTGGCGTGGGGTCTTTTTTAGATTGATCAGTCATACAGTCTTTCTTTTGCACGTACACAGGACAAACCCGATTATGTAAAACTTGTGAAAAGAGAAACCTGTCAACTGAAACCTGAAATACTAGTCAACTATATGAGAAGGCATTATATTCACAAAATGAAAACATGTATGCCCTTATACACTATATACCATTATATGACATAATTAAATCAACATCTTTAAAAAATATTTACGTAGAGCCGATGAAACCTAATTCAACTTTGTACTTTTAATATTTAGATTATCCGTTCCCTGTCGCAAAATTTCGAAAGGAATCCATATTTGTTAATTGCATATCGGCCAGTGCACACGTTTGACAACAAAATAAAATTACAGATAGCCTACTTCCACTTTGGACCCTATTAGTGAAATCAAGCAAAACTGACATTTCGGAATCAACTAAACATTCAAAACATAATACCCACGTAGCTTGGTTACTAAAAGTGTAGGATTTTGGGTAACAATTTCTAGCTAGAGCATTCCTCAGAAAACTTTTAAAAATAGAACCATTTTCATTACATCTACTCTTGTATTGTTTTATGTGCTGCAAACAATAAAAGAATATGAAATAAAAAGTCTGTGTGAGACTCGAACCAACAACTGCTTTCACACATGACAAGCATTCTACCCCTGAACCACTGGGTAATATGAGTTCTTCATGTATGAAAATTTAATATTGATAAAATTTGGAATCTCCAGTGAAAAGATACATATGTTTTCATGCCAGCAACATTGTTAGATTTTAAATTATTTATATCTCTGCATTTTGTTTCGCAAATGCACCTTCGTTCATTTTTGAAATAAATACATGAGCGATTTGTTTCCTTTTTACTTTTTGTAGTTTTCTAACCCAATCTATAATTCTCGGGTGACCACGCTTTCGCTTTGGCTGAGATGTCATTATTAAAATGAAAGGGATAAATGAAACGATTTTTTAAGAACCGCCGACCATAAAATATTTTGGTAAATTATCCGTCCGTATCTTTTAATTTCTTAGCCATCAAAGTAAAATGTCTTTATAAATGGCGATAATTAAATGTTTTTAACACAAACTATTACTTATAGCCTTTATTTATGTATTGACATTGGCAAGTATTATCACGTTAATAATTGGTAGTGTTAAATAACAAGTTCATAACAGTTTCTTTGGTACGTTGCCATACTGATTTTATTGGACTAGTACACGTTTGGCCTATTTTTGACTATATTGGCAAGAACCTCCTCTAGTGTTAATTTAACAGCTGTGTTCTCGTTAAATAAAAAATCAGTATTGTTAATTACAAAATATAATAATATCAAGTGACAACTGTACGTATAAAAGTGTATTTAAGATAATTATACATAATCGAAGAATATATATTAACAGAAAATGTTCATGTAAACCAAAAATTTATAGGTCACCGATAAATATAAACTTCAACGAAAATGATATATATTCAGTTGTTTTTCATTTGTAATACTTTTGGAAACTTCTCTAGCTATTGTTTTGAACACATATTTTGCATTTAACTTCCCTTTAAAAGTGATTATAGAACAAGTGGACTTGCCCAAACAGACATATACTTTTATTCAAGAAATACTTCATTTTCGTGAATGTATAATTACTGAAGCTCTAGGACCTATTAAATATCTCGCCGTGCAGTCTCAGGCTTACACTGTGTTCTGGTGTTTCTGCAGATGGTAACACTTTAACACTTTATTTTCTTACAGGTTTTCCAACTGTAACAGCAAGTTCTAAAGACAAGCTAGAATTTGTCAAGAAAAGAGATTTTACAATTGAGTTTGAGAGGCCTGCCGGTACTCTTTATTCAAGTATTCACCACGTGAAAAAGGTATGTTTATTTGCAGTCTTAAGCATAGCCGCACTCATTCCACTTCATTCCTAAAATGTTATGATTTTGTACTTTGGTAACGTCGATTTTTAGCAAAGTGGATAAGGTCGCTGTATATTCATCATTTATCCATCACAACCATAGGTTCGAATCCCATCAAGGACTTTGTATTTATTCATGTTATGAAGCTATTCAGCTCACTTACGGAAGGCCGTTGATTCTAATCAGGTGTCCGCTCATGTATGAAATTATGCACGAAGAAAAATGGTGCGGTAAATAGGACAGGTAACATTCAGCACTTCATTAGGGATACGATTACACATAAATCTTTACTGTTAACTTTACACATAAATCCGTAAAATTTACACTTAAAATTATAATAAAATACAGATTAATGTGTAATAACAGATTAAAATGGTTTTCTTTCAGATTAAATCGTAATTTAACAATTTAAAATGCAAATGTTTACAGTTAAAATGTTAAATAAACAGTGTAAAATATGAATTTTACCCATTTCTGTGTACGTCTAACGCTTTTTTGTGTACATTTGACAGACAAAATTTGAAAGTTTTAGTTTAAAGTGTCAAAGTGACATATTAAGATGTTATTTTTTTCAATCAAAATATTTTTTTTTAATACTTTAAAATGTTAATTCTACACATCAATGTTGCGCTAAAACTCTTCAATGGACTTATCTCAAACACATCTACAATGAAATTGTCTCATAGCTTTGATTTAAAAGGCCTTAAAACTAATTTTAAAGATTGTAAGTGAGAACAAATAATAGTTACACGAGTATATATTTCGTAAAAATGCTTAACAAATTCTTCAGACAATAACGTGTATGTGCATGTTGTATTTTTTATTGCAGATAAAAAAGCGAGCCCTTTACAAAACAAAAAGTCAAGTTAAACTCGCAGAAACATATATTACTGGAAATCTCACGTGCATACGACATCAACCAGAAAGAGGTCAGAAACTTTTTACTAAAAATTATGCAGGAATAATTTTTATTATAAGGTTGTTTCTAAAACATGAGTTGAATGAAAAGACAAAAAATCTTAAAATGATTAAAGTGATTGCTCACGTTACTTAATTATCATGATCGCTTCAGTCGAGTATTTACTATTGTTGATTCCGTATTAAGTAACTTTACATAAAAATGTTAACCTAACACATACCATTTTTAACAATAGGAAATCATTTTTTGCCCAATGGTTTAAAGCGTGACTTTTTCATTTGTAAGGGGTGATTGAGATTTTTTTCTGATATGTTCCATCTTTTTGTTACTTTTTACAATTTCCTTGAGTCAAGGGTTGGTCCCCTAGAGTATGTTACAAACCGAAATGGTTTCTCATTAAAAAGTCTAAAATCGTTTCTGATTGTCAAAATATTTGAAAAAGAGAATATCCTCGATTTTGGTTTATTCCTTATTTTGGCATTCCGTCAAAACTCTGGTATCATTTAGTTCCCGCGTTGCGTATTTGTATGAAATGAAATTTGAAATAAAAAGAACGTAACAAAAGTTTATGAAACTTGAGAAAAAAAAAGCCTGATTCTCAAGCAGTCTGTTTTGCGACAAAATCCTCGGGAAGTAGCTTATGTGGCAAAACAAGTTACGCAGGAAGTTAAGGAAAATACCCTTTTCCTAGTAATCCCTAGTAAACCCATTTCATAGTAAACACGTAGTCAGCTTGTCAAGATGACGCAAGTCTTCCAGAAAAGAGGCAGGACTTAGAATGGGCCGCTCCCTAGGAAAGAAACCAGTATTTGAGATATCCGGTACCCAATAAAGCGGCAAGTCTTAGAACTGGTCGCTTTCAAGCACAGAAGCAAGTTTAAGAAAAGACCGCTTTTTGGGAAAGAAGCAAGTCTAAAAACGGGTCAATACCTAGAAAAGAAGCAAGCCTTAGAGAAGTTAGCTTCCCAGGAAGGAAGCTAGTCTCAGAGAGGTCCGCTAATAACGGAAGAAGCACGAAGTGATGTTCATTGTACATAGTGAAGCAAGTCTAAAAGTGCAGCAAGTAAATGAAGTTCAAAAGTCAATTACTGCAGCAAGTCTACGTTGCACAGCAGGTCCAGGTTGTTTAGCAAGTCCAAGATATGCAGCAAAGCAAGATATTGCAGCAAGTCAAAATTGTGAAGCAAGTCCAAGTTGAGCAACAAGTCGAGGCTGCGCAACAAATTCAGAATTTGCAGCAGAAAGTCTAGGCAGTGAAGTGTGTACAAAGCAAATCTGTGTTGTGCAGCAGGTCCCAAACTGCAGAAGGCTAGGGTGATTTTCAATATTGATCCTTTACTAGATGGTCACAATTACCGCTCAGAATATTCATAAAATGATGAAATTTAAGCATTACAAGTTCGGGCTCGTCTGAGATTACTTTTAACGATATCTTAATTGCATGTATTACGTTGAATGGTTCAGAATAGGGATGAAGGTAATATTAATCTTTGGCGAAATCTTGTCGTTCGTTAAAGAGAAGGAAGAAAAGTGCATAGCCAGAGAGGAAAGAGCTCGTTTGCATGAGAACGAAAGGAGACTATTTGACATTAGGGAAAGACAGCCGGGTCATGACTTTGAGCAGATTTCTATTAGGGAAAGGATCCGAAGTATTTGCCTTTTGTCTATGATACTTTGAAAAGGACGATTCTGAAAAGGTATCAATTGAATGAAGACGGTTTCAGTTTAAATTTCCGACAAAGCCGACCGTTTTCAGGTAAATCGGTTTTTCCAATTTGTTGAGAGGTATACACGCTTTTTTCCCAGATGATCTGATTTGGCTGCGATAAAGAAGAACCTTCATGACAAAAGTGAACTCATAATTTAAGAACGATTTAAAGTTGCTCCACAGATTTAGCTGTAGCTATTTAAGAAAGAGTGCCGATTACAATAACAGACCTTACCCTCCTTGCAAAGTAGTTCAGTGAAGCTCATATTGGGGCGCCCTCTGCATTTAAATTAATGTGATCCGTTGCTTAAACATGGCCAGTTAAACAAGCATTTTACATCAAACAGGACATCCAGCAAGAGAATTTAAAAAGAAAAGCAGAAGTCTTTATTTGTAATTATTTATTAAGTGCTTTATTTGCAACGAAACAAGGCATGTTTTTAGCTCACCTGAGGACAATGTCCTCAAAGGGAGCTTTTGTGATGGCCCATTAACCGTCGTCCATCGTCCCTGCGTGCGTCCGTGCTACAATAATTTTTTAAACAACTTGTCCTCATAAACCACTAAGCCAAAAGTGTCAAAACTTTGCAGGGATGTTCCTTGTATAAAGCAACAATTAAATTCCATGCAGAACTCTGGTTGCCATAGCAAACGAAAGAAAATACTTCAGAAAAAAATCTTATTTTAAACCCCAAAGAGCTAGAGCTTAGATATTTAGCTTGAAACATCTTCTAGTGAGTGTCTACACATCGAAACCTTGCAAGAGCAATCATGTATTTTCTTGGAATATCACAGTAAAGATAACGTTCAGGGTTAAATTGGATCTTAAAAAATTTATAATGTTAACAACGGGACGCAACATTTACATCATTGTGCTATTTTTGTTCAAAACAATCTTTCAGTCGTTGACGAAAAGCTAAAATAAATATGTCTATATTTTCAATATCTTGTGCAAGCCATACATATCCAAAACCATAAGTATAAAGTAGTGATTTTACTTTAGATGCCAAACAGTTTTCGACCATGTTTGGACTTAAAATTTTTTAATTGTCGGATACAGTCTGGGATAGTAAAAATTTTTGCCAATATTTTTAAACTAACAAAAAAATTATACCAATGGCAAAGTCCAATTTTTCCCAAAAAATTGTGTATTTGTTGTTTTTTTTAACTTTAAAAGCTTTTTTCAAAAATTTTTTTTAAACTTACATAAAAGTATTGCACGTTTTGTTTTTGCAAAAATTTATCCTGGTTGCACCCATGATAGCCCTGGTGAAAAAAAAAGTCCAGATATTTAAAAACCTTTATAGTTTCCCTCGAAAATCCCAATTTTATATTGCCCTACCCCCACTTTTCCAAAAATTTTATTTTATTAATTAAATTTTTTTCACCCATTTTTTTTAAAAAAATTAAATTTCGAAAACATTTAATTGCTTTTTAAATTTTAACTGGGGTTTTCAGCGCAACTTGCAACACTTTAGCAAACACTAGGAAACCAATATCGTGAATTTCTTGTGTAAAAAACCCCAAAATTTAAATTTTATCGCGAAGTTTTTTTGAAATTTCCCATCAATGAAGAGGGGAAAAAAATTGGGTCAAAACTGGTTTTTAATCCCCCTGTGGGGTTACTATGTTACTTTTAAAAAAATTTCAGTTACAAAAGCATTTTTCTGGGAACTACTTCAAATATCTAAATCAAACAAAAAAATATTTAAAACCTTTAAACATGAAAAAGAGCAAAATTTTATAAAATTTTCTTCAAAAAAAACAAAAAACTTCCGTTCACTCTTTTGGGAAAAAAAGTTTTCTTATTTTAAATTTCTTATAAAAAAGCCCTTAACGTAAAAAAATTTGAACAAGCAAAAAAAATTTTCTCCCCCTTTTTTAAGAAAAATTTTTTTGCACCATAGTTTAAAGCCCAAGAAACATTATAAATTTTCCCCAAATACCCACCCCAAAAACCTGCCTGAGATTCGTCAAACTTATGATTATTTTCAACAAAAATTCATACAAACCCTTATTAACGATGCTTTTAAAAATATTTTATATAGTGTATTAATTAGAGAAATTCCTCAATAATAAGGTCACAGGTTCATCCAGCTGTATGAACAGGACATATTTTGCTAAGGGGAAGTCACCTGTTTCAAATATTCGATTAAAATTAATACTAAATAAGGTGCAAAACTGTTTAAACTATTCTTATAAAATTCAGATGGTTTTCCGTCTTAGCCGCAGTTTTTTCCGTTTGCTAACTTCCGAATAGCTAACTCGACCTCCGTTAACATAAAGGGTTCTGTTTTAAGTTTAATATATCATGTATACTATCAACAATGACGGTCATCCATTATCGTTATTATTATTCTAAAGGTATTATCATTATCAAAACAATAAACTACGTAAATATGTTTTACCAATCATCGGCTCCGATACTTGAATCAATAAATTTTTTTTTGCTTTGCTTGTTTCAGTTGTTTCCACATAAAAACATGGATCGTTTCTATTATTAATGAGCTTTTGTCGATTTTGAGACTGGTACTGATATAGCTTATATTTACAATTTTTTTTAAGCTCATTTCCTTTTATCTTTATAAATTCTTAAAATCAGATGCGAAGGTTTTTGATGTTCGAATCGACTTAAGAAATGAGTATTTCCCTGTCTTTAAAAACATTTTAAAACAACGTTTCATCCCACCATAGGGGTTGCAACGTCCTTAATGAATTAGAAGCCATCTTTAACGTCCAGAATTAAATATATTACTAAAAAATTTCAATAGCCCCGGCCCAATATCAACTTTTCAAGATTTTTAATATTTTTGGTCATTCTCTAAAAGTAGAGCATTTATTTGCGTACGGAAATGGTAGTCATGATGATCCCGCCATTTGTACATTTTTAGTTCAGATAATGTATTATTTACAACATTTGTATTATGATTACTATCATTTAAACCATACAATTTTAAACAACAATGCAATGGAAAATGGTTCAAATCAGTTCAATCAAGTACACTATAGTTACATATATTTTCAAACAATTCTGACGAGGCTATCATATAGTCGACAACGGACGCTCTGTTGTTAGAAACGCACGTACAATTTCCCTCTTAATCCCCATTAGTTCTTCCATGTCTAAAACTCAGCACATTTGTACTAGTGATTTCCCAAAATTATTTCCCCGTAGAACGTCTTTATTATTTCGAAGCAGTTCAGAATAACTACCTTCATACTCAACTTTCCCAAGAACAATATCATATGGAATATAGTCTTAATAGTCTTAAGTTCTAGAATTTAGATCTCCTGCAAGAAATAGCAAATCATTAGGAAATTCTAAAGCTATTTCTTTAAAATTTTAATTATAAATAAGAGATGCCATTTCTTTCCTCTCTGGAATCGTAAATAGGCGACCCTTTAGATCATACATAAACAAAGTACGTAGTAACATTTTAACACTTGAAAAATTTCAAAAAATTACAATGTAATACAACACAATCCTAAAAGGTATTCTTAATACGTGTATTAATATTCAGTTTATATAAACTGTTTTTTCATGCAAACGGCAATACCACCGTTATTACGTATTCAAATACATGTATAAAGCAACTAATGAAATGCCCTATATATGTTGTTTTGATAAGTTTAGTGAACTTTATACATAGTTTAAACAACAAACTAAAGACACGTTTGCATTTCTATTTATTTTCAAGGCTCACCTCAGCTTTAAAAAATACTCAAAATTGTTTGATAACAATACTCGAAGGTCAATGTTCTTTGATTTTAGCGTGGCCTGTTGTTCACCATAGACAGCTGTTCACGTTTTGAAATACATTTATTTCATGGCTCCGCTTGTTTCAAATGTCATATGACCATAACGTATTTCTTATATAGCTTTACATGAAATGACATAAATATATTGTATTGATGAGTTTAGTGAACTGTATATTTAGTTTTAAAAGCAAATCATTTCTATTTGTTTTAAAGGCTCGCCTCAACTCAGCAAATGTTTTCACATGCTTACAACAACTCTCGATCAAATGGCAGAGTCGGATGTTGAACAGATAGCAAACACATTCTTCCTGACAGTGTAAGTTGATATGTGTAAATATAAACCACATTAAGTGAATTATAAGCGTATAAACTTTTTCGAAAAAGTCAAAGTTCTGTAAGGTACAATACTTTTTAACGAAATAGGGGAATGTCATGCTTAAAGGCTTGAAAGGGCCTGATTCACTCTTGTCTGTTCGTATATAGTGTACAGCTGTAATTAACCAACAAAAACAATTTGAGCAAAATAATTTGGACCAAAAATATATAAAGAGGCAATAATTTTCACTCAAAACTAACCCTTTAGCTGACATAGTGTTCAAAACTTTCCATAATTTAAACAAATCACATTATATTAATTAATTAATTCGTTAAGTTTACTAAATATTCATTAAAGGACACCTAAGAATAAGGACGACAAAAATACAATGGCTGAAGCTCTCATAGCGCTGAACAAACAAGATGTGATAGTGAACATGATTCTCAACAATCTGCAAACAGACGAGCAGCTCCTGATGAGAGTACTGACCACGCTTACAGCCTTAGATCATGAACCATCAATGGTAAGTCATGGATTTCATATTCTTTTCTGAAAAAGGGAAGTTAAAAGCAAAGTTATAAGTGTACTGTCAATACCAAAATATTTTCATAGAATACTCAAAAGACAAGGAATAAGTGCTAGGAATTTGAATTTGTTTAACATCGATTGATCAAAATTATCAAGTTCAGTTAACCTATTTTTTTATTTGTTTATTCTTTTATGTTGTTTCAATTTTTTATATATTTTTATAAGAATCTTGTCAGTGTGTTTGTTCATCTAATTACAAAGAAATCTACCCATCTTAAACTTCAGTTACCTATCTTTACATTCCTTGCCTGCCTTTTTATCCGTAAATGTTTATACATATTGTATGCTTTTTTGTAGGAGTTACTGACAACTGTTGAGAAATTTTGCTTTAAGGGCAAACGGTCTGAACGTATACGTCTTTCAAAAAACATACGCCATGTGTCTTGCTTAACATTTGGTGGTTTGATCGGAAGTGTTAAACAGTACGGTAATGCAGAGCTCTCAGAAAAACTTGTACAGTATCTCCATGACGAACTAGGATTACATGGTATATTCAATAAACATTGCATGCTTGTTTGATCTAATTTTTACTTCGTTGTTGTTGTTACAACGCTCAAGAATATATAAAAACAGCTAAAATTTCTTATAATACGCCTAAATTACACTATGCATGGTGATACAGTTTTATTATATCAGTTGGTCAACAAAATGTCAATAGTGTAATACTTTTATTTAAATTACTGGAAAGTGTAAGCAGTTAATTATGATAATATATTTAATTAACAAATGTAGCATTTATTCTATTACTAGTTAACTATTTATCGGTAATAAAGCTATTATCATTTTAAACTATCAAACCATCATTTGGTACGAGATAGAAATGCAAACGAGAATTTGTTACAGAGTTACCAACGTTCCCCAAAGTTTAACATGAAGCACAAAATTGTGCTATTTCAAAAGATTGAGGTATGGATCGGGCTTTCAGTGCAAAATGTTTATCATTGCTAATTCTGCACATGCCAGTAACAATAAATTCATTAAAGAAATATAATGAAATAACTCCTGTGTATGTGTCAACAGAATCACATTTGTTACCTGTTATCACTATTTACAAGCCACAAAATACAACAAATACAAAATCAATACATTATATGGTCTGCTGAAAGGGTATTTTTTTACCAGTAATCTATCAAGGTATGTGGAAAATAAACCAATGGCATTTATTTCCTTTGCCTTACATGGCCTTATACCCTGTAACAGACTAATTTAGGCTTTGACCTCCACATGTGACTTTGGTCTTTGAGGTAGGGATCTAGGTGTTGCGCATGACATGTCGTCTTATTATTGTTTATATTTGTGCTAAGTTACCGTATATCAGGTTTTTTCGCGCATATCTAATTTTTGCTTTATTCGAGTGCAATGAATGACGCGAAAATTACCATATAAAATATCTTGATTGATGAAAACATGTATAAAACCATCACAAAATTTACCCTAGAACAGCTCATGTCAAGCTATGGCACTCAAGTAAGACCTTAACATTGAAGGTAGGAGTCTTGCTGTTGCATATGACACATGGACCCATTATTGTGAACATTTGTGCCAAGTAGTTTCAAAATCCCTTGACAATATAAAAAGTTATGTACTGCACACAAAATATACTGTTATGTACTGTAAACAAAATATACCCTATAACAGACTTTGTTAATCTTTGACCTCCAACTGTGACCTTGACCTGGAAGGTAGGTGACTGGTTTTGCGCATCATATATCGTCTTATCATTGTGAACATTTGTGCCACATAATTTTTTTCTCCCTTGATCTATGAAGTAGTAATGGACTTGACACAAAATATACCCTGTAAAAGACTATGTTAATCTCTGACCTCCAATTGTGTTTTTGTCCTTGGAGGTAGGCGACTGTATTTTGTCACATTGTCTTATTATTGTGAACATAATGCCAAGAATTTTCAAATCCCTTCATGGATAAGAAAGTTATGGACCGGACAAGACATATACCCTTAAATAGACAATGTTTAGCTTTAATCACCAAGTGAACTTGGAGGTAGTAGTCTGGCTGTTGCATATGACACATGACCTCATTATTGTGAACATTTGTGCCAAGCAATTTCAAAATACCTCGAACAATAAAAAATATGGATTGCACACAAAAATACCCAATAAAAACCATATTAAGCTTGCTTTGACCTCTAAGTGTGGCCTTGACCTGGGAGATAAATGTCCAGTTGTTGCACATGACACATCATCTTATTATAACAAATATTTGTGCCAAGTTATTTATATTTCCTTTGATAAATGACATAGTTACAGACACCGGGAAATTTTGTCCTCTACTCCACAAATTAATGTTATCTTAGACGTCTTTTGATAACGCATTAAATATGCACTTTAAGCGAAAATCTGTAAGGCCATAATCATGACTGTAAGGTACTAGGGATGATTGTAATTTACTGGAATTTATGAGAAGATAAAAAAACGAAAAACAAAATTGCAAAAAAATGACAATGTGTTCATTGCGAGGTATAGAATTAAATTCAGTTTGAATGTTTTTTAATTCTATGTCAACAAGCTGAAAGTGTAGGTTATGTGCATTTGTTTCAGTTTGGATAAAAGCAAATGCTTTATTTTGTAAAACTGAAAAAACAAACAAAACACATACACACAACCCATTCATATTAACCATTCGCAATCATCAAGATACATGAAGATACAAACTCATCAAGATACAGGAAGATACAAACTTATATTTCAACATTGTTTAAGCCTCTTTCAGAAAAGCGAATAGACTGATACAAACTTCTGACATATTTAAATGTGTATGTTTTCTTTTGCTATGCTTGAACTTTGAACAGCTGAAATAACCAAACATGTGTTTATCTATTCATTTGTAAAACACTGTGAGATAAGAAGTTACCTAACATCGAATACAGATAAACTATGTACAATATTGTTTAATTTAATATTTATTCTTACTTTTTGTTGTACTTTTTATTTCACTTTTACAGATCCATGGTTGTTCAAGATGAAGAGGTCAGCGATGTCGGAGATAGAATGTGTAGAGTACGACCACAATAAAGTTGTTCTTCTTGACGCCATCGGCAATGCTGGACTACCCGTGTCGTATGACCATATCGTATCTCATATCAATTCAACAAACTCACAATGGATCAAACGTACAGGAGTACATGCACTCAGAACGTTCCATGATACAAAAGTAAAATCGCCTTTCTTACCTATAGTATAAGTTTTAATATGACAGTGTTTCTCTTTTTACAGTTTTACATTTTCTGCATTCTAAAAAGTTTATCTTGAACTAGGTTTGACCTTAAGTTCCGGTATAAGGCGGGATATTTTAGCTATATAGCTTTTCAAATTTGCTGTTTACAATTAAATCTATAAATAAAGATGTATGCATTACAATATTCATATTTGCTAATGGAACAGACATTACAAGAGCTTGAGAAAGTTGCTTTATACGATGATGATGAAACTGTTCGATATGAAGCACTCCTGCAATACAAAGCGCATCCATTAGCTAAGACAGACACGTAAGTAAAACGTTTAATCTAAACATTATTTACATTTATAATATCAATAATGAAGAAAACACGTAGTGAAATGTTATTATGTAATAAAAAGTAAGCACCGAACTACTTGTCTTACATTTGTAATGCTCATACTTAGCTTGAGTAGGTAAGTAAGCGCACGCTTTTGAGTAAGATAAGTATCGTTTTATGCTTATGATTGATAAACTCCACCTAATATGTTTTGGTGTCTGCGCTTCAATAAGAAATGGAATTCAATGTTGTTACTTGACGAAAGATATCGTCATTTTTTTCTATATTATTTTTGATGGTAGTCTAAGCTGAATAGGGAGACCATTGTATTTGTAATCCAGGGGCTGTTGGTTAACTCCTCGGTTCATCTTGAACATTGTATTTAATATTCGCTGATTCAGACATTTTGCGGAATACGTAGTCGGTCTTTTACCGGGAAATTGGTAATTACTAGTAAGTTATCAAGGAAAGCCTGTTTGATAGACTGAACACCTATATATATATTACAAAAAATTGGGTGAAACAAACAACTCATTTTGAATATACTGTTTATCTTATATTGATTTATATAAGCGCTGGAGACGGAACCGGACTTGCGCACACGGGCATTTCTAAAAGATCAATTTTAGACTTCAAACTTGATTTCCGACTCGCAGCACCTGGTGTAGATTGGCGTAAAATGATTGGGTCAGAATCTGTTGGCGCTTCCTTTGGTATCGTGATGGAAAATCTTTTAGATCTGCATATGTGTATGTATAACTGTTACTTCTTACCTTGCTAATCATACATACATACACACACACGCGCGCGCGCACGTGCGCACGCACACATACCATTTCCAATTAACATTGCAATTGTTTATTAACAAAACTATAATAATATAAAATACAATGTGTGTTTCACCCATTAAAGGGATCTTCAAGATATATCGCATTTTGGTCGAATCAACATTTTTGCGTAATGAGGGTGTTAAATATATTTTCTAATGTCAAAATACAAATTGTAATTTGCAGCACTGATAAAAGGAGGTATAGATGTAAGGGTTCATGATGAAGCTTACGTAAGAATTCATCTCGGTTACATTGGTATAAATTTGGACTTTTTCCTTGCAAGAATTTGTTTCAAAGGCGGTGCAAAGTACGCTCTTAATATTTTAAAGGTAAGATCTGCAATTAAGATTTCAATTAATAATAATCTTTCACTATAAAGCTAGAAATATATGTTAAAACCAAAGACTTAAAGACTTAACCTTATGTTTAAAGCGTACATTATTTTGCAAAACAATTTTACGAAACAAAAAAAAAATTGAATGTCAGTGACTGCATTTCATGATTGCCGAACTGTTAGTATAATGACTCATTTAAGTTTAGTTATAAGTAAGTGCATTTCCTGTAAACAAACAATAATAGTCTCTTTACATTGAAAAAAAGGTTTATATATAATAGCAATTTGACATATGTAACTACAGGAACTTGACCCTGAACATGGCTTTGACCTCGTCAAACAGTTTACGAGTATTGTTGACAAAGTTGTTGGCGCTATTAGAAGAGGAGTAGACGCATTTACGAGAATCATTTCAACAGACTTCTCATTGAAAGATATTGTTAACGATTTCGTTAAATCAGTAACAGAAATACCAGAAAAGGTTTCTATTTTAAAGGAATATCAGATATTATTGTCCGATTTATTTGACCGGTAAATTGCATGGCTAGTTAACAAAATCTAAAAATCTAACTAGGATTTTTTCATTATCCGTTACATGTACTGCAAAAGTCAACAATTAAGTTTGTAAAAGTATTCCTTGCATAATATTGATATTTATAGCACAGTACACATTTTGTAAGATTTATCAACTCGTCAAGATTGCTTTGTTCCATTTCCTGTCCTACCACTGTGTTTCTTAACACCCGCAGACTAAAAATGTATATGAGCATGCAGAAATTGTACATTTGGATTTTTGGGTACATACATCCTTTTGGTTTTGCAGTTTCAAAACAATGCACTTATTTTATATTATGATATGTACTGATGAACAACTACGTTTGTTATGAATCATTGAAGTTTCAATTTACCAAAGGAAGAGAGAAAAACAAAATTGAATGTTATTGGCGGTCATCTCGTACCTGCAAATTTGTAAATACAAGACAAAAGTCTTATCCACTGAGCAACTTTGGCAAATATAAGCAAATATATGAACAATTTTTCCGGATATATTTTCTTACAGGTATCACCGATTTTGGATCGACATTTAATGTATCCTATAATGTAATGCAAAAAGTTTCTGTGAGATAATGTTAAGACTTAAGAAATACTTGCGATACTGTAAAAAATTATCGAATTTATTTAAAAACAACATGTTTATGCACTTTGAAACAAAAGGTTTTTTCATGTGGAAATGAAATATGTTTTGAATTCACATTGATTTTTCATATACGTAGTTTCATTGAATACTCTTCAAATCAATTTTAGATTACTCAACTGGCAAGCGGTATATACAGGGTCACGAAAAAACTTGCGACCTTCAAGTTAGATAGTCTTCCATCATTTGTTAAGCCTATAATGAAATTCATCAATGCGGTTGTTGCACTGTATGAAAAGGTCAAAGGGGATGTGATGAAGTTTTATAATGTAAGTTTAAATCAAACTTTTTTTTATTTACTATGCATTTTGTGTTGAAAAAGCCATTATTGATATTAACTCTAATTATCTGACTACAAAGCTATTCAATTAAATGGAAGGTCGTATACATATATTCAAGAATTCTGCTGTATTTAATTATATCATTAAAAATTTGGTAATGTCTTGGCACGAATTCGTATTTTATCACATGTTTTGAAAATTATAAACTTAATATTTTAAAAGCACTAAAAGTGATTATGTAGGCAATATTTTCACAAGATGATATTTCTTAAAAGACAAAACATTGCTTAATATGTGGATACTGAGTTGATTTCAAAAATGCAAGTCATAACTGACTTTTAGTTTCTGAAGTGACATTTTGACCATCCAATTGTAAATGATTAGTGAACAGGTAAACAACAAAATACTTTGACAATTTTTTAATTGTGTTCAATTTTATACATCATTTACAATGAAAAACATTGACAATAATTGACATGACCAAGGGAAATTTCTCAAAAAAAAAAGCTTAACCTTTTACCTCATGAGCATATTGCGAAAAATGGCCGTTTTCATTGAAAAGCCTCCTGTAACATGTTCAAACTGCTATGAAACTATGAAAAATGCTTTAATACTAATGAAATTTGGCAAAAATGTTGACTACACCATATCCTCTGTAACAGCATGCTCAATCGTAAGTTTCCTGTTACCATGGCAACGGGGGGACGTCTCAAAATTGCCAAAAATCACTATTTTGCATTGTTTTTTTTCCATCAAAACTGATTTCAAAGTGCTGCAACTTCTCAATGAATTGAGATAGAGTAAAATGCTTTTCAGCGTCGGTTACTAGTTACCCTTAGATCGACCTGAGGCCATTTTTAGCCTGTCACATGTCCAAAATTTTCTTGGCGATCAGGGGGACCCCGCTCCCTTCAAACCCCCCCCCCAAACAGAAGGGGGCACATCCCCCTTCTGGCAACCCCCTGATGTAATATTTGGATGGGGGACGGCGCCGAAAAAGTGGTCACTTTTATTAACAACATTTCTCAAACAAAAACCAGTGTTTGGGGTCTAAATAGGGCATTTTTCACTGTTTGAGCCTAAAAGGGGGGGGGGGGGAGCCGTCGAAACACGCTTATATGAGGGAAAAGGTTAAAATGCATCGGTGACGTTCATTTCTTAAAAGAGTTTGGCAGTTTTTTATAATGTATTGTGTCTTGAACATTTTCATTATCAATTTTTAGTAAATCACCATGATCATAATAGTGATCATAGATCATAAACCAAAACAATGAGCATAATTCAGACCAAATATAAAGCATTTAAATGTAAGACTAGATTTGTGGACTGAATTATTTGAGAATAGAATATGAATAGTTATTTGCGTTTATTGTTTTATTTGTAGGCCATTGTCCAGGCCGTTCAAGTTGTTATTCCTCAAGCAGCTAAAGATGTGTTCAAGGCAGTACAAGACATAATAAGTGGTTTCATGAATATATTTAAAGATCCCAAAACCTCTTTATTCAAGATAGGATCAGGTGTAATGAGGTACATCAAAGATACCCAAAGTGAAAGTAGTTAAATTAAGTTTAAAGATTTCCTTCGAGGAGAAAGTTTAAATCAATATTTACACTTTTTATGTTAAAGTCGTTATACATGTATATAACTTCAAAAGAATAAAGAAAAATTGTGTTCGCTAGTCGGGAAATCAGAACCATTGTGTGTGATTATATACTAGATAGCTGAGATTGCGAATTCGTTTGTCAAATACGTATATTTTTCATATCATCTTTATATAAGATTACAAAACTCGAAAACAAATCGCCTTAAGCAAATGTCGTCAAGCTTGTTTATAAACTCTGACACTAAGAGCACCTGGTCGTTACCTTAAAGGAGTTTAACGGAAATGACCCTGAAGTTACAAACAGTTTCAGCGGTTACTTCTTTTGGTAAGCACAACAGCAAAGTAGCAATGTGTGACGTAATTGGTTCGAAGAGTTTTGCAATGCTATTGTCTTGCAAAACGTTTTTTTTATTGTAATAAAATACTGGTAGGATATGGTTAGTACCGGGAAGGGTGAAAATGATCAATATCTGGAATAATCAATACGTCGAACGTCAAAATTTCTAATTTGTTTAATTTTGCACAATATTTTCTACTCTTCTTATTTTAATAAAATAGAACACATGCACTTTTGCATTTCTATAGATATGTTAATCAATCATGTATAATTTATTTATAACGTTTCCATCAATGTATCAAAACCAGATCACGTGCAACGTGCACCTACCTTCCTAAAAAATCATTTGCATTCTCAAGCACTATAGTTCAGAATGAATGACTCCAGTTTGCTGGAAATAAAGTATTAGTTGCAATTGTTTTTTTAAGTACATGTATCTAAAAAGAAAATGTTGCCATACGAGTATTTTTGTGAATTTAAACATTTTTGAGAATTTGCGCCCATATGCAAATAGTTCCCTAATTTGATTTAAAATAATGATTGGCGTTATTTTCTATCTGGACCGGATGCAATTTACCAATTTAAGTAAAATAGTATAAGCCTTATAATTGCTTTCTGAATTACAGAAATATTGATTGATTTGACTATAATGTTTATTACCTTGTTAACTGATAAGTGTTTACTGAATTAATGCACGCATTGACGTTTTTTTATTGAATCATATGGTGGTGTGAGACGATGCGAAATAAAATAACAATTTGAAATTGTTTTATTCTTCAGTATTTATACAAATATAAACTTACTGAATGACACAAAGAACGAAATTACGAACCATACATTCATCACTGAAGGTAACTTTAGATCAAATAACATTTTTTATTATAATACATTGAAGAGAATATGATTTTAAGCATAAAGTTTGAAATTGTATGAATAGAAAAGTCTATATTTTCCCATTGGACAGTAAGACATTTCAAATTATCTTGTTATTGTTATTTGCCTAAAGTCAACCACTGTGAATATCCAGTAACGCTGGAATGTGCAATAAACGTAAAGTAACGCCAAATCTGTGCAACGCTATCGCCAAAACGAATAACACAGTAAGTAAACGAACCAAATTACAATTTTTGTTAGTAATATATTTACTTTTTTAGATCAATCGTGAGAAAGACAACCTGATTAATGTTTTGAATGTGAGTTTTGTGTTTTGTCAAATAAATTTGTAAATTTAAAACATTACAAACTTTATTTTTTTCATATTCTGTAAACCTAAGACATTTGTCAAATTACAAGTGTCGTATAACAATAGAAGGAAGCTGGTAAAATGGATTTAGTGACTTTTAATGAGATAACCGCCGTTGCTTTATTGCTTCATTCACGAAGTCGGCGTTACCTCGTAAAAATGGTCTCAATTACATTTTATCTGCTAAATGACGTATTATATGAAACGAGTAGATTGGAAAATGTCTCAGGTACACCGAATATAAAAGATCTTAAAGTAATGTACGTTATTGTATTAAAAATATCAACGAGACTAAAAATCGGCATCAATACGCTAGTCAGGTCGTCATTTTCGCGAATGATCTTGAAAAATAAACATTTTCATGGAAATAGTTTTGATGAGGTTTAAAGCATAATGTATCAGCAACCGTATGTGCTAACTCATTTCTTCCAATTTGGTAAACAATAAAAATATTGGTCTATTTTGTTATTATTGCGGTGCTCGTTGTAGCCACTCATTTGCGCACTTCAGTGTTATTTTTGCACAATTCCAGCGTTATTTGCACATTTCTGCGTTACTGGATATACACGGTGTCAACTAAATAAAAAGATATTGTTCATAATTGAAAAGAAAAACTAAGAAACAGAAACATATAACATTGATATAATTGTTGTTACTAAAATATTGTACGATATCTGTATGAAATATTGAAGGGATTGGGCCATATTGGAGTGATCTGACAGAGGATGTTGAGAATCTTTTTGACCTGTTTAAGGACGCTGCTACTGCAATCAAAGAGAAAGGTGGAGATTGGCTTCGGGAAACAGTTGAGCATGATGTCGCAAAAAAATTCACGAAGGGAAAGATAACAATTGTAAGGAGTTATCTCTAGATCAAATAACCGTTTGTGACGTTCTGTAGGAATTCTTCTTTTTATGTCCTCCGGGCAATAGTAATTAAACCGTCCGCCTGTCCGTACGAGGTAAAACTAAAACGGCAAGTTTGTTTTTTTCTTCAGTTCTACCCGTACCTATGGCCTCATACTATACACACTTACTAATCAATACAAAGTACATTATCTGGGCAAGTTGCATAACTACGGCTTCCATTTATACCAAGTTATTGCCTTTTCAGCACTTTGAAAATGAAGAATGGTTAACCTTAACCGGCAAGTTGGATACATCTTAGTTCAATTTATACAAATGACTTCATAATTCCCACACTTACTTATTAAAGTACATGATTTTGCAAAGTTATATAACTGTGCCATCCATTTCCTCCAATTAGTTCTCTTTTTAACTTTTTGAAAAAAGGACCTTGTATGGTCAACCTATTCCAGCAAGTTGGATTTACCTTAAATTTCTCCTAATTACTTATTTTTTTAATGATATCTTTCGTATTTGGAAGATGTTTTCTTTTATTGGTCCTCTAATTTTTGTGGTGTGTGGGGTCTCAAGGGTCAAGGTCAAGGTCGCTGGTGTAAAAAATAAATTTGACATTTTTGCACACAAAGTCTACTTAAAGTAGGAGTCTTTCAAGTTTACTACAAACATGCCTAGGATGGTCCTCTTCCTGTGGCTTTAGTTAAGGGGCGTTTGGGTAAAGGTCAAGTATCCCAATGTCTAGAATATATTTTAACACTTTTACAGGCGTCTTTTATGCTTAGTAGGAAGATATCGTGTATGGTATTATTCCTTTCGAATGAGTTAGGGGTCAGTTGGTCAAGGTCAAGGATGCCAATAATAGATTTCTACACATTTGCTGAAACAGTCTTTATTTTTGACTGATGGTTTTCATATTTGAAAGAATGATAGCCTGCATCCTTTGGATTGAGTTAGGGGTCAGTTAGATCAAGGTCACCTGTGCTAAACAATTATTTTAATCTCTTGCCTTTATTTATGGACTTTCATAGTTTTGGTAGAAAGATATCAGGCATAGTCTTCTTCCTTTGAATAAAGTGAGAGGTCAGTGCGTCAAGGTCAAGCGTGCCAAAAATAAATATTTACACATGGCTTATACAACCTTTATTTTTAGACTAATGTTTTCATATTTGGAAGGAACATACTTTGTATAGTTCAGTGCTGGGAGTCACAAGGTCATTGTCACTTCACAGTAGATTTTTTACACTTTTATACAGCTTTTGTATTGTTTTACCAATGTCCCATGTTATCAAGTACATACCAAAGTTGGTCATTTAAGGTGAGTTTGGGGTCACTGGGTTCAAGGTAAGGTCTTGAATTTCTCAACTTCATCACAAGTCAGAGCGATGATGTGCCAATTTATATATTTTTCATAATTACAAAACGCCATGACTCTGTCAAATTATACAACTGTGTTTACATTTTTTGGGCACTTTTTCTGTCCATAACTGAGTGAATGTGTAAACATTTTTTTGAAATATTGTTACTGACAAGAATCTGAGCCTGGGGCATTTGTGTTTAACAAACACGATCTTGTTTCTCTATGTTAACATCAGATACTTGTCTTGTTTTGGCTGAATTTCATGTATAATGTTAGCTTGAATTTAAAATCATTTTATTTTTTTCTCTCGATGGATTTCCTAATTTGTTCTAGAATTATCATAACTGTGCTTGATAAAAAGGTTCTTTTCATTATGCAATGGTATGTAAATGATATTATATTCACAGCATCAAATTAAAGAGATGATACGAACAGAGGTTCAAAAGGAAATACAAAATCTGATGGACTCTCTTGACGCAATGAGGAATATAGGAGGAGGTTACCTGAACAATTTTAGAATTCTCTTTGACACTTTCAAAGATCTAAAGGAGGCTTATGAATTGTTAAAGAAAGGGTATGTCGAGCCAAATATCTTGTAAAAGTAAGAAGTACTTAAATGAAGGAGTTTGATAAAGTCTACGTTAGCTTGAATACTCCATAATTCTTGATTTTGGCTTAAATATTAAGAATATCAGATATAAAGCATAGATAGCAATAAAAACACTTCAGCCTGCATGAATTTTTGTGCCCTCACTTTAGGTGGGGGGGGGCATTAAGATTTACCCTTGTTCGTCCGTCCATCCGTCCGACCGTTCTCATTTTGTGTCGCACGTAGCTCAAAAAGAATTTAACCTAGAGTCAAACAACATTACAGGAATGTTGATCAGCATGATTAGTTGTGCACCTGCGTATTTTTGTGTCGATTTATTTAGTAGTTTTCAAGTTATTGTCCTTGATTTAGTAAAATTTTGCAATTTTCAATTTGTAACTCTATTTTACCTAGAGTCATGAAACATTACAGGAATGTTGCTCAGGATGTGAAGTAGTGCACCTGGAGTATTGCTGGTGAATTTATTCTGTTTTGTTTGAGTTATTGCCCTTGACTTAGTAGAAATTGTCAATTTTCAATTTGTGTCGCATGTAGCTCAATAAGTATTTGACCTAGGGTCATGAAACTTTATAGGAATGTTGATCAGCATGTGTAGTTGTGCACCTGGTTATTTTTGTTTTGTGTGAATATATTTACCTTTTTTAGAGTTATTGCCCTTGACTTAGTAAAGATTTACAATTTTCAACTTGTGTTGTACGTAATTCCAAAAGTTTTTGACCAAGAGTTATGAATCTTTACAGGAATGTTGATCAGCATGTTAAGTTGTGCACCTGGGGTTTGCTTGTGGATTATTGCCCTTGGCTTAGAAAAAATTTGCACGTAGCTCAAAAAGTATTTGACGTAGGGTCATGAAACTTTGCAGGAATGTTGATCAGCATTTGTAGTTGTGCACCTGGGGTTTCGCTTGTGAATTTATATGTTTTGTTATTATTGTCCTTGACTTAGTGAAAATTTGCAATGTCAATTTGTGCCATGCATAGCTCATAATGTATTTAGCCTAGAGTCATGAAACTTAACAGGAATGTTGGTCAGTATTTGAAGTTGTGCATTTTGGGTTTAGCTTGGGAATATATCGAATAGTTGTAGAGTTATTGCCCTTGACTTAGTAAAAACTGTTTCATTATGTTGTGGTATTTGTTCCTTGAGTGCTTTAGTTAGAATCAACCAACTTTACAGGAATAATGATCAACATCACTGTGAAGCTATGCACCTGGGATTTTGCATGTGGATTTTTTAATGTTTAGTTAAAATTATTGCCCTTGACTTAGTATAAATTTGCAATTTTCAACTTGTTCATGCATAGCTCAAAAAGTATAGGACCTGTAGGCCTGAAAGTTTACAAAAGTGTTGGGCAGCATTTGTGATTATGCACCCTGGGGTTCGCCTGTGGCACATGTATCCCAAAAATATTTGACCTAGAGTCATAAGACAAAACAGTTGAGTGTAGGAGCACCCGTGTCCTATGGACACATTTATTAGTTGAATGACAAACTTAGCAATAAAGTAACAATAATGTAATATTAAAAACTTTATTCAAATCATTGACATTTGATGTTATACCAAAATCTTACGCTTTTAACCTTTTAACTTTTTACTTTTTACGATTTTGACGTTGGGTTAACATATTCTTAATTCAGTTACGAGTTTGCAAGATCGCTCGTAGATCGTATATTTGGACCAAAGTTTCACAAAGATTTCCCACGCAATAAACGTGTAAGCGGCAACACGTGTACTGGTGAGGGATTTTATCCATCAGAACTCGGAAATGGGCATACTGAATACGAAAACGACGGAATAGATATTTTAAACAGCACTGGCGATCATGTAATGTATATTATAAATTTTAACAGCTTGTTCAAGCTGATATTGCTTTATAATGTTATGGAAATTATGTCTCCCAAATTTTTTTGGAGACATATTGTTTTTGCCTTCGCCGTCCGTCCGTCCGGTTTTCTGTCCGTCCGCATTAAGCTTGTCCGGCCTTCACAGGTCAAACTACTGGTTGCGTTTCTACCAAACTTTACAGTAGTGATCAGTACTATCCCTAGTTGTGCACGTCACCGGCACGTTCTGCTTCGCTGCACAAAATGACTGCCACAGCTAAAAGTAGACAAAATCTTGTGTGGCTTTCACATGTCCAACTACAGTTGCGATTTCAACCAAACTGTACAGGAGTGATCAGTACCATCCCTAGTTGTACATATCACCGACACGTTCCACTTCGCTGCACAAAATGGCTGCAATAGCTAAAAATAGGAAAATCTTGACCGGCCTTCACAGGTCAAATTACTGGTTGGATTTTAATGAAACTTCACATGAGTAAACATACAGTTTTGGGAGACATATGTTTTTGTGACAAAAACCCTTCTAGTTATTTTTGTTTATAATTTCTAATTCATTTTACAAATACATAGAGTACTCAAACCCACATGAAAAACACCTCACGCCTTTGTTTTAACTATCATATATCATATAGCTATTGAATAAAATAGGATTAATTGAGTTGGAAGTTTCGATTGATATTGTCTTATTTATTAAATAATAAATTATGCTGAAAATAAAGAACTGTGATTTAGAATTTACCTAAATAAAGATGTGGAAGCGGGTGTTGTGGATGGAAATTGCATATAAAGTTCCAAATATGCTAGGACAGGTCAGATATTGAATGATTCAAGTATGAAAACGATAAGAACGGTGTTGAACAACTTGTTTTCAAAAATTACAGTGCCTTCTGATATATGAGTAAAGTTTTACAAATTTATAAAACAGGTAATTGCACCGTTTTCTGGTAAGGTGATACGCTCTGGCAAACCAAATGAAATCATTATGCTAGAATGTGGTGAGCTGCCTCCAGGATCAGAACTAATTATAACAAATGTACAACCCGAGGAGGATATCTTGCACCCTGATGACCCAGCTTACATTGAAAAAAGGGTACTATTTTATGAGCACTGTTGCCCTATTTTATGGAAAATATTTGAAATCAGTCTAGTTTCAGTTCTAAATAAAGTATTTAAGGGATTTAGAATAATTTACACACATCTTTACATCTATTATATAATCATTAAAATCAAAACGTTTAGGATGTGAAATGTTACATTTCTGACATTACAGATGTTTTTGAAACTATTTACCTGGTCGATTTATTGGAACAATAGTTGCGCGTTTTATGTTGAACTTGATTATTTGAATTGAATGTTTGTCTAAAGCATTATTACATGATAACATGTAATTATATTAGTACTCATAAAGTAGCTGATGTGTGGATTGAATTGCAGTTCGTGTATTTTTTATCAGTTATATGTTTCTATATTTTAAAGGTAGCTGCTGGAGTTGCTATAGGGACAACAACGAAATCTCCATGCGACAATCATATTCATTTGTCGATTCGACGAGAAGGCGGATTTGTTGATCCAAGCAATTACATTCCCCAGAGACTTATAGAACCTCCCAAATGGGAACAACTCTGTGATGATTATAAAGTTGTTTATAAGGTAGTAATAGAAACATACCATTTGCTATACAGAATTTCTTGGTATGTTGCGATTTCCTTTTTAGGTTTTTAAAACATAATAGAAAATATTAGTTTGCTCATGATTGATAAAGTCAGTTTCTGTCACAAATCACTTTGAAATGATAGTGTCGTAAATTTTAAAACATGGGTCAAATAACATAAACCCTTGAACAAAATTAAAACATGAACAACGTTACAACATTTTGTATAAATGGCAGTTAAGACTACCAGTTTAAGAAATAGAAATTTAATACATTTAGGGTGAAACGGTCGCGAATGGAGTTATAGTTGGGCCAAGTGGACGAAAGAAAGATGATACATCCCAAGATGTTCCAGTTGATGAATCACTAGCTACAGATCCGATGGATGGAAATGAAAGCCCTGGCCAGGATGTTGACACTATTAAAAGTATACAGACAATAAAAGCAAAAATCTAACGAGTATAAAATCATAAGTTTCTTTTCCACATGTATGGCTAATCAATGAAACAAAAAGGGGCGTCGGTGGCCGAATGGTTAAGGTCGTTAACACCAAACCCCTTGTCGTCACTGCTGTAGGTTCGAATCTCGCCAGTGTCTTTAGACTCGTTCATGTGAGACAACTAACCATGTTGGTTACGAAATGTTGCTGGTTCTACTCAGGTGCCCGTTTGTGCCTGAAAAAAATACACACACAAAGGTGCGCCATTAAACAAATGCGATGTAATTAAACAAACAAATCAGTGTATAATTAAGTTATTGTTATATGAATCTAAACTTTAGTAGTGTTCTTCTTAAAATAAAGGTCCCATATTTAGTTTATTTTTATCTCTTTTCAAATTGAATACTATGCATATTAAGGGGTGACAAATTGTAATTAATATTCCAGACGACCCTGATGGAATGTTTGGCCAACTTTCTAAACGTCGACGTAAACGAGATGTTCTAAAAACACTTAGTAAGTTATTCGTGTTTCATGTTTTCTATTGGAATGCTATTATTGCTTTCCGGAAATGTAAATGATATTTCTTTGAAGAACGCAATGCTGACAAGTGAATTAAGAATAAGTCCATAGAGTTTCATTTAAACAAACAGTTTTGTCTCTAGTTAATACTAAGATATGGCCAATTTTTATTGTTAGCGTATATGCAAGCAAATCTAAATGCGCGGTCACACTTAAACTACAACAAATTTGTCAATAACAGCCAGCTAAAGTCCATCCGTATGTTTTCCTTTTTAATTACCGTGTGTATTAATTACCTTGAGTATTTTCCTTTTTAATTTCCTTGCCTATAATACTAATCTGTAAAATGCTGCCAGCAGCCACCTTACCAAATCTAATCGAACCGTTTATCTGTTTACGGATTTTGTTTTCATTTACTTCTTAAAAGTAACGAATTTGTAATCATTCTTTTTCTTTGAAAAGTTCACTCTTATCTAATGGAATATTTCTTACTTTAATCCTTTTGATATTGATTTATAAATTCAAAAGTTGTTGGTAAGCTTTATTTAAAAATTTTATATATAAAGTGACTTGACCTTTAATAAGTCTGCAATACCATAAATAATGATGCGGATGGTATAAATTAAGTATAATGCCAAACAACGCACAGCTAAAGTGTAAGATATATGATCTGATATAACCTATTTTTAACAGAAAATAAATTGTTCAGGAACAGAATGTTATTATTCATCATATTCATTACTTAAATAAACATTTTAACTTGAAATATTTTACAAATTATCCAGATAATTTATTGTTATTGTTTTTATCAATATATACTTACGAAAAAGTACCCATTGTAGATAACTCCCCCATTAAACGGGTCTGTACTAGCGTAATGTTCCATTTCTAACAAAGAATATTTTGTTAAGGATTGTTTAAATATATTTTCAAGTGTACATTATATTTTTCAGCTGCATCCTTAGAAACGCTTGTAAACAATATAAAGGGGTTTCTAAAACAGTTTTCTATCCGTCGAATCAAAATGGGACACATTATACAGTTTTTATATGATCTCGGACTTGACGACTCAACACAGAAAATGGCACAGCTTGTAAAAACAGTCAAGGTTTACGTCTCTTCTAAGCTTCTTTTTGCGTGTGTGCGTGCGTGCGTGCGTGTGTGTGTTGGTGTGTGTGTGTGTGTGAAACAATCTAGAAATATAATTGTTTTATTTATTTTCGAAATTATGCAATAATGTTTCCCTTTTTGTATCTATTATAATATTATTAATCATGTATAACTATTTCAACACAGCAATCAAAATAGTAATCACAGAGTTTCATTTATGTATATGTTTGCAAAGTTGATTGTGATACTCACAAAATAATTTTGGAATCCAAATTGAATGGTTATCTTAGTTTGGTTCAACCATTTACATCATTAAAGTAAACAACAATAGTTGATTGATATATCGAATACTTTGTATTTAATAGAAAAGAATGTGGATGGTTTTAGTAAAAGAGCACCAGTATGTGTAAATGCGATGAAACAGTCTACAACTACGATTTGACGAACCTTAATTACTTTACAGCATTGTATATTATTATAATTGTACTATGATTCCTTGTCACTAATTGAAAAATAATTGTCCAACTTTCAGGCTAAATATTGATATATATTTCTTCTTACAACAAATCTTGTATCAAATCTGAAATTGTCCTTGTAATGTTTTGAACTTCATATAATCAATTTCAAGGGCGCGATCGACCAAGAAACGTGCGGTAGCCCATACTATATGTCAGATGAGGATTTAGAAAATAAATTACTTAACAGAGGAAAAGAAGCAAAGGGCAACAGAGATGAAATGATAAAAGAGCTGCTGAAAGTTGAACATAGTATGATATAAACCTTGAAGTATTTTGCATTGTACAAATATTAAGAAAAAAACCCCCAAAACTTCTTGATCATGACAAAGAAAGCAAATTGCATTATGCAAGTTATTTTAGTTTTCACAAATATTTTCATCAACGAAAATTATAGAACCATTAATACTTGTCAGCGAGCAACTAAGATAAAAGAGTTTTCATTTTTTATCTGGTTCAGTTATATTTAACGTAAATTGAAATAAAATTATTCACAAGACTAAAGGACAATAAAAGATAATATTTTATTTTCGTTTTCAGCATGTCCTTCTATATCATTCTCACTTCCAACAAGTAAAACGTTATACTGCACACTGGATGAGAAATGTTTGGGTTTGGAGTGTTGTCTTACACTGGAAGCTTTTGATTTACTACAGAAAACATTCCGAGCTTATATAAGACTAGATCCAGACCCCCTAGCGCTTTCTGTTGGATTGGATTCATGGAAATATGTTCTAAACTCGAGCAGTCTTCAAGGCGGTAAAACCTTACTAAAATTGTCTTTAGTGAAAAGAGTCAATTAGGATGATCCAGTTACACAAACATTGTTTCTACAAACGAACAAAAAATGCTGGCTAAGAAATAAAGCTGTGTTGATAAAAACCGTTAAAGTTATATCTCCATTTACTCTTGATTTATTAACGAAATGTATGCTTGTCTCAGATTAGAAATATAGTAATTCATGTTTGATATCATTTTCTACGATTGAAATATTTGTGACATATAAAATGACAGTTAAAATTTTGTGTAGGGAATGATATCACAAAGTCACAACAGTCAAAAGAACATGTCAATTCGATGACGCCATATTGGTCGTGAACATTTCATTCATAAATTTTATTTCGTAAACACAACATGAGCTGTTTTTGAGTCATTATTACAACAGCTCTGGTATAGATTCTAAGCAATAAAAATATAAAAATTTCATAAAAAATGGGGTTCGTCTGTATATTCTGCAATTAAAGGGGGAATTATATTTTAATAAACATTACATTTTTCGTCTGATTGATTTACAGAAATCGACGATGTTTTGCAAACAAACATAAAGTTTGACTTTTTGGACGGTCATGAAATCATTATTAGGTAAGACATTTATTACTGTGCAATGTATTTAAGAACAGTTCCGAGTACGTTTAAATTAAAAACCTTTTTATGCCCCCACAAAGTGGGGAGCATATAGCGTTGCACTTGTCCGTCCGTCCGTACGTCTATCTGTCCGAGCAAACATTTTGGGTTGAGGGCTATATAACAGTAAAGAGAACAAAAGAGAACAATAGGTTCATTCCGTGATCAAAGGGTTTATGGGCTAATAGCCCTTAAGAAAACAAAGAAAATAACAAAGAAATTAGCCCCTAAACCCAAAATGTTGGAACGTCCCGAAATCTTGTGAACGCAACTCCTCTTAAGCCGGATGGCAGATTTTGCTTAAAGGGATGTACAACGTTAATGTGTAGATGGTAGTAAAGGAAGGAATTTTCGCTGCGACCAAATTTAACAGAATTATGGCCCTTTGTTGATTTTTTCACGATATACTATGTAGACATTTTGTGAAAGCAACTCCTCTTAACCGGATGGCAGATTTTGCTTAAACTTCCAGGGATGAACAACCTTAATGTGTAGATGGTAGTAAAGGAAGAAATTTTTGCTGCGACCAAATTTAACAGAATATGACCCTTTGTTGATTTTTTCACTATATACCATATAGAAATTTTGTGAACGCAACTCCTCTTAAACCGGATGGCAGATTTTGCTTAAACTTCTAGGGATTATCAACCTTAATGTGTAGATTGAAGTAAAGGAAGGAATTTTTGCTGCGACCAAATGTAACAGAATAATGGCCCTTTGTTGATTTTTTCAATATATACCATATAGAAATTTTGGCAGATTTTAATAAAAAGTCCCACATAAAAATCTTATATACAGATATGCATGCTCTTGTTTACGAGCACATCTGCACAGTGGGGACATCCGTGTCCTTTGGACACTGTTCTAGTTGTAAACAATGCTCATTTTATTAATCAAAAAATGATATAGGTCCTAATGGTGTTTATCGGTTATTTGACACCGGTTTGTAGTTTTGATCATTAGAAATTGACCACGCTGGACATAGAGACTGTATTATTTCGATTTTAACAATACGAAATAAGAGAGGTTACTAACGCTATTTTTTTCAAACGGAGAACATTTCCGTTGCCATGGCAGTTGCATCATTAAAATAAAATACAAAACATGTCCTGTTACTGTCTGTGATGTTAGTTTAGCATTCTATAACAAGAAAACAAAAAAGGAAATGGAAAATATCAAAACATTTATTTCTTTTGGTGCCTTTGTTAATTCATTTTAAAGGAGGGAGTACATGTAAAAAGAAATGCCAGTGTTTATTCGCAGAATTACACCGGTTATTTCCTTCTTCGAATATAGTGGCACAGTGACGGATCATGTTGGAATATTAGATATATAATCAATGTCACGGTTCAGAACTGTTCACTATTTATGGGAGAAGATGTGTAAGCGGCCGGATAGCTCAGTCGGTAGAGCCGCGGTACGATATTCCGACGGTCCCGGGTTCGAGACACGGTCAGGCTGCTCATTTTTCTCACCTGTGACATTTGGCGCCCAACGGGGGACCGTGACTGATAAAGCTCAGAGTTTAATTTACATTGCACTGTAACTCTGTGAAATTCGAGGACGAATTTCAATATAGCAGAGGAGTATTTCACTGTTCAGAACTGTGCATTATTTAGGGGAGAAGATGTGTAAGCGGCCGGATAGCTCAGTCGGTAGAGCCGCGGTACGGTATTCCGACTGTCCCGGGTTCAAGTCCCGGTCAGGCTGCACATTTTTCTCACCTGTGACATTTGCTATTAATATTCAAAATGAATATTTAAATCTTCTTTTTTATATTGTGAAATTACACCAATTTTCTTGTTTGTTCGGAAACATAACATTCTAACTGTATGCATGTACCCTTCTTTTGAAATTTAATTATTGTAACCGGTGTTTTTCATTTCGTACTAACAACACACTAGGAAAAAGTGTGGATATTCTGACAATCGGGCAGATATGGTTTAATTACATATACACATTTTTCACATTTTCTTGTATTTTCATGGTGTTATTAAATTTTTTCTTTATAAAAGATATTGTATTGGATATTTTCGTTGCAATTGTAACAAAAATAGCTATTAATTTTTTTCCATCACGTTTGTCATTAAATTTCTCCCTTACGTTGCATAGGTACAAGATTTTCGCCAATGTAAAAGGATTGAAGATATCATTAGCAGTTGGACTTTGTGATCCTGTTGACTTAGACGACTGTGTAATAGAAATTGATCTACTGAAAGAAGCTGTATTTCATTTCCCGAAATTAAACGCCAATGGAACAATTACATTTGAACAGCGTAAATATTTATTTTATTAATCTATCATAATTTTAGTTGAACTTGATTGCAGAACAACGACTTTGTTTCAGGGATGGCAACGGGTACCGATTCTAGTATTCGATCACGATTCCGACAGAGTGCCCGGTTTTCATTTCTGTCAAACCTGTCCAGAAATTGAAAACCGTAATTTATAATAGTGACATCGTCCGCAATGCACTTCCGTTTTCTATTTTGATGCACGTGGTTTACTTGTACTATGAATTCGTTGAATGTACCCTGAAAGGAGTAGGAAAAAATTTGATACATGCGTATATAATATACGTACCATTGCATTTAACCATTTTCAAGTGCGTATTATGAAGTAAATGCAAATTTTTATTACTTGTTTTGTATATACACCATTAAAATAAGTTGGCACCTAGTATATGAAATATGATCATACAATCAATTGAACTGTGTAAACTGAAACCTTTCAGAAAGAATTTTGCAAAGGTATGAAATATGAACAAACAATTATAAATAAAGATAAAAGAATAATAGTTTTAGTTTGACATTTGAAATCAATAAAATTGGAAATGTATAACATAATAATACATTCAGTTTTTTTTTCGTCTGCAGCGGATTTTTCAGAAATGTACGAAGACGCCAAAAAGAGCTTGGTTGAAGGTGGTGAAAAGTTGGCGGAGGTTGCAGCAGATGAACTTATTGAGGCATTTCTTGACGCTCTTGGTATTCCAGATGTAAGCAAAGTTTAACAGAATAACTTTACCGAATTCCATAATTTCTTTTTTTTCTCCAAAAACAAATCGCTCAATTTCACAATTGGAAAATGAACGTAGCAGTATTAGAACTGATAATAAAATGCATGGTATTATGAATATATACTAAGAGAATTTTGTAATATCATTTTTTAAAATGTACTGCACTAAATAAGAAGTTTCAGCTGATATTAAACATTAGCAGTCTGTTTTAGATACATGTATTTACTTTTTAGAGAAATCAATATTATATTTATTTATCAGATTTGACATTAAGATTTTGAAAACGCTAGTCATTTTCACATGTAATTATTTACAATGAAAAACCCACAAACAAAACATTTTTTTTCATAACAAATCCTCCCTGCCAATTCAAGAATTAGACTATTATTTTAATCCAATTTTTAAGCATTCTTGTAGTTTTCTGAAGATTGTTTTCTTTACACACAATTATTTTAATTATTTAATTTTATCATTTTTCATATGATATCTTTCGGTACAAAATTGAATTATATAATCACTTTATTTCAACATATACCTTTGTAGGAACTACTTCTTGACGGACAGCCTTATCAAGCAGCGAACACATTAGAAATGAATGAATTAATTGAATATTTAGAAGACAAAAATCTTCCAACTTATGGAACACTAGAAGATCTTCGAGAGAGATACAAAAATACTGAACTTAGTATGATATAAAATAAATATTATAAGAATATTTTAATTGAACACTTTTAAGTTTAATTTATAATATAGATATGTGAACAGATCCAGAATTTTGTATTATCTCATTATTGTGTCCCCACTTTAGGGGGGAGGGACATTTAGATTTACCCTTGTCCCTCCGTCCTTCCGTCCGTCCGTTCTCTTTTGTGTCGCACGAAGCTCAAAAGTATTTGACCTAGAGTCATTAAACTTTATAGGAATGTTGATTAGCATGTGTAGTTGTGCATCTGGGTATTTTCGTGTGGATATATTTAGTACTTTTAGAGTAATTGTCCTTGACTTAGTAAAAATTTACAATTTTCAACTTGTGTCGCATGTAACTCAAAAAGTATTTGACCTGGTGTCATGAAACTTTACAGGAATGTTGATCAGCATGTGAAGTTGTGCACCTGGGTATTTTGTGTGAATATATTTATTATTTTTAGAGTTATTGCCCTTGACTTAGTAAAAATTTGCAATTTTCAACTTTGTCGCATGTAACTCAAAAAGTATTTGACCTAGTGGCATGAAACTTTACGGGAGTGCTGGTCAGCATGTATTGTTGTGCACCTGGGTATTTTTATGTGGATATATTAAGTATTTTTAGAGTTATTGCCCTTGACTTAGTAAAAATTTACAATTTTCAACTTGTGTCGCAGTAACCCAAAAAGTATTTGACCTAGTATCATGAAACTTTACAGAAATGTTGATCAGCATGTGTAGTTGTGAACCTGGGTATTTTTGTGTGGATATATTAAGTATTTTTAGAGTTATTGCCCTTGACTTAGTAAAAATTTACAATTTTCAACTTGTGTCGCAGTAACCCAAAAAGTATTTGACCTAGTATCATGAAACTTTACAGAAATGTTGATCAGCATGTGTAGTTGTGAACCTGGGTATTTTGTGTGGATATATTAAGTAATTTTAGAGTTGTTGCCCTTGACTAAGTAAAAATTAACAATTTTCAACTTGCGTCGCACGTAACTCAAAAAGTATTTGACCTAGTGTCTTTACAGGAATGTTGATCAGCATGTCAAGTTGTGCACCTGGGTATTTTTGTGTGGATATATGAAGTATTTTTGGAGTTATTGCCATTGACTAAGTAAAAATTTGCAATTTTTAATTTGTGTCGCACATATCTCAAAAAGTATGAGACCTAGAGTCACGACACCTGACAGGAATGTTGCTCAGCATATATAGTTGTGCACCTTGGGTTCCGCTTGTGGATTTATTCTGTTTTGTTTGAGTTATTGCCCTTGACTTAGTAAATGTTTGCAATTTGCAACTTGTGTCACATGTAGCTCATAAGTATTTGACCTATGGTCATTAATCTTTACAAGAATGTTGATCAGCATGTGAAGTTATGCACCTGGGTATTTTCATGTGGATATGTTGGTATATGTATATTTTAGTGTATTTGCCCTTGATTTCGTAAAATTAACGATTTTCAACTTGTTTTGCACGTAAATCAAAAAGTATTTGATCTAATGTCATGAAACTTTACAGGAATGTTGCTCAGCATGTAAAGTTGTGCACCTGGGGTTTTCTTGAGGATTTATCCTGCTTTGTCAGATTTATTGCCCTTGACTTAGTGAAAACCGTTCCATTATGTTGTGTTATTTGTTCCTAGAGTGCTTGAATTAGAATCAACCAACTTTACAGGAATAATGATCAATATCACTGTAAAACTTTGCACTTGGGGTTTTGAATGTGGATTTTATTTCAGTTTTGCTAGAGTTATTGCCCTTGACTTAGTATAAATTTGCAATTTTAATTTGTTCATGCATAACTCAAAAAATATTTGACCTGTAGGTCTGAAAGTTAACAAGAATGTTTGTTAGCCATGTACCTATGCACTTTGGGGTTTGCTTGTGGATTTATTCAGTATTCGTAAAGTTCTTGCCCTTGACTTAGTAAAAGATGTTTAGTTTTCAACTTGTGGCACTTGTAGCCCAAAGGATATTTGACCTGAAGTCATAATATTAACAAAACAGTGGACTGTGGGGGCACCCGTGTCCTATGAACACATTTCTAGTTAAATCTTATTTAAACACACATTTCTAAATGACATCTATTATTTATTAAGTTACGTCTACAAATTAATTAATTTTGAAAAAAAATCTTATCTTTAAGGCTGTAGTCTTACTGGAAAACAGATCAGCCTTCCGGCTCTTCCATTTGACTTTTTACACTACACAATATCAGACGACTGCATGCGTATTGACGCATATGCAGAGATACGAATTCCTGCTGTCGATTACACCCGAACATTCTCCGCTTACGTAGAGCTAGATCCATGCCGTTACGTCATCAAAGCTGCATTTGAGAGATACAATATCACGTTGATACTTTTTGAGTACAATTGGGGTATTTGTACATATTTGATTATAGTAATAAGAGTAGTTACTTTTAAAATTAACCTTCTTATGCTGTAAGGCTGTAATCAGCTTAGAATTTTTTAGATATACTACTTTAAATGAGATGAAACTTATTATATAATAATAATTAGTTTCTCATTCTAGCCATTTTTTTGTTTGTTTGTTTGTTTGATATTTTTGTTTTTATTGATGTTGTTTTTTAACTGAACATTTCGAGTGTGTGTTTTTTTACTGTACGTATTAGGAACAAAAGAGATGCTCAAGCTGGTGGAAGATGTATATGTCACGTAAGTGGTTATTTAAAGTAATTAAATCATTAAAGGGGAAACTATTGACTTTGAAATCTTTGATATTTATAACCGAATTAATTTTGAATGTTAAACGATACCCTGCACTTGGGTTTATTTGAACAGTTATAGGGTTTACTTTTATTAAGCTAGCTTTTATCCATAAAGATAATTCAATGACATTAGTTTGTTTTCCTATAAGATTGCATGATATATACTTATATTACTTATGATACACGTGATGCAATAATTTTCATTTTTAACTTTTCAGATTCAGAATAGATAAAGATGATATCAAGAAAGTATTTATTATCGATCTTGGCATCAAATGCAAGGCTGCAAATATCGATCAGGAACTATTGAAAGGATTTGAAATACCTATACCAATCTGTAACGGCAAATTTTCATTACAAGGTAAAGACATCCTGTTTAGAATGAATAGATTGAATTGAACATATCTTGCTGTATCTGAATTTCTTCATATTCAATGAATATTCCATTTGTCTTATATATCAATTTTTCTTTAATTTATATATTTACTACTTTGTTAATAAAAATGTATTTTAATGTCATAATTCTTTTTTATAGGAAGCTTATCAAGTATTAAAGAAGCTCTAGGTGGTCAAATTAACAGAGAAGTATTTGACCTTTTGCTCAAACAACTCGGAATTGATGAAATTATACAAGAAGGTTCTTGCAAAGTACCATCACCTCCTTCTGGTCAGTTGATATTATAAAATAAAAAAAAATAGAAAGAAACACTACTGAATTTTCATTCACATTTACCAGGCCAATGATATTAAAACGATCAAACATTCATTTTTATACGGGTCGTATTATGGAAACGCCCCTTGCTTGCGGTCGGAAGGTGTCCAGTTTTGTCCGAGCATCATGGGTGAATATAAGAACTACTCTCTAAAAATATTTACCACCAAATGACGTAGTGTCTTGCACAGAAATTAGGTATTAAAGCCTAGGTAACTCTTAGATCTTAGATGTACTTTGTAAGAAGAAAACGCTTGTAGGGAGCCAAACCGCTATGCATTTAGGCAATTATTAAAAAAATAAACACAAAATTTCACATTTGTGAGTGTTGCGAGCACAGTTTATATCCTGTAGAAAGGTCAAATATCAGATGCAAAATATGGAAATGTCTTTACTGACAAATTAGCATAATGCGGGTCAATATTTGTAAAATAAATATGAACAAGGAAGATCAATTGCAAGGGACGGGTAACAAAAGACGATGAAATGTCAAGATATTGTTCGGAGCATATCTGTTACACGCATGGATAAATTTTTAGGATAGGCTCTACTTGATACAAATGTCGAAAAACAAATAGATGAAATAGTGTGCACATGAACCAGATCTCAAGGTCATGGTCATTCTTAAAAACACTTTTCCTGAGTGAAAGTTACACAAATGTTCACATTTACTAGATGAAGTGTTACGCGCAGAATTCAAATTCAGATTTTTATAGAAATGTTCACCATCAGGTGACTGAAGGGCGTATATTGTGACAATGGAACTGTTGTTTTTATGCTTTCCTTATTTCTCCCGTTATTTCTTTGATGTATTTATCTCCAATTGAATTTGATATCTAACCTGCATCAATGTCCTTGTTTCTATGTTCTAAACAATTCATCGTATGAGTAAGGATCCATGTTTTGTAAACTTCTGTAAAATACTCTGTATAATTCCATGCAATTTAAATTTGAATCAAGAGTACTTTGAGTTAATATACCTTCAAACATGTATTATTTACGTTGTTGTTCTTGTCGTCGCTTGTTGATATTATTACGGATTGGGGTGATTTGAGATTTTTGCGTGTTATTTATTGATGTATTTTTTTCAGGCTGTCCACCTGCTATGAATATTTTAAATATGATACCTCCAGTTATGAGGAATATTTTGCAATGTGAACTGGCTGACAACTGTTTTGGTGTATCTTGTTGTGTAAGCCTTAACTTCACAATACCGTTTTCATCGATTGAAATTACCGTTTCATTTCCGGTGTGGTTTAAAATGGATCCTTGCGATTTTCGACTAGACACCGGAATAGGATCGTTACAATTTGAGGAGCAACTTCTTAAATACGAATGGGGTATTTTTCTTCGAAATTATTTTCTTAACTTTTAACTTCACTAGTTTTTACTACCTCCCCCCGCCCCATGATGAACACGAAAGAGAAAATCTGAACGAAGTTTTAAATTTCATATGCATCTGACTATGTAATACATGGCCAGTTGAAGACTGAATTTTAAATACAAAAGAAAATGTTATGATATATTTATAGAATACATGTATAATTATAACTAATATGCATGAAATAATATTTGCTCTTTTTAAAGCAGTATTAATCCCTGATCCTGAATTCATCATAATTATATTATTTAATCTTGTTAATACATCATTATGTTGATGATTACGATTTAACTTAGCACATTATTGACTGTAATAACCACCGACCATTATTTTGGGTGATGAAAAGGAGCATATATTTAAGCGCTTTTAACAATATTATTAGTTTCATTATAACAATAATAGATATCGATATTGAATGCGTCTGCTGATAGGGTAAAAATCGGGTTCAATTGAATTATGTACTGATATGCCAGTTTTAAGAAAATGCTGCCTTATGTTATATTGTCATGGATTTCCACAAGTTCAATTATAGCTTCGAAAAAATGTAAAGATCCAATTCCCATAAACAAATACATATGCCAGTTGGTTTTAAGTATCATTTGAATGTGTTTCAGGTAAAGAGTCAATGATACCAATCGGTTCAGGAAATGAAGCACCGATAAAAATAATGTAAGTGAATAATTGATATAAGTATATATTTAAATAAATGAATTTTATTCTTCTTCAAACTGTGAAATTTTATTATCAACTTATTTATACTTGAGGAAATATATTTTTGAAGAGAATTTTGCAGAGATGATTTTTGTATACCTTGCATTTTGACAGTATAAATTTTACATATTTATATAACAGCTATGCCATAGACAACTACGACGACGGCTTTATCATAGATCTACGTGTTGATATATGTTTACCTATTGGCGATGAAACACACTGCATACCAAAAGATGGCTTGTCATTATTAGATAAAGAAATGATACCTGCATGCAGCTTAACGGCTTGGTCAAATATAACAAGTAATTATCAAAGTTTTAGAAAATATTTCAGTTATAATTTTATGTTTTTTCAATTGCATTGATCATTTTATGAAAGCAGTAGAAAAGGTGTATAGCAAGTTTTTTTTATATTGTCAGAGATTCTCCGTATTCTAAGTACATGTATGTGTTTGTATTATATTTTATCACAATTATATTAAGCATTTTACGAGAATGATAAAACGGAACATTTATATTTGACAATATGTCAGCTATTTATAACGTAGTTTGTGGACCATTGTTATATTATTTGTCGACTGTGTTCCAGATTTCTCATTCAACGACTGGTTGCAAGCAAAAGGAGAAAATATTGGTGATCAACTGTCTGACGCTGGAAGGGACGCTCTGGTAGACCTACTCGGTTTAAATGACCTTTTACTCTCACCCCCATGTGACCGGAAAAGAAGTCCTTACAGCCCTTCACTTAAGGGGTGGAACAACTGTAAGACATTTATTTTACTATTCATTGTAAAAGTTCATGACTTAACGTGTAATAATTATGTGATATGTTTCTTACAAATTTTGCCATACCTCTGACTATAACCTTTGTGTTACAGTGTGTCCACTCAGTTTTGTGAATCTACCGACATTACCAAGTATTGTTTCATGTAGCGTTCCCGATTACTGTACAGGGATTAACTGTTGTCTAGACGTAGAGCAGATTGGTTTGTCAATTAACGCGTTTATTGACGTCAACATGTGCAATTACATCATATCGGGCGGAATCGAAACTCAGAAATTTAAGTTCTCACTCTTTAACTACGAATGGGGTAAGATTATATCCGGCATACACATCATTATGTTCATTTAGTAACAATTTGTCTTTTTTAATGAATTCATTTTTATGCATGACAAACGCCCTTTTAATTATTTCATTTAAATGCATATAAATAGGTTATAAATGTGTTTTTAAATTAAAAATAAAGCCATTACAAACACTATTTAAATACTAAAATTAATTTTCCATTAACTACTTGTTATGAATAGATAAATAACATGAACAGTATGATTTTCAGGCAAGACAGTAACGAAGTCAATCAAAGACTTTTTCAGAGTGAGGTAAATATTTATCAACATAAATAGAATAGACATAGATACAAATTAATGTTCTTTAGAGATATTAGTATTGTTTGAAAATAAATGTGCAAGTTATATACGAGTTATTTGTTAATTTTACCAGAACTTTATACTTTTTTGTATAAAATTGTTTTAATTGAATCGTTTTATTCACGTTTTATCTACTAGTTACTCAATAAAAAAGCCAAGTAATGAGAAGGTGTTCATCATGACTCTGCAAATAGCCGTTTGTCTTGAAAAGGATGGCAGTTGTATGTTTGAAAAGAAACTACTAGATGGAACAAAGGTCCCACAAGTTGGATGTGACATGTCGTTTAACTTTTCAAGTTAGTTTTGTTTAATCATTGTATTAGTTATCTTATTGTTAAAGGATATTTTGGCCCCAACATGTGAAATCTTTATTGAGGTAATTTCTATATGAACATTATTTGTAACCATGTGGGAAAGCTCCTTGGCATTAAATTACTGAAATACTGCTGATAGTTAATATTCTGTTGCGCAAAAAGGAATACTGGTTTAAATCAAAATTTTATTTGACCTTTAAGAAAACGAATGATGCTTTTCAGCAAATGTTTGTTTCAATTGAAAATATGTCGCAATTTTGATGATATTTTTTTCTGAAATTGTTCATGTTTTTTCTTATGCGAATATCTTTACCTTTTTTTATTTACAGATTTCTCTGTAGCATCATGGCTAGAGAACAACGGTCTTGGGCATTTAAGCCCAATAGACAGTTTATGGGGGGATGCTATAAAGTTCGTAACTGAAGTTATTGGCCTTGACAAGTATTTCCTTGAAGAGCAGTGTGATGTATCTAAAGATCCTTACAAAAATGCAACAATGAGTTGGAATAATGGTAAGACAAAAGATTATATTTCATTCTTTGGATGATTTTATGTTTTCCTAACACGTGTATGTTTATTGCTGAGTATTATGTATTTTGTTAATTAGATTTTTAAATATTTAAAAAAGCGATCATTAACAAACTACCTGTCACGGCTATTGAAAATTCTATATAGGAAGTATGAAGCACGCTTTTTGAGTTTTAAGTCATTGAAATAAATAAGGTATCTATTATAATCATGCTTTAAAGTAATATGCGGTAAAATTAAATTGGAAACTGTTTGATCGAAACAAAATATATATTTGTTTCTTTTTTTTATCAAACTTTATTCCAGAGTGTCCAAAGCTTAAACTTGATTTACCCAGTTTACCAGGATCAACAATTTGTCATTTTTCATCTTCATGCACAGCAATAGATTGTTGCATTTGGGTAGATTATCTAAAACGTTCGTTGCAAGCGACTTTCAACATTGACTTCTGCAATTTTACTATCCGAGGAAACTTGGAAACAACATCCTTTAGCTTTAATGTCATCGATTACAAATGGGGTTAGTTTTCATTGTTTGATCTGTTTGCGAATAAATTTAAATTGAAACTCTGATCATGTTATGGAATAAGGAAGTAACAGTTATGTTACTTAAGATAACCATAATTTACACCAGGAGATTTATGAAATTTCAGCAAATAAGTAAAGAGTAATAGAATTATGACCATTATGTTTGTGCGTATTTATCTTTTATTGAAAGGTTAACATGATAAACATTTTGCATTTTAGGACGACAAGCAGAGGAAACACTATTAGAGCTGATTAAAATCAAGTATGTCACTATATTTTTTTCATTTTCATTTTCAAATTGAATATTTTAACGATGACTTTTCATTCTTAAGATATCAACATCATGTGCATCAAATGAAAATACTGTACTTTTTCGCCTATGGTTGCAGTTCCTTAAAATGTGTCTATCTATTCAATTACAGATACAAAATTGACAAAACAGAAAAGAACTTCGTCGTGGACCTTTCTGTGGCCGTGTGTATGGATTCAAATGCTCCGTGTCAATTTTCTACAGACAATTTTTGAGAATACAATGATTCCCATTCCAGTTTGTAATCTTGATGCAGGATTAAGTTCAGGGAGTATGGAATTAATTTGATTTTCAAATATAAAATATTCCGATATAGACATATTTTTTGCCAATATCGCTTCAAAGATTGTGAAATGTTCGAGTGATTTAAAGGTGCTTTATTGATTTAGACACAGATGCTAAGGATTGTGTTCCTATAACATAATAACGGATGAACAAATACTGTTGAACATGTCATAATTCAGATATTTTTACGCAAGCACAATGTAAGTTCCAATATTTAGTTAAAGATACAAATGATATTCGCTGACTGTATTTAAATTAAATTATTGAAATTGATAATCTAGTGTATATGATTTTATTTAGATTTTTCACTCAACAAATGGCTGAAAGATGTCGGACATACGTTGGATGACAATCTTCCGTCGTCATTGGTTACCCTTCTTCTGAGCCAATTGAACATTGATAAATTTCAACAGAAACCTCCGTGTACTTCATCTGATCAACTTTATCGAGATGCAATGGATGGTTGGACATCAGGTAATCCTAAGCAATGCTAAATAGAAACATTATATTTTATTGAAATATCACCCAGTTAAAGATGTTGTACACACCCATTACTACATATAAGTAATGGGCGTGTATATATTATATCTGAAACGCAAGATTATGTCGACAAGGTGATATAGTCTGTTTATTTTTGTGAACGTCTTACATCTCTCTAAGATCAAGATATATTAAATTAAATTGTTCATATAACCCATATGATATATGATAGATCTACACGTATCTGCACTTATATTGAATTATTTTACAGATTCCTTGCTTTGCATGAAAAATAAATCACATTGGTCTTTTAAAGTTAATCTTTAATTTTGTAAGTGCTAATTATTCCCTTTTTTCTGCTGTAATTGAAATGGAAAATTAAACTACTGCTTCCGTTTCGTAAAAGAAAATATTTGGTTCAAAAGAACTGAAAATATAGTCAAATAAATTTGCATACACAGATATATCAGTGTATATTTTAATCAATTACAGAATGTAATGCATCCATTACCTTACCTGCATTACCGGAAGAGATTGTTTGTCACATGACTGACTATTGTACTGGTGTTGACTGTTGTTTAACCGTGGATATTTTAAGAACGACAATTCATGCTAAATTCCTTCTTGATACATGCAAGTACAAACTAACCATGGGAATTGAAAGATTGGAAGAGGAAGTGCTATTGCTTGACTATAAATGGGGTTAGTTTACATACGCTATTATTTTCAATTTTAGTTACAGACATATTTTGTATCATTCATGGAATTTCAAAATTTATAGGTCTACTTTTGGCAGATTAACTTTTAAAGTAATGAATGGTAATATGTATTCTCAGTGCCTAAAAGGCAGATGGGTCCTCATTTAGCCTAGAAAAGCTACCTACTTACCTTCATTTTACCTACCCACAGGTATTCGGTGTGTTTAAAAGATCATAATGACCACCCTCCCCTCTCCCACATGCTACAACCTGACTACCTTATTAATTAATTAATTAATGAACTAATCAATTAAAAAATTGATGACTATATAAATTGACGCCAATTAAAATAGTCTTCTTTTTTTTATTTAATAAGTTGGTTGTAGCATGTGGGATGGTGGTGACACACGCCGAATACCTGTGTACCTACCTACGTACATACATACATACGCTGTAACTTTTAACAGTATCAGTTTATTCTCTTATTATTTTAAAAAAGGCTTGTCATATTCTGTTTTTGTTTCGGGTCCGCCTGGGCTTCTTGCCACTGGTTCTTGTTGCTGGGTCGTATGGGGGTTGCGTTCATTGAACGCCGCCTTTCCTTGTTGATCTTGTTTATCATATTTTATCGTATTGCCATATAATTGCTAAGTCAATAACAATATATACAAATTAAATTTGCTCTTTTGTTAATACATCGTTACAATACTTTATCATAATTTGAAAATCTTAAAACATAGTGTCAAAAGTAGTTTAAAATAAAAAAGAAAAACATTCTGATGTATTATTAAACGACAAATCTAATATATACCTTTAATTTTCTTTACACTTACATGCTTTTTTCATTTTGATTGTGTGAATTATTTTCAAATGACAAGAAATATTTTTAGGTCAGCTGAGTCAGTTTTCCATTGGAGGTTTCTTCCGAATAGAGTAAGGGTTTGACATTATTATTGAGCAAAGTTATTATAAATGAATATTCAAATAGTCTGTGTCATGGCTTTGCATATTACACATTATATCTTTCAAAATGTTTTATACGTGAACTCATATTTTAATTTTTATAATAACTCGTGTTTATATGCTAGGTAAAATAATTTTCCAATTCATGTGTAGGATTATTGTCACGCACACGCAATTCATTTCGTATAAACATGTAAAATAACTTTATTGAATAGTTTACAGTGATTTGTTTTAAGACCTGCAATATTTTTGCTAATTGTACTTTCTGCAGATATAAAATAGATGATTTACAGAGTGAAAAAAAGTTCATAGTAAACGTCAAGCTGAAAATATGTTTCGAAAATGACGAGTGTTTGTTTGGAATGGATATTCTAACGAATGCATATGTGCCAAAGCCATTGTGCGACTGGAACTCTGGAATTGCCATACCAGGTAATACTTATTAAAAGCGAATTCAATGACTGAATACATTTTTGTATCAGTTATATATCAATACACAACATCTTCACTATAATGTTAGGCCCAAATGTAAAATAAAATATATCTAAACAGTTTAACAATTCAGGACTTTGCACAGTTATTAAGTTTAGTTATGTTATGGACCAACCATACTACAAAATGGAAATTGTGAGATATTTCATGAAATTCGTTTTGATTTATGTTAACTATTCTTCGTTCATGTTAAATCAAATAATATTAAAGTATTCTGGTACTTTTTTTACAGAGTTTTCAGTAACTGACTGGATAAACCAACAAGGCTATAATGTGATTGATGATAATTTGAAGGACTTTATGATTGAAAAGTTATTTGATGCACTTGGGATTGCAAAATATCTTGACGATAATGAATGCAGTGGTATAGCTTACCCATTTGTGAATGATACAAATGGCTGGACATCAGGTAGGATTTGTTTTATGTAATTTCGAGAGTTTCAGACATGAACACATAATATACCGACATTTCATTTGCTGTTTTATCTGATGTATAAGGTGCATGTGAAAGGTGAAGATCATCAGATTTTAGCATATAACTAGAACTACTTCAATATGTATATGTGTTGATTTATATTTGTTTATACAGTAAGTTGGAAATATTTACATTAAAAAGTTAATTGTTAATACATCTATTTCGTTTGTTTTTAATCTAGAGTGTCCAAAGACCATAGACAGCGCTGTGCTTCCAGGATATATAAAATGCCACGTTCCATCATACTGTACCGGAATAGATTGTTGCGTCCGCGTTGGCTTAGTTAAAAGATCATTTAAAGTTTATCTACACCTTGATGCTTGCAATTACATATTTGCTATTGGTATCGAAAAGTTTGGATTCAATATATCATTGCTTGATTACCAATGGGGTAAAACAGAAGAATTTTCCATGATGGGTGCGTTACGTGTAAGGTAAGAGGTCATAATTTTCATGAACGTTTATATGATGGCATTACCGGTCAACGCGTCTGACGTATAATGTAAGGATCGCTAGCCACGTGAGTTTAAACTATATCAGGTACAAGCCATTGTTTAGTTGACGACGAAACTTTACATTCATTGCTAATTGCAGTACTGGTTTATATTGAGAACGGATTTAAGGGTGTGTCAATAATCTTATAGATTTCTACACAATAGAACTAAAATGAGTTATGTATTACAATTTTATTTTTCATGATTTCATGATAAATTGACATTTTGAACGAAATTGTTCTTAAAGGGAAAGACAAGGTTAAAATAAAAACTTGATTTCAGAAAAAAGAATACTATAAATAATAAGTCTGCAAATTTTCTGCCGCCAAATAATAATATTAAACGAATGATAACAAAATTTAAATCGCTAAATCACCGATTTCTACAAATTGGTAAGCGCGGCCATGTTTGTGTATTGGCCGTATAAAAACAGGTGCGCGTGATGTCATTTCCCCACATCTTTTAGATTCATGATAAATCTTGTTGAATCGTAAGGAAATATTAATATAATAAAGTATTGATCAGACAATTTAATTTTCACAGGAGGTGTAGAGGAGATTTTGTATGGTTCAAAATACGTAACAATATCAAAAAAAAAAAATAAAAATAAAAAATAAAGAAACGTACGGCTAGCCAAAAGTTCTAGCCGTACGTGAGTCACGAACGACTAGCCAGGACGCACTGTATTGTCTAGCCGTACGGCAATTTTCAAAATTATATGGAAGTCGAACGTTATAAAATTGTTGATTTTCATGCTTATCATTTGTTGTTTAATTTGTATGAAATCATTTTTGTTAATTTTAAGCACATGGATCGAATAAAAAATGATCGGAGTGGAATAAATAAATAAAAAGAACATTGAATGGAAAAAAAACGGTGAAATGCAAAAATAATTATATAATTTTCAAAACAGTAGATAAATATCGAACATAAAAGCACAGTCAATCAATTAATTAGCCTTAATTAAAACCTATCCAGGGACTGACAATAGAATTTTAGAATGCCTTTCACGGAACATGCAAACTTTCCTTGTTACAGTACCGTCGGTAATTGTCGCAATTATCAAGAGCCTAACAACAATCATTTTCAGTGTTTGTTGTTTTGTTGTTTTTTTTCATATAAAAGGTGTCGAAAATTAAACTTAATGAAACAAAAAAGGATTATTATTATCAAAAATTTGTAAACTATTTCAATTGGTGTAAATGCAAGCAAAGGCTATTTTTTCTCGACATCTTGCGATGACAAAGATCGATATATATAGCGATCAAGGCGATTAATCTCTAAAAAGTTAACATCCAAAGACAATTAATGCTGTTTCTTGGTTAAAATCCTCGCTTAAAGTCATAAAATAACATATGCACTTTCGACTTCCATAAAATTTTGAAAAGTGTCGTACGGCTAGCCAATACAGCGTGTCCTTGCTAGTCGTATGTGACTCACGTACGGCTAAAACTTTTGGCTAGCCGTACGGGCCCGTACGCTAGCCACTTCCATTATAAAAACCCTACTAAAACGTGTTCTTAATAGTACATATAATTAATTTTTTGAAGTTTGATTCAGACTTTCAAATTTAAAGGTGTGAACATATGTTATAATTGATGTACACATTTCAAAAATATGAGCAACTGTTTTGAAAAGTAAATTGTTAACATGTCTGTCAACGTATGATGCTGCGCATCGTAATCGTAGCCTAATATTAACTGCAGGCAAATCATTTTTATTGGCTGCTCAAAAATCTAATTTGCATAATTTATTCACACAATTGCTGGTTCTTACTACTTATGTCTAATACTGCGCATTGTCCATTTTAATTGTTCCTAATTTGCACCAAATGCTCCTGTCACACTGTGTACTGACGATTTTTATTGCTCCTTGTATGCCTCTGTGCCGACAGACCTTTTGATCATGCACAATGTTGCTCTAATTGGTTAATCGCCCTTGTCAAATATTCTAATGACGAAATAGACATCTATTTTTTTTTACGCTTCATCAGTGAACTGAATGACCTTAGGGGGAATTCGGTTCCACACCTGTCAAATTGTACTGTAGTTAATTACAGCACGTCATAAAATAGCAACACATTTTTTTTTCAGTTCCCAATAATCATTTTAAATATTAAGTAGATTTATGATTTTTTGTTTTATTGGATTAAATTTACGGTAGAAGAAATGCGTATCTGTCGGGGAAAGGAATTTGGTAAGTAGATAACGTGGAAAAAAAGCTTTGGGGAACTGGATAAACCCGAGAATATGCGTAATTATAGGGGAATGGGCAACCTGTTGCTGTTGGTACCAGTTTTGACTGGGTGCCTAAATAACTTTACGGACAGTTTTGTTTTCATGCGATATAAGCCTGTCTAGCGAAAATTAAGTACAAAATAAAAGGATATATCGTCAATTTGAAGAAGTTTCTCAGTAGTACCCAAAGTAAATTTATGGTTTATCTTTGAAAATTAAGCAGTCATTGCTTTTAAAAATCATGTGGTGGGATCATCAGCAAGCTTGAGTATCGGGCAAATGATAATTAATGTCGCGGCGTCTTCAATTAATTAATTAAAGCAATTCAGTTCCATATGATGTTTTCATAAATAATATATAATTTACGCAATTAAATTAATAAGTTCTTCATCAAGATATATTTCAGTTGTACCAGCGTGTACACCTATACCGGAAGTGGGTATAACACGTCACAATCTCGGTCTCGTCTGTCTCGCGAGAATGGCAGAACGCCAAAATGGCGGCGCCCATGAACTTATTTCTCAAGTAAAAAATAGTGTCTTTAAACACGAATTTCTCTCTTATAGGGTTGATGTCAATATGGAAACTGTCATGGTTCCTCTTTTTAAATGATGAATATTTATATTAGACAGACATCAATCCATCCATTCTTATTCCTTTAAAATGAACGTATAACGTTTTCTATCTGTAGTAAGTTATTCATAAAGACATATGAAAATTAACAACACGGAATTATATGCTGTTTTTTTATATTTAAAGGTATTCCATCATGAACCTAGAAGCTGAAAAACAGTACGTTCTTAATTTACAAATGTCAATATGCATGAAATCAGCTGCGTGCGAAGAAAATCTCGTTCTGTTAGAAGATGCCCGTATACCAAAAATAGGCTGTGACTGGAATACGTCCCTTTCTGGTATATACAAAATATATCTTTATATATTTAGGATTTTGAATAAATTTCTTCGGACAGATTAAAAAAAAACACTTTACATTCGTTGTTTATTTATGAGAATGATTATGATATACATTTATAAAAGATCATTCGTTCAGAACTTCAATGTGCTTAAGAAAATTTTATTTGAGTAGACATTTTAAACATAATTTAGCCGCCGATATTTGTTTGTATTTATCATAGAAAAAAATGTGTTTTCTTTATTATCATTTATAATACACGCGACTCCGTACAATACGATAATTTTGGGAAATATCATGTTTTGTCTTAATCTTTATCAGTTCCAGGTTGTGAGTGTCCTCATTTTCATAATCACTTTAAACCTGTAACTATTTGTATTTGTAGATTTCAATCTAGACAAGTACCTGGAGGGTATTGGTCAACAGCTAGAATATATCGGAGACAATTTACCAGCTATTGTTGCTGATAAACTTCTTGAGAAGCTTGGAGTGTCTATGTATATGCTGCAAAACAGGTGTACAACTTCAGCTGTGACAGTCAACAAATTAGAAAACAGTATGACACTTATTTCATATTGCCTGGTCATTTATGTTATTTTCAGCGGTTGTTAGCTGTAACATTTTGGTAAATGCATATATATTATTATAAAATGCTTGTCAACATTAAGTTCTAAATAACCTGTACATTTTCTTATAAAATCTTGCCATACTTTGTTGTTTGCACGTTGTCATTTAAAGATCATGTGAAAAGGGCTTACTTTGGTATAAAACCCAAAAATATTTTTATACTTATGAGTTGAATATAATTCCCTTTTCAGAATGCAGCAAGCTCGATATTGATCTGCAATTGCCTGATATGATGACGTGCTCTATACCGACACATTGTACAGCTATAGAATGTTGTGTCAGTATTCCACTGATTGGAAGATCTGTGAGCGTCGTTGTAGACCTAGATGCTTGTGCATATCAATTGTCAATTACAATTGAAAAATTTAAAAGCAATATACGGCTGTTCGACTATGAATGGGGAACTTGGCAAAGAATCAACATAAAAGACGTTTTTATACTGGAGTAAATACATTATTGTCATAATAAGTTTATTTATGGATGGTATGATAGTTAGCATAGACGGTGATCAGATCATGATGTATTACAAATAAAGTTAATATTATCATGTTATGCATCGCATAAATTTCAGACGTCCTTGTAGACAGATATAATATTTAGATAGTCTAACTTGCATAAAACATCTGAAGCAAAAGATAAACATATAAGACGTTTTACGGATACGTTGATATTTGATTTAGTTTATATGCTTTGAATAAACCAGCGGTTGTCAGATGCTAACATTAATTTCTTTTTAGATTCATATTTTCCCGATTACATCTTAAACGAATATTATATAATTATATCATATTTACAGATACATGATCGATGATCTGAAATCAAGCAAACAGTTTGTAACATCTGTACGTATGCTTGCTTGCTTCGACAGTGACAAATGCATTTTGGATGTACCTATCGTTGACAATTTGTTGCTTCCAAAACCGTTATGTAATTTCAATGGGACATTTAAACTTCCGGGTAAGAAAAAATAATGAATCGTTTACTTTTTTCATTCTGAAATGTATGTAAATAACTTCTGTTGAAGATGTCGCTGAAATAAGAGCTTTAAGAGAATTTGTTTTAGTACCAATTTTCAAACTTGAAATTTCCTAAGATTGTAAAGACTGTTCGCTCCTGAACATTATTTATACAATCTGCAACTTATGTGTTATGCTTGTTATTCATATACGATATTCACTTTCTGTTTAACTTAATCACCTTTATTGGCTTTCAATACATACTAAACAGATTTTACACTGGACAAGTGGATAAATGACAACGCAAAAAATCTAAGAGATGGACTGACAGGCATACTGAGATCTAAATTGTTCGAGGAGCTGGGTATAACTCCGTATCTTATGGACAATGAGTGCAATGCTGGAAATTCTGCTGAATCTGGATGGACATCTGGTATAATTGAAATTTTGATTATGTTAAAAATTTCAAATGGTATGTTTGAAAAAATTGTTGTCCAAAATTCACTACAACTTGAGTCAGTGATATTGTGCAGCTACAAAATAACAAAAAATTCTTGCAAAATATGTGAATATTTTTAAGTTTAGATATTGTAAACCAACGAAAGGGCTTCATAAAATAGCTTTGTTGGACTTTTAATTTTACTTTCCCAATTAGCGAGGAGCATAATATGCTCGTTTATTTTGTATGTTTTTGAAAATTAAAGTTTTCATTTATTTTTATCTTTTTTTTTTGGTTGGGTAGCACCAACTCAGTAGAGGTCATTTGGTGTCTTTCCTGATTAACTGTTGGAGGAAGACCTCAGGTGTCCCCCCATGCATCATTTCAGGGACAAACGGGAACCTGAGTAGATCCACCAACATCCGAAAGCTAGCTGGATAGCTTCCTCACATGAAAGAATCCAAAGTCCCTGTCAGAATTAGAATCATTAGCGGCGTGGAGCAAGTGGTTTTAAGTCAACGACCTTAACCACTCTGCCACGGACGCCCCATGTTAGTTTAAGTTTTCAATTTGGCTCATGATTTGTAAGTTCGTTTGTCGTTATAAGTTTTACAGCTACACTATAAAGGTAGATACATGTATTTAGAAATGTGTTGACCAGTTAATAAACTTTAATTACTTCTTTCATAATTTATTACAATTATTTTTTAGAATGTCCTCTGAAAGGCTCACTACCAACACTTCCAGATAACATGAACTGCCATCTTGTTAAACATTGCACAGGCTTTTCCTGTTGTGTGAATGTTCCTTTGCTGCAAAGATCATTTTCGTTTTACTTTGACATGGATAGCTGCAACTTTGCCCTTAGAGCTGGAATAGAGAAACTAGAATATAATCAGTCACTTATAAACTATGAATTTGGTATCTCATTTCTTCATAATCCTCTCGAATTAATTAATTCAGTATAGATTCTTGTAATTCACATGTACAAACATGGAGACGATTAATGGGGCAACAGTTTAAGATATATGCTCCAGAGTCATTTATAATATATGTTAAACATTGTTAATTTACAACATTATTGAATGAATTATGATATAATTGGTTTAAAAATAATCATTTTCCTTGTCTGCTATATAACATACTCCATAATGGGTGTTTCAATACAAAAACATTTGTGTATCTATCTACAGGAAAAATAAACAAGGTTGATCTATTTGGAATCATTCAATTCAGGTTTGTTTATATCTCTTTTTCACATATGAAAAGATGATGTTCGTTTTGCACTAACTAACTTTGACAGGAGTTCAGTCAAACATAGATCTCTTATTTTTGTAAAGTAACAAAAGAAAATAAATTGATCAATTCAGTTCATTGTTGTATTGAAGGTTTTGCCTGTAAAGCACGCTGGATATACAGGATGGAAGTGTCATGCTTTATTTGGAAAAATCTACTGAATACTGTTTATTAAACAACATCGGGACCGCATTTGTCTGCAAGCCCTCTGACATTTAGTGTCAAAACCACATTTACATTTTTACGTTATCTGATTTAATCACTTAATTGTAACATTTTTAGGATCGCCTACACGAAAGTAGCTTTTTTCTTTCTTTATGTTGAAATCATTTACAAAGATACGCAATCCTTATAAAAACACCTGAAATAATATTAATTTCAGCTACACGATTGTAGACAACGAGGATTTGTCAGTCTTCAAATTATCAGCAGATGTTAGTGTGTGCTTGGATTCAAACGGTCCTTGTAACCCCGTGATACCATTCCTTGATACATTTTCAGTTCCAAAACCACTTTGCAACTGGGACATGGAATTTAAACTTCCAGGTAATCATTTACATCACAACGGCCTATTTGACATTCGAACAATTTCCTTTAAACTTTTATAACCTTTATAACCTTTGTTTTATAAATGTCTTACAAGAACATATTTCAATACCATAACACTTTAGTAATTTAGCAATAAATAAAAAGTTAATCTTTGTAAAAAATTTTTTTTACAAATTTATAATCTTCCAAAAATATGGTATGGTGTTAAAAGTAGGTCGATTAGGTTAATCAATATCTTTTTTTTGTGTCCAGACTTCAAAATCGATGATTGGATAAAAGACAATGGACTATCGCCATCTTCCGTACAGGGAGCAGTCCTTGCAAAGCTTTTAGATTCGCTTGGTATATCAAAGTATCTTACCAAAAACGGTTGTAGCCATGATGAATATCCTTACAAAGATAGTGTTGATGGCTGGACTAAAGGTAACTCCGAGTTGTTTATTTAGACAAATTCATGCACTATTTTTAGTGATATAATATCAATGATTTAAGTAAGCACATATGATTCATGAAATAAAGCCTTTATATGTGGCGAATTATAGTGAAAATCAATGAGATGAACCATGATGCCTTTCAGTGGAAAGGATAACAAACAGCTAAATATGTAAATATCAAAATATACTAATAGGTCTTAAAAAGTCATAAGTCATTAATTCAATTTTGTTAATAAAATAAACCGAAAGTAGGTTATTTTTGTTCTGAAAACTAATCAATCTATGAATTATTCTGGCGTTTTAAAAAGGAGAACTACAAATATTAGATAATAAAACCTTTTTCAGACTGCCCTTTGGAAATGACATTACCTGCGCTTCCAGAACAAATTCGATGTGATGTACCCAGTTACTGTACAGCAGTTGAGTGTTGTCTCCACATTGATATACTGAAAAGGGGATTAAGTACAGTACTGTCGTTGGACGCTTGCTCAAATAGACTTGTTATTGGCATTGAAAATCTGAAATTGAATGTCACGCTTTTGAATTACATATGGGGTATGCTTTATATTAGCATTATATCTTTAGATATTGCAGCTGATACCACTTATATACATTAACTTATTTTCTCTGAGTTTATACCTAATTAAATAAACAATTTAATTTTATAAACAAATGGATAAGCAATGATTTAACTGTATCAATGTTAAAAGATTTGTAATTTCTATTTTGTTCTCTTAAAAGACACAATTTCGTTCTTGATTTTTGCAGGTTCTCCAGAAGTTTTGTCATTAATGGGTGTAGTTCGAATCACGTAAATATGATTTTTATTACATGCTTCTCGGTGGTTTATAGAAATATATCAGTGAAATAAAAACTGATAATTTTACTGTCACGTCACGTTGTATAATTATTTGGCGCCCTTTTCATTTAGTACAAAGTTAAAATGTTTTTTACGTTTTTTTTTGCATATAATAAAAAGAAAATTTGTTTAGTTTAATGTAAGATTGAAATATTTTTCACCTCGGGAACACCAAAAGTTCACATTTCACTCGTGGCTGCGCCACTCGTGAAATTTACCTTTTGGTGCTCACTCGGTGAAATATATTCCGAACTTACACTGAACTAAACAAATATCCTCTATATAATAACACTTGGTGCATCTATTATCAAATTATTTCGATATGAATATTTTAAGCATTTAAGCATATTTAACTGATTTTAATATCAAGGGCTCATTTAAACCAAGTTTCAATGCTGAACAATCCAGTTTTGTTTAAAGTATGCAGTCTTTGTATATTTATGTACCTACATTCATATACATTGGAGTTATTATTAATAGGTAAACTATCAAGAAGACGATTTTAAACAAAATGTTTTTATTTTAATTCATATTTCGTTTAAGAAATATTCATTAAAAATATTATGTTGATCAATGCATTATTATACATTTCTCCATCATAAATAACCCTTACAGATACACCATCCACAACTATGAGGAAAGTAGACAATATGGTGTGGACTTGAATCTAGAAGTCTGTCTAAATAATGATAAATGCGACTTTAAAATAACGCTACTGAACAATGCAACGTTAACAAAACCATTATGCAAGTGGGACTCTGGGTTCATGATACCAGGTATTGTTAATAACAGCGTATTAATTCAAACACATTTTACAAAACATATCTGTACATTTTTTGCATCATATTATGTTCATAGTGTTTTAGATAAATCCATGTAAATACTATAAGTTTGGAACAAAATAAATAACATTTCCATTCATATACAATTGAAAGTAATGGACAGTTATACATTGCTCAAAAGAATTAGGTCGAAGGAAAAAAACAGTACGGCTTTTTGTTTTTTTGTTTTTTTATATCTTGATATTAATGTTAACTGATACATTTCAATGATTGTTTACAAAAAAGTTATCAATAATGCTAGTTGTCTATCATTTTATATAAATATCTCAAAGCTGCTTAAATCCTTATTTTAACTATCACAAAAATCTTGTTTCTGTTTAATTTCATAAGATTTCTCCCTTGAACAATGGCTTCATGAGAACAGCATACCAGACATTACGAATGCAATAGATAAACTAATGAAAGAAACTGGTTTAGAACAGTTTTTGAATGCTGAACAGTGTGATAGGACTGGGTTGCCGTATTCTCCTTCCGTGAACAACTGGCGATCAGGTTAGATATTTACTCACAACTGTTTAGCGTATAAAACTATTTTGTTATTGAATAAGGTTGAAAAGTTTTTAAATGTCACAGAAACATACAGTATAAAGCGTTTCAAACAGATGATAAATACCTTGTATACATTTTCCGAGTGAAATTCAATGTGCGAGGCAAATTTAGTTCGGAATAAAAACAAATTTAATTGTCAAATCAATTGTCAAATCACACAACCGTTTGTCTTTTAAAACTTATTATTTAGGTTAACTAAAAGGTACTATGCAAAAAATTAAAATATTTTCATTTCTAAACTTAGCATTTACAAATTGAATGTCTTTCAGATTGTCACACAGAACTACAGCTTCCCAGCCTACCATCGACAATGTCTTGCTATATCTCTGACATGTGTACAGATGTCAAGTGTTGTGTTGATGTTAGTCTCATTAAGAGATCATTTGAGATATCTATTAAACTTGACACATGTCGTTATCAACTTGAAGTGGAAATTGATAGGTTGAAGATAAATGTTGCACTCGTTGATTATAAATTTGGTAAGAGTTGTCCTGTGATTTCAATTTGTTTCAATTTTAAAAGTAATGGTTGTTGGTTAATGTTATCTTTATTCAGCAGAAATTTAGAAATTTAGGTTAATCTGTATTTATCAATAGTAAGTGTTAAAAGTAACCGTTATTTAGATTTAGACGAAAGATTCTTACTAATAAAATTCGTAAGTAAAACTGTGTGTTTCAAACAGGATATATTTGTAAAATTGACAATGTGCATTCTATACGACCTACAAAGCTTAGGGAAAAGCATATATAATTCATTATGTAAATAATCAGCTTGTATATATCTATTAGTTTTTGTTACATTACAACTTTTCTTGATTCTAACGCCGATATTTTCACAGAAATATAACAAATTAAAATGCCTTGTATTACAGGAGAAGAGAGTAAAGTCTATTTACTTGGTGTTGTAAGATTGAGGTAAAACATTTAATTTGTTCTAATGATTTTAACATAAAACTGTCAAAACCTAGATATTAAAAATATGGATTTATTTGCTCTTTGGGAAAAAAGCTTCATGTTATAAGTTTAAAATGAGTTTGAATTCCGGATGTGAAAAACACAATAACTAACATGCACATCATGTTTGATCGTTATTAACCCCCCGCACAATAAAGTTGTAAGGGGGTATACTGGAATCAGCTCGTCCGACCAGTCGTCCGTACGTGTCTCTGTCCAACCGTCTGGCCATCCGGCGGGTTTTCCTTGTCCGCCCAATAACTTAAGATTCCTTTGACCCACAGTTTACATGTCTGGTATATAGATTAGTCATGAGTAATAGATGACCATTTTGATTTTGAGGTCACCAGGTCAAAGGTCAAGATCACAGGGGCCTTGACTAAAAAACTTCTCCGCCAAATTACATAAGAATCCGTTGGCCCAAAATCTTCATATTTGGTATGAAGGTTAGTCATGATTATTAGATGATCCGTATTAGATATTGAGGTCACAGGGTCAAAAGTCAAGGTCACATGGGCCTTGACTAAAAAAGCTTGTCTGCCAAAAAACTTAAAGATTCCTTAGACTCACAGTCTTTATATTTGGTATATAGATCGGTCATGATTAGAAGATGACCGCTATAGATTTTGAGGACACTGGGTCAAAGGTCAAGGTCACAGGGGCCTTGACTAAAAAACTTTTCCGCCCAAAAACATAAGAATCCTTTGACCAACAGTCTTCATAATTGGCATGAAGGTTGGTAATGTTCATGAGATGACACCTATAGATTTTGAAGTCACTGGGTCAAAGGTCACATTGGCCTTGACTAAAAAGCTTGTTCGCCCAATAACTTACGATTCTTTTAATCCACAGTCTTCCTATTTGGCATGGATGTTAGTCATGACCATTAGGTGACCCCCTTTTGATTTTGAAGTTTGGGTTAAATGTCAAGGTCACAGGGGCCTTTAGTTCAAAAAGTTTGTCCACCCAATAACTTAAGAATCCTTTAACCCCATGTCTTCTTGTTTGGTATTGAGGTTGGTTATGACTTGCAGATGACCTTTTTTGATTTTTAGGTGACTCCGGGCTTTTACTACAATAAGCTTGCCTGCTCAAATGGCTACGAATGCCTGTAAACAGTGTATTGATTTTGACATTTTCCCATTCGAAGCATTTTATTATGTTCTCATATATTCATCATAAAACATCCCCAGGCAAAGCCGCATGAATTTGGGGGTTTCAACTCATGTAGTGGCAGTTTCAGTTTTGAAGTCAATTGGTCAAAGGTAAAGGTCACTTTTATCTTTGCCACTAAAATATGTAGAATACATAACTTGGCAATGCACTGGCTTACTACTCTCAGATTTGGCAGGAAAGTTGTCCTTGAGCTCTTAATGACCACTGTTGGTTCTCACAAAGTGGTATGCGGGGGTATTCACGCCATGACAGTGGCAGTTCTAGTTTAATCACGAGCCTTAAATGACTTTTTGAAGGATAATTTGGTAATTGATTTCCCTTTCAATCATTTTTAAAGGTTCAGAATAGAAAAGATTAATGAAACATTCCGTATGAACGCCGGTGTTGATGTTTGCTTTGAACATTCAAAGCCATGTTTATTTTCTTCCGACGTATTAAAAGACGCCGTGGTACCAAATGTGTTTTGCTCACATGGAACAGGATTTCAGATACCAGGTTATTACTTACTTATTGCAATGTGAACTTTTATTAATACGCTTCTTATAACCAAAATGTTATCGGCATTTTACTCTTACTTAATTTAATTGCATTTCTCACACTTATATCTTGTTAAAATAAAGATATTTTACAAATAAGCAAAAATGTACGGGCATTGTTGCTTTATTATCTTTTTCTCTTTATGTAGAATGTAAACTGTTTTCTACTTCTTCCTTCATAGTTTGGAATGGAGAGTGAAATATTTAATTATCATTTGTAGGATTTTCCTTCGAAGCATGGTTAAAAGACAAAGGAATCCATTCTGTCAGTAATATTGGCGCAGATCTAACAAAAGATCTGTTCAATGCTTATGATCTCAATAAATATCTTCAGTCCCAACAATGTGACATCAGCGATAGCAAGTTTAATGCGATGGATGGTCAGTATTTTTAGAATACTTCATCAATAATCTAGACATACTTGAACTTCTATTGATTAATCTTGAAGGATGGATGACGTATTATGTTTATCTTATACCATTTGTCACGCACTGACATGCAAAACTATATGATCTTGCAGCATTAGTTAGTGTAAGACATTTCAATAATTTAAAAGAAGCACTGTTCTTTGAAACGAAATATCGAAAGCCTTTCACGTATTAAATGTCTGACGATTAAAAAAATTGTCTTTTGTATCAATTTTGAATATATGTTATTAAAGTCATACGCACTTATATGAAAAATACTAAAAGAATAAGAAATATCTTTATATTAAAGGAGGTTGTGCCCTCAACAAGAACATCCAAAAGCTGGATTGGTTATCATGTGCAATAACAGATAAATGCCTCGGTGTTGCTTGCTGTATGCATTCGGATATCCTGAAAAGGTCTTTTGAATTCGCATTCGAGATAGATGTTTGCAGATACGCTCTTGATCTCACAATTGAATCATACAAGTCATCATTGTTGCTGGATACATCAGAGTTTGGTTTTTGGAAAACATTTGAACTGCAAGGACTTTTGAAAATAAGGTAGTAATGTCCAATGTTTAAAGTAGAATGTAACAACCATATTTAAAATGAACCCATTAAAAAGTGATTACGTAAGAGAAATAATTGAAAGTTTAAAATAATAGCTGATATTCTAAATGATTCCAATTAAAAAAATTTCAGATATCGGATGTTTAATATGTTTGAGGACGGTTTACTGATGATTGATGCCAGCGTTAAATTGTGTCTTTCGGACAATGAGGATTGCATCCTTGACATACCCATTTTTGAGCGACAGGCAGTTCCTCAGCCTCTTTGTCAAAACGAACTTGGATTCAATATGAAAAGTAAGGAGGAATTTTTTTAAGAGTTTACTATATTCTAAAACTTCTATGCGACAAGTAAATATTTTTTTCCGCTATCGTTACCATTATGTAAAATAGATCCATGTATTTCCTGTCCAATACCGCTTTTAACAAATTGTGCCTGATGTAAGATTGTAGTATGGCTCTCTTTTATTTTGTTTAAGATTTTTCACTTTCTGGATGGCTTGAAGATAAAGGTTCTAGCGGTTTACAATCTGTTGTACCGAAAGATATGGTCAAAGACCTACTTACAGATATAGGAGTTGCGAAATACATACTTCGAGACAGTTGTTCTGTTTTATCACCTGCATGGAAATCTGGTATAACATATCTTCATTAAAATTGACATGAAGCTTTAAATGTTTTAATACGTGCAATGATTGTGAAGTTACTTGAAGTACTTAAGGCGAATGTGAAAGTGAAATATTATAAAGTCAGATGGTTGTTTATTATAAATGTTATTATTTAACCTACGAAACATCATTTAAATTAACATAAGAGCTATTGTGACATGTTGCTAGGAAGGGCAAATAACACGAAATTATTGATAATTCTGTTTAAATTTTAGATATATGATATTAGCGTACTTCTAAAAAAATAATTTCATGTTTAATTCTTTCTGAGTAAAACGTATTTAACTATGTACAACAAACAACAAATAATCAACAATATTGTACAACAATATGCCAACATATTTTTTTGTCATAACAGAATGTAGTTCCTTCAAAAGCGGAATAATGTTGCCAACTGGTATCTCCTGTATTTTGGACAAAGGTTGTAAAAGTTTGGATTGCTGCTTAGAATTGAGACAGTTACAAATGACATTGTCGTTTGGAATGAACCTTGATGTTTGTAGCATGAAATTCACAGCTAACATAGAGGAGATGACTGTGCAAAAATCTCTGTTTGACCTTTCCTTCAATACAGAACAATCAATGGACTTGTTTGGCATTTTTAAAATGACGTAAGTTAGTTAGGCGCTTCATTGATAAGCATTTGAAAACCTCTAATTGACCATGAAATTGAACATATATGTACATTGTAAAATAAAAGCATTTTAATAAATAAACGTTATGCTGTGTTTTAAAATTTGAAATTGATGTATATGTTGTTTTTAGTCGGCTAACAGTAACCGGAGAGGAGTTTAGGTTTACCCTCCGTCCGTCCGTCCGTGTGTCCGTCAGTCCGTCCGCTCCGTCCACAAACTTGATCCCGTGATAACGCAGAAAGTACTGAAAATAATTCTATGAAACTTGATTAATAGATAGATGGCATTCTGGAAATTGTGCACGTTTTTTCATTCTTTCCTTTCTTTCAATGTTGAATACTTTGGTTGCTATGGTTAAAATAGATTGAAAATGTGGCAAATTTAACACAAAAACTAGATTTTCTCCTCCTTAAACTTTGAATCTTTCTTATTTATTATTTAACTCTCCTTTTTCTTAATGGATTTCTTTCAAATTAAAAAATATACATTCATTATCAACACCTACATAATATGTAATTAGATTTATAAGTCTAGTACATGGGTTTCCACGATTTTTTTCATTTTTAACTTGAATTCTGTTTGAAAATTGTTATTTTTTCCTTTTTTCTTCTTTGTGACTATGAATGGTATCATCTTTCAACTTAAGATATTTGTTCTTTGTTATACTTACATCATGTATTACAATGTTCATAAGTCTAGCATATTTTATTGAAGAGTTATCTCCTCTTAAGTTTAAGAATTTTGCATTAAAAATGTAATATACTTCTAACAACCAGGGATGTTTAAAGATTTACCCTCAGAGTGTCTCTAAGTCTGTCTGTCTGTCCATTCTAAAAACTGTTTCCTGAGATCACTTTTAAAGAACTTGGAACTTTTCCAACAAATTTACTTAAAATAGAGAAAAGATGAAACGTAAATTATACATATTCATCCAGATTCAATTGAATCCTTTGATTATCTTTTGTATAAACGTAACTTTCTTACTAGACAGGGGAACTTAACACATTACTATGATAAAGACAAACTAAGAACTCAAAAGATTTAAGATCAATTATGTCATTCATACAATTGGATTATTGAATGACCAATGTCCCTTCAGAATGTTGCTGGAATCTAACAATTGGGGAACTTATGTATTGCTTGCAATACTATGATAATTGTTTTTATCATAGATTGGATAGTTTTAGATATGATACTAGAAATTTAGATAATACACAATACTTTCCGTTAAATAGGTATAAGATTGTTGACTTACAAGGAGCAGGAATCTTTTCCATCGGACTTAAATACAGTGTGTGTTTAGATTCAGACAACTGTCAAAACGAAACGCTTTTGTTTGATAATTTACAAATACAGAAGTCAGTTTGTGAGTTGAACCACAAGTTAACATGTAAGTCAAAATGATTACTATTAATGTGATTCGTTTGAAAGGATCATAGACTGGTTATACGTTTAGTTATTGTACTAAATATCCAATAGATAGTCAAATTTGCCAATGAGGAAGTAAAATATCATGATAATTAATATAAGTTAAAGTTGAAAATTTAAAAGCATCTTATAGCAAATGTTTTACTTTAATTTGAATTTGCTTATATATTATTAAAATTGTTGTTTACATTGTTATTAAATGATTATTTTCTTTCTTAGACCCATCATTGACTGAGTTCTTCAGATATATGGACTTTGATGAATCAAACGTACTACAGAAGGATTTGATTCCAATATTTTTACATAAAACGGGGCTTTCAAACTTCGTCGGAGATGACACGTGTTCAATAACAACTCCGAGACGCTCGCACTCAAAAACTGTTACCGGTAGTTACTTAAATGATTCAAAAGGATAATTAAAATCATTCAAACATGACACATAGAATAATACAAGTAATGAGTTTTAAAGGCTGTTTTATATCAGCAGTAACAATCATCACGATTGGAACCGTCCGATCTTACCAATTGGGCTAGAATTTGTATTACGTAGCTCAGATTTTATTTGATTCACCACATGCGTTGTCATTTAACGAAACAAAACTGACTGATAATCTTGCTGTTTCTTTATATTTTCAGAATGTGCAAATAGTGATCTGCCTATACTGAATGGTATTCTCAGTTGTTCGTTTAGCAATAACTGCAGCATGGTTAACTGTTGCTTCGACGCGCCGTTTATTCAAAGGACTCTTTCTGTCGGGTTTCATATAGATACATGTGGAAGAAAATTGACATTAAACATCGAAAAATTGACTTTCGTTTTAGAATTAAGTGAAATGACATATGGGAAAGAACAATTATTTGATTTGGCGGGGATAGTCAAACTAAGGTACACCAGTTTATACATATTAAATGAATGTTTCGGCATAGTCGTTTACTTAATAGGTTTTAAAAGCTCTTAAGAGCTTGTCTTACATAAATGTTTAAAACATTATACTTATTGACTTTACAAAGATGCACAGTGCGAGCAGTTTAGAACCACATTCCAATGTGATCAATTTCATTGTTTATATGTTTTTGAATGACAATTTAATTTATAATCATCAATAGATTTGCAAACAATGTTATAAAGTTTTGCTTTTATTTTATTTCCCATGGTATTTGCTAATTTCTTTTCTTTAATTTTATGTTTAACCGAAATCGGACTTTTTTAGTATGAAGATAGATTATATCACAGTGAATAATTTGATTGTAATGGATATGGGCGTAAAGATATGTTGGGACAAAGACAGTTGTATTCTGGACACAACTATAATGAATAGAACAGAGATATCAACGCCTCTTTGCAATTTTGATCAAGGATTCATTGTTAAAGGTGAGAGATTGTTGATATATTTATTATGATGTTGTTGTTTTTTATGATGATGATTATGATGATGATGAATGAAAAACTATTCAATTTTGAGATAAAAGAAGGAAAGCAATAAATTAATATGTTATTAATGATCGTCGAATCTTAAAGATTTTATCGTTGAATCAGATACATAATATTTAGTAAAACGACTCAATTTTCAAGATGTAAAGCTTACAAGTGCAGTGACGTTGAGTATACACACTTGATATTATCTATTGTTAATAATAAATGGCACATTAATATTTTTTTTAATTGATTTGCATGTTAAGACTAGACGTGCTTTTTCGTTTCATCCTTTATATTTTGCAATATTATTTTCTATAAGCTTTTCATTATTGCATTTTACCCCATAAACGAAGTTTAGGGGGTAAATAAGAGTAAGCTTGTCGGTCAGTCGGTTCATCGGTCGGTCGGTCAACATTATGGTTTCTTTTCGATAACTAGAGTTTGGAATTAGGTATTGTAATCAAACTTGGTATATGGAATCTTATGTGGAAACCCCGGTTTGTATAGCATTTTGACCCCTTGGGTCAAGGTCACCGTTATTAAAAGTAGAGAACTGGTTTCCGGACAATAACTAGAGTTAGAATTGAGATATTGTAATCAAACTTGGTGTATGGCAAGCTTATATAAAGGCCCCGTTGGTATTGCAGTTAATTGAAATATTTTTTTTACACAATTGATAGTTCATTTACTAAAGGTTGAGTTCAAATTTTTCTTCAGACCACTTATCTTTCAAAAGTCAAAGTTGCTTATTAATCACCCTCAGTGATAGCTCTAGTTATCCTTAATATGTTTCCGACTATAATTGTACGTGTAGCAGTCATTGCAGCAGTGCATTTGAATACTTTCATCAGCGTTTTGATTCTAAGAATTATTCGATTTTTCTTTCTTAGACTTTTCCGTTGAAAAGTGGAAGCTGGAACACGATTTAGGACCAACTGAAGTCGTTGAAGGGTTATTGTCTGATCAGCTTTTTGAACATTTGAAAATCGCTCAGTATCTGTCTCCAAGGTGCAACATCGTTTATACACCTAATATCTCAAAGGCAGCAGGTACAAACGAATTTTTCTTTTAATTATGAGCATTGTAGCATAATACCTATTTTGCTATTTTTTATGTTTACCGAAACAATAATTATGACCTTTATCAAAAGTAATTCTGGAAATTTTAGTAAATTAAACGCAATATGTTTTATATGTATGGCATGGTTTGAATTATAAATTGATTCTTTCCATTTTAGAGTGTTCTCAGAAATTGCCACATTGGTTTGAAAACAACGATGATCTTGTATGTGGATTCTATGACTCGTGTACTAACATCAAATGTTGTCTAAATTCAAAACCTCTTGGACGATCTTTCACAATCAACGTAGAAATTAAGTCTTGTGAATTCAAAATGGTCATTGCTATAGAAAAAGTCAAACAAGAGATATCGTTGATTAACTACAATTGGGGAACAAGCGAGACAGTCAGTTTGTTTGGAATTGTAACCCTTACGTAAGTGCAATCTTTCTATAAACAGTCATTTAGTCTAAAACATATTCTATAAAATTAAATCAGACTGACACATAAAAATATATTGTGTTTGCCTGTTATATTTATATATTTAATGAATTTTACTTCAAACTATCATTGAAATTCTGCTTGGAACTTACTATGTTAGCCATCAATCTACGTAAAACATTGGTCTTCTATGGCTTACAATAATACAAAATACAATGCTTCTTAACGAAAATCATAACAGAACAGCTATCAATAACATTATTTTGATATTTGAATCATGTTTTACTTTAAACACTAAGCAGGTATTCAATTTATGACGTATCAGACGAAAATGCACTAATAGTCAACATGCATCTATCTGTGTGTCCTGAACCAAAGTCTCCGTGTATATTTAACGAAATTATAATGGACTACCACAGAATAAAGAAAGATCCGTGCGACTTGAAACACGTTTCTATTGCACAAGGTTTAGTATAACATATTCTTAGAAATAATTTTATCTAGAACGATAAATACATACGGTACCATTAATATAATTAATTTTTGATTGAATTAGAGGCGTGTGTGAAAATTTTAATGCTAACCTTGTGTTACAAACAGTTTGATTTGTCACCATATTCCGATACAGCATTTAACAGTTCATAGCGCTACTATGTCTATATCACAATGTAAATACATTTTAATTATTACTGTAACAGTTTAAACTTTCATTAATGTGGCGATGAAGAAATTATGATATTACATGCAACAAAACATAAATGCTTCAACCTCATTTATATTTGAAAGGCTTTGTGCTAATGCTGCGTTAATGAAACAAAGTCACACTTCATTCTAATGATGAACTGACAAACTAGCACATTTGTAGCAATGTGTATTATGTTTTGCAGAGTTTAACTTTGATGAGTGGACGAAATTCAAGGACCTTGATTTAGGATCATTTTCAAATCATGGGACACAATATCTTATGCAAGAACTAGGAATTGATACAGTATTATACCAACAGATGTGCAATCTGTACGATAAAATATACGAATCAGATGAAGTAGAAGAAGGTAAAAAAATTAATGAAATTTTGCCTTATAATCTTTTAAGTTGAATTAAAGCATTTACAATATGTAAGTTTGATTTTATTTTAACCCTTTCAACATTTTGTCTTGGTTGACCAAAAAAAAAAGCATGCAATAAAGAAACCTTTACATAACTATTATAAAGAATATTATTTGGAAATAAAAAATTATAAAATAGTAAGTGTATGGTAAAATAAATAGACACCATATATTTTGTAACAAACTTTAAAATCCTTTCCTTTCGGCATATCTTTATTTTTAGCCTATTTATGTTGATAATGACATTAAATTTTTATTCTGTCATAGGATGTTCTCCAAAAGACATTTTTACCCCGTTGATGCCTACGGCTGCATGCAGATTTTCAGAAGAGTGTATGAATTTAGAATGTTGTTTGGATGTTCCTGACATAAACAGACATTTTAAAATCCAGTTTATATTCGATCCCTGTAACTTTAAATATTCCATCAACATTGAAAAGTTTTCTTTTGAAAACAAGTTAATTGACGTGGATATATCAGAGGAACAAACAATATCATTACGCGGCGTGTTGACAACGAGGTAAAAATGCCTGTATTTACTATTTATCATAATATAAAGTCATCATGTTTTGCACATTTATTATAGCCACCACACTTGTATTTTACGGACTATGTTTACTGTTTGTTGAATAAATATTTAAATTGAATCATTTTTTACTAGAAAAGCAAATACTAGAAATAGAAAAAAACTATAAAATGAAATTCATAAGAAACAATGTCGGATCCATAATGTTGTTTATCTGTTTTTTTTATTTCAACGAATATACCTGTTTGCATCAGTGCAACACTTTTATAAAGTAACTTTGATTTGAAATAGGAAGTCATTTGTTATAAATCCTTATCGTGACCTTAAATTCGTTTGTTGTAGATACCGTGTTGAAGATATGGCTGTAGATGGTCTTTACAAAGTTAATTTCGGAATAAAAGTTTGTTTGGACCGACACACGTGCCCATTGGATATTCAAATTTTAAACGATACATTAATCCCAAAGCCAAACTGCTTTATGAAAGTTAAACAGGGATACAAATTGAACGGTATTTGAACCCTATTAATAAATCATTATTTTTGGTTTTTATGAAGATTGTGTATCCAAATAGTTTGTGTATATCCGCGTTTTATAGGGAATGTAAATAAATGACAATAACTATGATAATTAAAATGATAACAATAATAAAAATGAAAGCAGTATTCTACATGTGCAGATGTGTAAAATAATTGATCAATACACATTGAAAAAGTCTTCCTATTTGTTGTGCTCATAATGTCAAAGTTGATTGTGAACTATACCATCTTTTTCAGACTTCTCTTTACAAAAGTGGATCAGCAACTTAAACTCTAATGTATCAGTATCACCTCTTCCAAAGGACATTGCTTCAATTTTGACAAGTGAATTAGGCATTTCCCGATTTTTGAAAACAAATACCTGTGCTAAAGGAGTCCATCCTTACCAACATCAAGGCTGGACTTTGGGTAAAAATTATATATAAAAATATAACACTGATATTTAAGACACTTGATTTGAGAAAATAAGTTGTCATTAATTGGTTTTGATGCCACGTTTTACAACATTTTTATTATAATGCAAATACGTCATTTCCAAATAATGTTATAGTGTTTTGGTATCTACGTTGAACATAAAACAAATTGAAATTTGTTTGGGTTCCCTGTTTATTTGAAAAATATTATGTGGTAATAGATAATCATATATGCTATTGATACAGTAGAACTGTTTTAGCTTTGTAAGGCTGCAGGCATTTTTTCTATTGTATTTATTTTGAACATAATAATTTGCATAAAAACCTATTTCAATGAAGAACGAATTATTCATATACGTACTTTATAGTTGATTCATTATTTCTTAAGACATGTGACTTCGTTGATTTTCTTAACAATTGCTGTTGTTATTTTTTTTATTTTATTGGATTTTTTTTTCTTAACAAAAAACATTAAATTCCATACAATTGAGCTGATGACGACATTTTTATAAAAGCCGTAAAACATTTAGTCTGGACATGTGTGCTATTATGCATAGCACTATACATCGACTGAGCTTTACCCAGACGTTCATCATTGGATTAAACTGTTAAAAAATAGCAATTGTTTTGCAATGGATCTTTTTACAGGAGATTGTCCTTTGAATGTTTCCATACCGGATCATGAGCTGAAAGAAGTTTCATGTGCGGTTACCGGATCATGTACCTCACTCACATGTTGTATACCCATTCCAATAATAGATAGTAACGTGGAAATTCATGTAGATATAGATCCTTGCACACAAATGATGAGCCTAGGTGTTGAACGTCTCAACTACTCACTCAGTCTAATAGATTATGAATTTGGCAGAAAAGAATACGTTTGGCTTTCAGGAGTCTTTCGGCTATCGTAAGTTGCGCGAGTATTATACTTACACTAAGTATCTAAACAATCTTTCTAAAACATATTTAAAAGGGTGCTTTTATTTGATTTTTCTTTGCCATTTGTTTAATAATACAAACAGTGTATGCCAGTCAGTCGAACTTTTTTGACATGCCAAAACTAGATTCCGTGATATTTTAGTTTTCTGTCAAAATCTCGGTTCTAAACCAGAAAAGTGAAAATGCAGCGAATACTAGTTCGAATATGGGTCTTCTCGGGTCAAAAACTAGGTCACAGGAGCTTAAAATAGGAAATATAGTGGGTGCAGTTTTGAACCAAATATCCTAGAAATTGATAAGGAATGTTGTTTTGATGATTTCTGGATCAAGTTCGAATATGATATATCTCGGGTCAAAAACTAGGTCACAGGAGCTAAAAATAAAAAAATATTGTTAACATTCTAGTGGCTGCAGTTTTAATCCAAATATTCTTGAAATTGATCAGGAAGGTTGTTCTGATGATTTCTTGGTCACGTTTGAATATGGGTCATCTCTGGTCAAAAACTAGGTCACAGGAGCTAAAAATAGAAACTTTTTGTTAACACTCTAGTGACTCCAATTTTGATCCAAATATTCTGGAAATTGATCAGGAAGGTTGTTTTGAAGATTTCTGAATCAAGTTTGAATATGGGTCATCTCAGGTAATAAAACTAGATCAAAGGAGCAAAAAATAGAAAAATCATGTTAACACACTAGCGGCTGCAGTTTTTATCCAAATATTCTGGAAATTGATTAGGAAGATTGTTCTTATGATTTCTAGGTCAAGTTCGAATATGTGTCATTTCCGGTCAAAACTAGGTCAAAAGAGCTAAAAAATAGAAAAATCTTGTTAACACTCTTGTGGCTACAGAATTGATCCAAATATCCCGGAAATTGGTCTGCAAGTTTGTATGATGATTTCTAGGTCAAGTCCGAATATAGGTCACCTGGGATCAAAAAAACTAGGTCACACTGCCCAAATATTGAAAAACCTTGTTGAAACACCAGAGGTTACATTTTTGACTCATTTGTCATCAAACTTAGTCTGGATGCTTGTCTAAGTAATTGCTCGGATGAGTTTGATTGGTCAGGTGAGCAATCTAGGGCCATCTTTGCCTTCTTGTTTAAAGATATTTCTTGTTTGAGATGTTTTTCAATAAGTTTTAATCGGCGAGCGTTATTATTTCTCAATTACTGGAATGTTTCAGGTTCACTGTACATGATATTACAAGTAAACACGAATTTCTTGTGTCTCTAACATTTGAAGAATGCTGGGAATCCGCTGGCACCTGTTCTAAACAGATGAAATTATTGGAAAATCAACTACTCCCAAAAAAGATCTGTAACTTTAGTACAGGCTACAATATTCCAGGTACTACTGGCTGTCATTCTATGTTTTGTATCAGTTATTATCAAGTACTTACAATAAATTTATTAAGTCGCAGATAAATGTGATTGTTTTACCAGTATGTCTTTGTTTCTTTCTGTTTACATCTGTAGCCATTACCGATGCTAAATTTATTATAATATTTTATCCCAATAACATGAAAAATTACATTCACTGATGTAATAAAATTGTATTTTGTAATAAGAAAATAATATGTAGTTTTGCTTGATATGTGATGTAACAATTATATCATAAAATCTGATAATCATATTAATGAACTTATACATATTTAATCATCCCTTTAAAAACACTTAACAATTTTACTGATACTTATTTTTTCTATTTTAGACTTTTCCCTTACTACATGGCTATCCGGGCATGGACTTAACGCACATGAAAGTCTTAAGCTACATATACGAAATGATCTCCTTGCTGATTTAGGACTTGGTGCTTACCTTAATGAACATGAATGCTCATTAAAGCAAGCATTGAATTCAGACGGATGGCTCAATGGTAAGTAAAAAAAACAACCATTTCTTAAAAAAAGTATAATCTGTCGCACTTGGTTAAAACTTCGTAAGATTTTTTGCTAAAAGAACGACTTGTGATTACAATATTGACATAAAGGAGTGTTTTAAGTGTTTTCTACTGGACTATGTTTTATTTATTTTGCAGAATGTCCAAAATCTACACAGCTGCCCTCGCTACAAAGTGGCATACAATGCTCGCTTCATGGTCATTGTACGTCAGTCAGTTGCTGTGTATCTATGGATCAGATAGGATATTTCCTCCAAGTCGGCCTCGATATAGACCCATGCTTGCATACCCTTACAATACAAATTGAACGCCTCAAAAGAGAAATCCCCTTATTAGAATATTCGTATGGAACAACTGAAGAATTTTGGTTGTTTGGTATTGCACGGATAAGGTGACGTTTCTTAAGCATACTTTTTAAAACATTTAAACACTTATTACCTTTTTATGTTTGATAGATAATTTATTTTTATATTCAGAATACATGAGATTTTTATTTCAGGTAATTCGTTAAATCTTGTAATTCGTTGAACAATTTTATTGTATATATGTTCTGGTTTTAACACCAACTTTAACACTATTTTCGTCATTCCTTACCGTCTTCCTTGATAACTTACAAATAATTACCAATTTTTCTGCAAGTGAGTGATCGCCTACTAATTCCGAATGATTTCCAAATCAGCGGTTATAGTCAGATTAATGACATATTCGATGTTTTCCCTATTTAGCTTAGGTGGCTACATTGGAAGCAATAATTATTTTGATAATGGACCAGCTAACTGTAAACATTTCATAGTTTTACAATCTTTCCATCTAAAATAACAACACAAGTAAATACTACTCCCATTTTATCTTATAACAGGTATCAAGTATACGATTTACAAGAAGAAAGAAAATACCAAGTGTCTGCGGAAATAAGCATTTGCACTGAATCTCATTTACCATGCAAAGTTTATAAGGTTTTTGATAATACTAAGCTGCACCAAACTCTTTGCGATTGGGAACTAGTAACGAAGCCTTTTGAAGGTACGCCTTTAACTGTATCGTTGTAATTCTATTATACATCATGAAGAATGAAGCGATTTATACAAGAAGCAAATTATACTTATTCTCTTATAACATGATACCATATATAATTTACACACACAGTTAAAAGTTCACCGAAATTAAACGCCTTTAAAATGGCCACAAATGTTTAATGGATAATTAAATCTCTTTCACCAAGTACATTCTATTTTTGTGTCACCTTTACATCACTTCTCCGTTGTCTGCCCGTCCGTCTGTCTGTCTGTTTGTTTGTTTGTCTTTCCGTCTGTCTGTCCGTCACAAAACTTGTCCTGACTGCTTTTCAAACAAAACTGGTGCAATTTCATCCGAACTTTACAGTAATTATCAGTGCCAAGTTTAGTTGGTTATATCGTCATCATTTTCCGATTCAATTATTTTGTCAGAACTATATCCCTTTAATAATGCTTAAAGTTTGTCCGGACTACTTCTCATACCACGAAAGTAATTTCAATGAAACTTTACAGGATTGATCTGTAGCACAAGAACTTGCGTATATTACGTGGGTTTTCCGGTTAATTTATTTTTTGACTGCGTTATGACCCTTGAATAAAAAACGCATTTTGTTCTGTTTGTATCTCCTGATACCTTAGCTGCAACATACAATTAGCTATCATGAGACGACACATGTGGTCACTGATCGCTCTTGTATTGAGATGTGCTTTTATTTACTTAGAGACATTGAATAAACATATAAATCATACTTGGGTGGTGTTAATAAAAGTATTATATTGTTTTTAACCTAGAATTTTCATTGGCTAACTGGATGGATAACTTCGGGGGAATTAAGAACATCAGCAGTCTGCCAGTTTACGCTTATGATTTACTTTATAACGACATGGGTATTGCAGACTTTCTCTCGGAGAGTCAGTGTGTTGTCGGCTTACATCCATTTATTACCAGAGCCGGCATTTATAACGGTATTTATGATCCTTGATTTTCTATTGTTTAGATTTTATAGGTGGTATTGTTTTGCTCAAGGTTGTCATATGAATTAAGTATCATTTTAGTTATCTATTTATCTAAGGCAAAATTGTGAATTACATACTAACACCAAATTAGAATCAGCTTTTTTTTTGCCTTTCTTTTTTATGTACTAAATATTTCGTCTTTACATATAATTCTAAAATTTTGCATCAAAATAAATCTGATTATTAAGACTGGTAAATCCTGCATTTAGGTAGGCGCATGCGTAAACTATGCATAAAATGTATTTCATTATATCCGAATAATTGGAGAGCTTTCTATAATATGTTGAACAGAATGTACCGGATATTCTAAGCCAACAAAACCACTGGGTCCGTTATCCTGCCATCTTAGTTCTACTTGCATGGATATAGAATGTTGCATCGACACAAACATTCTACCTAGAACACTTCACACATATCTAAAGATAGATGCTTGCCAGCAAAAACTGACTGTTGGCATTGAAAAATTCACGTTTGAACTGAATTTAGTCAATTACGACTATGGCGAACAGGAACAGTTTTGGTTACAAAAGATTATTCGAGTGGAGTAAGTATCAAACCTTTACGCACATAACTCTTTAATGTATTAGAAATTGATCCGTCCGTAAAATATAATATATAATAGAAAATGTATGTATTTAGATTAAGCCGTAACGTCTTCATTAAACAACCACATGCTCATAGATTTTTATGCCCCCTTTCGAAGAAGAGGGGTATATTGTTTTGCTAATGTCGGTCTGTCCGTCGGTAGACTACATGGTTTCCGCTGATTATCTTGAAAACTATTTATCACAAAGACTTCATATTTCACATAGTCATTGGTCATAACTAGTAGATGACCCCTATTGATTTAATGGGTCACTAGGTTAAAGGTCAAGGTCACAGGGGCCTTAAATATCTGAATGGTTTCCGCTGATTACCTTGAAAAGTATTCATCACAAAGTCTACTTAGTTCACATATTGATTGGTCATAACTAGTACATGACCCCTATTGATTTCTTCTATAACAAAATTACCAATTAGTGAGTTAAGGGCTAGAAAGGGGGCATATGTGTCGTTCGACATTTCTTGTTAATGATAGCTTTCATTCAATTTCAGGTCATATATTGGTCATTATTTTTTTTACATAACAGAACACTTCCATGTACCCCTTTATAGCATGTTTCTATAACAAAATTACCAATAGTATGAGTCAAGGGCTAAAAAGGGGGGCATATATGTCGTTCGACATTTCTTGTTTTAAAATATTTCCATTCAGTCATGAATAAATTTGGACATAATATACTAAATGAATATGAAAAAAAAACGCACGTAAGAATGCATGTATAAAATGTTAAACACAATATGACAAAATAGAACTATTGCCTACATATCATATACCCTTTCTTTTTCTTGATTTACAATTTTTTTTACAGTTTCCGCCTTTATGATTTACAAGAGGAAGCAGCATATGTTATTGATCTTGATGTCAGTGTTTGTCTTGAAAGTGGCGGTGCTTGTTCTCTTAAGCAAACTGTATTTTCTCAAGCGGTTTTACCTAAACCACAGTGTGCCCTCGCTGAAGGATTTAAAAAGAACAGTAAGTCATTAGCAACATAATGGTATTTGATTATGTCATGTGTTTGTAACACATATTCCTAAACAATTGCCTTGAAGGAATATTGTATAAAAAAAAACTAAATCAAAAAATGGTAAAAAAATGGAATCTTAAAGAACGCCCAAAACAAAAAGAGCCGTTTTTATTGTTGAAATTCAATATTGATCTCCTTATTGATCTTTTCTTACATTTATTCAATTTTACAACTTCTATTTTGCCTTTAGATTTTTCAATTTCTGGCTGGATAAAAAACCACGGATATACACTTGACCAAAGCATTTCGGACTTGGATTATTCAGCGTTGATGTCAGATCTTGGCTTGCCTAGATATCTCTCACAAGGAGAGTGCACTCTGCCAGACTATGCAAATAAAGCTTTAGATGTTGCAATGTCAAGTAAGTTTGTATTATTGGTATTCCGTAAATGGTTCCGATACACATATTGTTTTAGATAAACTTCAATAAGATACTGCAACAGTGAAGAAATATTATTAAATTACATAAGAAACTGAAAATAAATTTTGAAAAACACATTGATACATTTAATTCTCTTAACGACGGGGAATTAGTAAATTCCTGTTTGTATTTTTGATACAAAGTATTTTATGAGGAACACAATTGCAGGTAACATATATTATTATTGCAGAATGTGCTCTTAGTCACTTTCTTCACAGTCTTCCAAGTGAATTGAAGTGTTATCTATCAACATGTAACGATGTGAAATGTTGCCTGTCAGTGAATCCCATCGACAGAAACTTCAGTATACAATTCAGTGTTGATCCTTGTCAGCAGTTATTAACTGTGGAGATTGAAGAGTTCAAAGTACAACTGTCTTTGCAAGATTTCGACTGGAACAAAGAGCAAGAAATTTACTTGAAAGGAATAATAAGATTAATGTAAGACAGGTCATTTTAGTATTATAACATTTTCAATTTTGTCCTGTCTGGCTTTCTTTGGGGATTCTGATTTTCTCTATTTTGTCTCGTCATACGCCATTTCAATGTTTTTCCATACCAGACGTTTTAAAAAGTCGAAAAAGTTCTGATAAAGAATACATTAGTGAAGTAAGATTTATTAGACCATACTTATATCATATCATATTTTTCGCCCTTTTTATGATTTATATTGCTTTACTAATAATAAATTGTTAGATAATTACAAGACTAATACTAGAGTATAAAAAATATTTATTAATCAAAATATTATCTATTAAATATACATTTTTGTTTATAAGTAACTTGGATGTACCGTTTCCTCTATCAGATTTGTTTTGGAAAACCTTGACGGTGAAAATGCTTTTGTGTTGACGTTAACAACTAAAGCATGCCTTGAATCAAACGGCACATGTTTGTTTGAGAAGAACATTTTCAACAAGGCGAAATTTTCAAAACGATTTTGTGATTACTCGACAATGGAGACATTCCCTATAAAGGGTATGTTTATCTGAGATTTAGATCATGGCAATATTGAAACTTCCTTATAAGAGAACATATACTTTCATCAATAAAGACAGATCATCTTAAAATAGACGAAATCCCTTTCTCATTATAATGGACAATTTACAAAAACAAAGCTTATTTCTTACTTGTACCGACAAATTTGTTTGAGGTCAATTATAGACACATTTTCTTATGTGGTTTTAATAAAAAATTATAAGCACAATGATAGTATTAAACATTAAAGAGTCCATATAATGGTTGCACTGAATATATCATTTACTTATTTGATTTGCAGACTTTTCACTACTTGAATGGAAATTACAAAATGAAGTCCAAACAGACGTGCCACTTGAAAAGCCATTCTCCGATATTTTACTTGAAGACTTAGGCCTGTCAACGTACATAAATGACATAGAGTGTAATGTTAACAACACAAAGATAAATTATGGATGGGAAAATAGTAAGTTTTATTCAACTAAGAAAAATATTTAAACGATTTTAAATGCTAACACGATATCATTTTTATAAAATACATGATCATAATGTTGAAGATATGACCAACTTCAGCAGCGGCGATGTACATAAAGTTCAAAAAGTATCATAATCAAAACAAAAACAAAAGTGTTGTGCAATTATAGAAAGATCTAGAAACTTAAATTTGTTTGCTTGAATCGACAATTATTTTTTTCATATTTGTTTTAACATTAATATGTTGATAGCTGAAAATGAACCGTTATTCTGGCCGTTTAAAATAAGACACATGTATATTCTCTTTTTCCATTTTCGTGTTATGCTTAGTTATGGCTGATATCTCGGCTTGGAAATAAAAACAAAACAATTAAATTTTTTTAAAAAAGATTAGAGAAAATATTTAATTTAACAATTATTTTAATTTAATAACATTGTCTTATTCTCTCAAAAGGTTGTCCGTATACAAATACCAAAGCCTTGCCGTCAAGTATGTCATGTACTCTGAATAGTGCATGTACGAAGCTAGAGTGTTGTGTGTTTGTGAATGCAATCAACAGAAATATCAAATTTTATTATAACATCGATGTATGTAAGTCAACAGTGGAAGTAAATGTTGAAAAACTACAGTTGAGAAGAACTATATTCGACTTTATACGGGGTAATGGATATACAAAAATCATTAAGTTAAATCAGGGTCTTTCAAATAGAATTCTATTTGAAAGACCCTGGTTAAATTAATAGTTTGATTAATTGTCGTTGAAAAAAGATACCAAACGAGATAGTAATTTCTACGTATGGTAAACATATTGAAAATACAGTATAAATTTAAAAGTTTTATAAAGCTTAACAGTAAAGTTGAAATATATTCTGAATAAATATGTATGAAGTTCATCGGAAAGATTAGTCATAACAAATGGAGTTCTCTTGTCAGAATGAAAACGTTAAAACTTTAACATATCGCTTAAAACTACTGTTTTATTTTACATTTAATTACTGTATTCCTGTGTGAGCTTATTATTTACTTCAGAATATGAAGTTATTATTTGAAATTAATCCATGTACCATTTTTGGCATTATACATTACTTTATCAAAATGTTAATTTGTGTTGTACATTGTTTATTATGAAGATTGACAAGAAACATTAATTTACAATATTCGATGATATACAAAATGTTGATATGGCTGTTTGCTTAACAAATATTTGTGTTATTCTAACAGAACAGACAAAAAGATTGAACTTTGGAGGCATCGTTCGCTTTGAGTAAGTAACACGGCCCGTTTTCCAAGATAACTCTGTATGAGGATCTTTCTTAATTCAAAATGTCACCATTATCATGTTTAAATGTTGCGTTCTGCTAAAGCCGGTGTTAGGAGTCGTGGGCGGACGTTTGCACATGACAGTACCGTCCGTGAACAGACTCAATGAAACCGAGTCTGCACATTTTCAATTTTGCCATTTTGGACATTCTATAGGGAATCCTATTCTCTCTATTTTGTCAGATATTCTTCTATATAGTCTATCTGCAGGTATGTGTAATATTATTCAAAATAAGTATCCGGAAAGTGAGATATACTTTACAACATATATTTGTCAGCATAAATTTTAATTTATGTTAAAATATAGAATTGCAATTATAGCATTCCTTTTTAAATCCACTCCAAAATGCTACAAATATTTTTTTTAAAAAGCGCGAATATCACAATTTTACCGTCCATGTAGCAATTTCAGTTTTGCCGTTAGGGAGTTTTTGGGGAGTTCCGTTTTTCTCTATTTTATTGTATCTACTTTTGATAGCTTTTCCTTCTTCGACCTACAAAATGAAAAGAAGATCATGTCAACTGCGAAGCTGAGTGTCTGCTTTGAATCATCCTCGTCATGTGATATACAGTCGACCATTCTTGATGGAGTGCTCTTTCCTAAACAGTCATGTAAATGGAATCGGGATTATGTTACAAAAGGTTATTGTCTTCTTCAGCTTTTTTACATCTTTTTATTTTATGTGATATTTCAATGAGCAGTAATTTGCTTGAATCCTATTGGCATCGTATTAATATTGATTAGCTTAAAATAAAATGCAATACTAGAAAAATAAATGTCAAACCACTTAAAATATTTTAAGATTGTGATTAGGAAGAAATCACAGCAATTACGAAAGACAGTAACATTATTAAATCATATCCTTAATATTACATTACACTGTTACACATTTGCGATGTGTTAAATATATGTGCTAGTTTTTGATATAATTTGAATTTCAAAATCAGTATGAAACGTCAAAAATGAACAAAAAGACAAGTCATGTTATAGATATACAGCAGATATACAGTTTTATCACTTCTATTTATTTTTAGAATTTCCAAGGGATATGGTATGCACTTTTATCATGAAGAATTACCCTTGCTTTTATTTGTATAATTGTTTTCTTTCAAATCACATATCTGTTATGCCAAACTTTGCTTTCTAGATTTCTCTTTGCAAAAATGGATATCCAATGAGGGGTTAACAGCCGGCAAGCCTTTGGATTCATATTACTCCTCAAAGTTGTTGAACTCACTCAACCTTTCTCCGTTCCTTAACGAAACATCTTGCCAAGGAAATGTATCAAGAAATACTTCATGGACGAATGGTTAGAATACATATTTGTATATCATTCAAATATTTGTCAGTTTCTTTTAAAAAGGCAATAAACTATATTCTTAATTGGTTTAGAATTTTTACACCCAACAATAATGTTAAACTTCTATTTTTCTGAAAGGCATCATTTGATTGTATTTTAAATGTGTTTTGACAAAAAGCAAATCTTAGAACTCTATTGTATCTTAAATTTGACTATATATCATAATTCAGATTGCCCTAGAACTCTTACAACCGGATTGCAGAATTTGCCACACAACGTGTATTGCACTATTGGCCAGAGCTGTACTGATGTAGAATGTTGTGTTGAAGTAGAGACAGTCAATAAAACTTTCAAAACTCTGTTAAACGTTGATCCTTGTACACATCAAATAACGTTTGCAATTGAAAAGTTTAAACATTCAAAACAACTGTTTAATTACACATGGGGTCAGACAGAACATCTATGGTTATACGGAGTCATTCGTTTGAGGTAAGCATTGTATACGTTGTTTATGAAATGTCGCATTTTTCGTTTGAATTTTACCGTATATATAGCTTATTGCTTATTGATAATCGACGAATAAGCATATACATTAATTTACGATATTTTTCATAGCTAAAATAAAAAAGCAAACTTGGGCTATAAAAGACATTGTTTTTGTATAAATGTTATTCTCTTCCTTTATACAGTGTGTCTGTTTATAATCTTGAGAGAGGAAGTTTGATTTGGATATATGGTATATGGTATATACAAGCACAAGGACTTTCTCCAGGCAATGACTTGACAGAAAAGTACACGCACATACTGTACAACGACCTTAATCTGTCACCATATATTGGCGAACAGTGCAACAGCAGCACACTTAATATTTCCAGCTTAGGATGGGCAAACGGTAGCATTTCATTATTCATATTTTCGTTATCTTATTGTCACCTCCATATAGTCTCTCTGAAAAAAGTCATAAAACATTGTTAAAACATTGCTATAACAAACGGTATAGAATATAAATCTGCCTCAAAATACTATCCCACTCTTTATAAATTGAAAGTTACCGGTAAATTCCAATGGATATTGACAGAACGTTCATTTAGCAACGTGAGTTTTTATTGTTCATGGGAAGTAAATTATAAAAATTAAGAGGAATTGTGGCAAATCGGACCTTCACCTGATCATTCACCCTTGGATTATATTACCCTCGTTCATATATTACAGAATGCCCATACGCAATTGATCTACCTAAGCTACCGGATTCTACAAAGTGCCGAGTCCCAACATTTTGTACAGGCATAGAATGTTGTTCGGAAGTGAGCCTTCTTACAAGAAAACTGAATACATACATTTTCTTCCAAACTTGCTTAAATCGACTTGAAATAGGAATAGAAAAGATGACATATAATTTGGATTTGAATGACTTTGACTTTGGAGAAGAGAAAATCGTCAGTTTACAAGGAGTTTTCAAACTTCGGTAAATTAAATATAGTTTCTGATGTTGAAAGAAGTTAATAACAATCTCTGATATATAGAGAAATTAGTATTATTAAATATTATGTATAGAATTAAACATCAGTTTCGACCTTAAATAAAAACACCTCTTCACTTCTTCTTTATGTGATTTATGCAAAATTAATGAATTAATTTTGAAATGTGTATTTTAATATGATTTGTTTATTGTAGCTTTGTGATTGAAGACTTGAGAAATGAAGGTGTTCTTCTGATGACTTTCGATATAAATATATGTTACTATGCAAAGAAAACATGTTCCGAGACTTTTAATATTCTAAAAAATACAAAACTACGAAAGCCTGTTTGTGACATGAGTACAGGATACAAAATCAAAGGTAGTTTGGCGTGCAATGCATAGTAGATTATATCAATAATATTTAAAAAAAATGAAAGTAGAATAAAAATGCCTAATGATGAAAAGTACTAAGGGTTAAGAAAATATAATTTGTCAAAAACACGCAGTATAAAATCTTTTGAAACGAATATGCTATTGTATTTTTACACCTTAAGTAGAAATTCGCTTGCAGTAAGTTTGGCATAAGCTGAGCAAATGTCACTCGAACAAAAATGTATGTGTTTGAAATTAAATGTTATTACATCTTATTATAGATTTCTCGATGAAGAAATGGCTAGCAGACAAAGGTCTTGTTGCAGGACTTGTCGAGGTTTTGCCTATGTCCATGTTACATGAGGAACTGGGCATATCTACATACCTAAAGGAAGACGTTTGTAAAATACATACAAATACAAGTTGGAACAAAGGTAAGCGAGAAAGTATGTTTTTGAATTTGATTAAAACCAATGTATATAAAAAAAGAAAGAACATATAATAATGTTTCTGTAAAACAATTCTTAAATGCTATTGTTATTTTCAGAATGCCCTCTCGATGTTCTGTTACCTAATCTGCAGGATAACACTTTCTGTACACTCAGTAAGACATGCGATGCCATTGACTGTTGTATGCACTCCACACTTCTTCAGCGTAATTTTGCAATGAGTCTGCAAGTAGACCGCTGTAAAATGACATTGACAGTTGCTATAGAGAAACTTTCGTTTGAAATATCACTGCTCGATTATGATTGGGGTAAGAATAATGAGAATGAAGTAAATGAATAATGTTAAAACTGTTTTTGAAATGTTATTAAGAATGAACAAAAATCACATAGGTGCAATAGCTATATTCAATCTGCGTTTGAAAACATATTGATCATTCGTTTCATACATTGATTTGGAAAGGTTTTTTTTAATTATTGATAAATGTATGTTTGAACATCTTCTTTTAAATACATTGCAGGGAAAGAGAAACAATTTGACCTGTTTGGTGTGATTAGAATGAGGTAAAGTTTTAATAGATTAATCCTGATAAATATAGGAAATTATACGAAAAATAACATATATGTCTGCTCATCTGTCACAAAGTGTTATGGTGAGCTTTTGTGATCGCTTTTCTTCCGACGTACGTCCAGCGTCTGTCTATCGCTGAGCCAATATTATCCAAACTTTACAGGAATGTTCCTTTGGTAGTCAACTTTAAAAATTGTTCAAAGAATTCAATTCCATGCTGGTTGCCATGGTAACTGAAAGAAAAAACTTAAAAATTCTTCTATTAAAAAACCGGAAGAGCTAGAGCACGAATCTTTGACATGAAACATTGTCTAGTCATTGCCTACCAAATTTGATCAAATAAAAGCATTGGGTCAAAATTGGCCCAGTCCCGGGGGTTGGGGGGTCATTGACTTTTCTTATTTGTTTGTAGTTTGAACTTAAAAAAATCTTCTTCTGAAAACCCAAATGGCTAGAGCTTAGATATTAATCATAAAACATCTCCTAGTGGATGTTTACCAAGTTTGTTCAAATAAAAGCCCTTGGGTCAAAATTGGCCCCGGGCCAGGGGGGTCATTGTGTTTCTTCTTTATGTATATAATAGTAAAAACTTAAAAGTCTTCTTTTGGAAAACCCATAGAGCTAAGATATTTAGCATAAAAAATCTTCTAATGGATGTCTAACAAAGTTATTCAAATAAAAGCCCTTTGGTTAAAATTGGCCCGCCCCAGGGGGCTATATACAGGTAAGCAATTTCAGAGCCATCGTGGCCTTCTTGTTAAATATTTTCTACTGAGAGGGTTTCTGATAAAAAAAAAACAACACTTTTATGTATAAAAGAAATATAAGTATTTAATTTGCTTTGGATGCATGTACTTCCAGATGCAAAATATTCAATTATTCAAAACATGATTATAATTTTTACAGATATTCCGTTGACGATCTACGTGTGTCAGGAATGTACCTTTTAACTGTCCAAATGGCTGTTTGTTTGGAATCTAGCGACAAATGTGAATCAATTGCTACGGTCCTTAATAATACCCTCATCACAAAAATGCCATGTGATCTTGATCCAGGATTTGTCATTCAGAGTAATATTTTAAAATTTAGTATTTTAAGTGTTACAATAGTATATGTTGATATATTTGAAAAAAAATAACTACATTTTCAAACTGACTACATACATATGTTTATATGTCAATATGAGATATTGAACAAATATTATCATAAAATGTCAAACATTTCAATGATTACATGGTTCTTGTATATGCTTAAATGCATAGAATCTGTATATCTATGACTCATATTTGCAACAACGTACTATTATTATTTTTATGTCTTGGATTTTCATTAATTAAATGAAAATCTTTCTTTTTCTTAGATTTTTCACTTTCCTCTTGGCTCGCAACAAAAGGATATCCTCTCAAAAGTTACCTGGGTTATGACGTTACATCTGAACTGCTAGAAGTTCTAGGAATTGTTGGGTACCTTAACGAATCACAGTGTATAAGGAAATCACCAACATATAAACCGTCAGCTTATGGTTGGAAAAAAGGTATATTATTGAAATGGTAGTATTGATTTTTAACATCTTCATTGTTTGTTTGTTTGTTAGTATATAAATAACACATGGGTTTGTGGGTAACAGTAAAAATATCATCCTGAGGAAAATACTGTTACCCGAGGCGTAGCCGACAAACCCATGTGTTATTTATTTTATTACCCCGAACAAAAATACTGTGATGATCTGAAATTGTCAACTAAATCTAACTGTAACAAAAATAAACCAAGAGTAACAATTACCAAACTGTCCTTACCTTTTAAGTTTTAAGTGTACTTTAGGCCTACTTGAGAAGTTTTCTTTTTCTTTTATTCTTTAAGCAAGTGATGATATCTACAAATGATAAACATACAATAAACTAGGTTTTATTTAGAAAACAAAACACTAACCCATTTACACGGTTATGATCTGTGAAATCTGATCCTTCTGTTTCCAGAATATTCTTAGCATGGTTTTTGACAAAATAACGATGATATCCTATGTCTGTCCACCATATCTGTAACGTTTCACTGATAAAAAATGTTAAATAATCCTTTGTTGCATGCTTAAATCGTCTGCATGTTCCAGTTTGACACATAATTATTTACATTGCAATTACTTCCGTTGAAAACGGATGTTCACTTTTTTGACTATTCAACAAAAAGATATTTTATACGCGAAAAGCACACGAGGGTGAGAACAATTAAATTGTATAAGTGTCATAGTTACTCCAGAGAAGAAATTGATGTCCTATCGGGGTTTTACGCCGAAAATAAGAATGAATCGAGATAAAAATGGCGACCATTTTATTTCATTTTATTTAGAAAATAGACCACGTGACCAGATTTTATACTGTTAAAAAAAAATGTTACCAATGTAACAGTACAAAATTCTTACTCACGTAGTACACTTGCATTAACAGTAAAAATAACTCCCAGAGGCCGCCTATGAGAAATTAGCATTACGAAAAAAGTGAGGGGGTAATAATATCATCTCTCCGTTTAATAAACTAGGACTTTTTATTTCAGTACAGTGCTTGTCGTATAGTATCTTATCTTTCAGAGTTCAAGGAATGAACAAACTCTCTAAACCGATTTCAAGCATATAGGTTTGATTATGTATCTGATATGATCTAAAGGCATTGCATTTAGATAAGCGAACAATTTTTCCAAAAATCTGATTTAGGAAAAAAATATATGCAATTTGGGTGTTGAAGAAATTCATCCATATTTAAAAAAAATTGACATTTTTCATTTAATTTCATATGCAAAAAAGTGAATTAATTAACGTTTTTGGTAACATTTACGGATAATTAAGTCTTGCCTCAATCATTTTATGTTTTGCACATATGACAAAAAGTTTTATTATCATATGATTTTTCGTAAAAACTCAAAGGCATCTGGGTTACACTGCTATAAGAAGGAAGGTCCAATGCATAATTTCTTTTTCTTTTATGCTACTTTAATTTTAAATAAACTTAACGATTCTACCAATAAAAGATACATAACATCTTCTTTCGTTTGTACAGATTGTTCACTTGGTGTTAACATAAGTCCTCTAGAAAACATACTCTCGTGTAACCTCCAAGAATCATGTTCTGCCGTTGATTGCTGTGTGGATATTTATCTGCTGGAAAGATCTTTTAACGTGAAGTTCAACCTAGACCCTTGTTCAAGCACATTAGAACTGAGCATAGAAAGGCTGCATTTTGATGTTTCTTTAGACGATTACGTCTCTGGTACGTATCGAAAACTTGTACAAATACATGAGACTTATCACATAAATTCGTTGAGTCAATTTTTTATTATATTAAGTTGATTAAGTAGTAATATAATAATTTAAAATAAAATAAACAGACAAAACTAATTTGCCTACTAACTGATCACTCTTATTGCTTATTACTATTTATTTGTAGAAATTTATTACTTTTAATGAGTTTTAGTAAGGCCTATCTTTACCATGTATGCCAGGCTTTATTAATAAGATGTTCTTGTTTTTCAGGATCTCAGTCACGTTTCTGCTTATACGGAGTTATTTGTTTAGAGTAAGTCCCATACAAATTCAAGACATTTCATAATGATTATACTACTCAGATACAGTGTTTCGTCTTTTACTTAAGGTTGGCGCTTTTGCAGAAAATACTTTTGCTTGCTCAATCACAACGACCGCGAATTTTGCGAAAATATAGTTACTGTTCACTCTCTGTTATGCTGATTCATTGCAGAAGCAGCTTCATAATGGTGCTACAGTAGATAATAAAACGAATCATGCTAGACCATGATTAATAAAGTTGAAAACAATAAAAACCAGAACAAACTTTATTAGTGTATTTCTGGTGTGCTTTTTATATTAACCGCCATTTGTATCTTGAACTAATACTAACTGTATAAGTTTGAGAAATGATAAGTTATATAGTGTTGCGCATACAAACGACGAACACTACTTAAAAAGTTCGTCAACAGTGATTTTATTGCATGTTTACACACACTTCGTGTGAAAATGTGGGTCGTGTTAGAAACGTAAATGAAACATGTTCTTTACATTGCGTATATCGAGTGTTTATCATAGTAAGTAACCCCTGTAGCACGCTATTATTGAAGATACACAAATTATACAGTTTATATATGTCAACAGTCTGTGCACTTTAATACCTCACGATATGGAGTAGTACGTCCATGAAAAATATACGAAATACACAGATAGAATTGCATGAAAGATATGATGTTCTACTTTTAAGTTAATGAATAAGGAGAAAATTATTTTCTCTTAGGCACTCTTTTCTGCCTATAAACGTTCGCGGTAAAATGCCAACCCCGAAAAGCGCTGAGTTAAAAAGTGCGTAATAATTTCTAGATTTGAAATAATAGTAATGATGGGTCAAATTAAATAGTTTTTAAATTATTATGTGAAAAATTTAATACCAGTACAGTTGACAATCCTTTTACAGATAAACATTTGTATGAAAGAATAAATTTATGTCAATCAGTCTCATTTTCTTTTGTAATGTATAATCATTTAATGCCATCATTTGCAGCTACTCGATAAAAGATCTATTCTGGTCCAACATCTATATCGTCGATCTGAAGCTCAGTGTTTGTTTCGAATCGTCATCATCTTGTCAGGTTGAAAGTCAAATATTTAAATCCACCGTTTTGCCGAAAATGATATGTGACTGGGAAAGTGTGAATTCTGTAGAAAGTAAGTTAAAATGTTTATATTGCATGCACATTGTAGTGAAATACTTGGCATGCATAGTCAAACATAAAAACACGTTCCCTGTTGTCATAATATGAAACCCCAGGAAAAGGTAACCAATGAACGAGCATCCGAATATGATATTTCTGTCGATTTTCCTTTCTCTGCCGTCACAATAAGTAAAACCCAGCAAACATGAGTCAATCAATGGTCATGCTCTGGAGTGCGAGTAACTAATACCTGCACTCCAGTTAACGCACTCTGCATTTATACGATTTAACACTTTTTCAACAGAAAGGTCCCCAAACTATGATACAAGTATAATTATTTCACACCTTACAAAATATATCCGCTGAACCTCTAGCATTCACATAAGGTTTTCTATAAAAAATAAATCATCATTTTATCCACTTTATCAATTTAGCCTCATGGTGAGTCCAAACAATCTATATCATATTATAATCCCTTTTATACTGCATTTAGCATCGATTCCATTACCAAGGTTAAAAGCTATATGTAATCACTTTTGTACTACCTTTAGCCTTATTCCGTTTTCAGTTTCCAAAACTACCATATCAAATAATTTTCCTATTGTACTAAAAGTAACAAAGTTCTGTTAAATTTAAAAAATGGTTATGTAAAATAAAAAGGTCATTCTATAATGTTGAATACAATAGGATTCTATGTTCTCGTACACAACACAAAAAATATATAAAACTAGGCTATCTCTCGTGCAATATATGTTTGACGGGGCCAAAAGAATTATAAGTATAGTACTTAGTTATACATGTATATCAAAACTTTAAAGTATACGTCGAATGGTCGGTACCCCCATTTCTTAACACGTGATTTCGTCCCCGCTAAGCTCATCCTTTTAAAAATGTCAGCACATATTTTTGTATGTAGATTTAATATGCAAAGTTTATTATAAAAGTTTTTTTATCAACTTCTTGAAATCTTTGCTTTATTTTCGATCAAACTATAATACGAAAAAAAATTTGAAAACGTAAGTGTGAAAAACTTTTATCTAAATGATTAATTGTGAATTCATCCTTTTCAGACTTCACATTGGCGAAGTGGTTTTCTGAACGAGGTTTTGCAGACATGAGCACGCTTCCATCATACATCGCTACTATACTTGCAAATGATATTGGACTGTCGATGTATCTCGGCGATAAGGAATGCGATAGACAGTCAGTACCGTATATGTCCAATTCATCAAGCTGTTCATCAGGTAGTCAATAAGAGTTATCGTTATCATCAGTATAGTTTTAAATGTCTTAAGTCTTAGACTGGCAATTCGATAGATGTACTAAGCGTTATTTCATTTGCTTCTCTTGTATCTTTTCATTTCTAGATAGAAAATGGTTATGTTCATATGTCGTTTATTGTGACATGCATTGCCTTAAAGCTATGTTGTTATAGTATGGCCTAACAGTTGATGCATTGCTAATGATGTTAATCGAAACTTAACCAGTATCTTTAGATAATATATTTGTAATGTGATTTTTGACAGGTTGTATGTAACGGTAAAAATAAAACCTGAGCAGCGAGACGATGTTCATTTAGCAAACAACCGCGTATACTCGAGCATAACGAAATAAAACTATGGTACTGCACAATCGCTATCATTTATTTCAATAAAGCTAATTCATGATTGTAAATATCATGATTGTCCTTCACATGTATGCATTATTATACACGTATTACAATTTTTAATATCTTGAATCTCCAGATTGCCCTCTGTCAATAAAAAATCCAGTGACAATAAGTAATGACCTGTCTTGTCATATACCTGACTACTGCACAGCTGCTGACATCTGCCTTTACATTCCACTTATCAATCGCAATATCCATGCTTACCTTAGACTCCATTCATGTGAAGCCTTACTAGAAGTTGGTATTGAACAGTTCACATTTTCAGTTGGATTATTTGACTACGAATTCGGTAAATACGATGTTTCATTTACAACTTTGCATTGTTTAACAAGTTTGACATTTTGCATCGTTAAAGAAACCTTTTTATTCGAATATTGAATAATGAATATTCATATAAATTTACCGTATTTATTAATACGAATGGCAAACAGTTTTTGTTTCAAATAATACATTAATACATTTGCAAACGTATAGACCTTAAGATACACGACTGCTTTCGAATATTAAATGTTGATATTACTTGACAATATTCTAAACACTAGTATGCATTAAAAACGGCAAACATTTAAATCGTTTCAAGGAAAAAACTTGCAAAAGTCAATATAAAGCTTATCGTGCTTTTACATAAATATATTCCCTTCAAGTGATACGTATTTTTCATTTTAAAATATATGAAAATAAAATTGATATTTAAGCAATTATTACTTAAGGGGATTATTGGATTTCAATAGTTTTATTAATAATGAATTCTGTAAACTTCAGGAAAAGAACGTGAATTAATTCTCAAAGATGTTTTCATGCTGAAGTAAGTACACACTATATTGATTCTTTGCTATGACAAAGGTAAGATACGAGCACTCGATACATTGATCCTCTGCCAAAACTGTTATTGAGGAATACTCGAAAATTGATTCATTGCTATGAAGGATATAAAAGAGAAATACTCGATAGTTTGATACTTTGCTAAGACGGATATTTAAGACGAGTACTTGAAACATTGGTCCTTTGCTTTGACGGATATCAAAGACGAGAACTTGATACATTTAAGATACAGACAGATAATAAAGACGGGATCTCAATACTTTGATCCTTAACTCAAATGGATCATTCAGACGTCTATCTTCATACAGTGATCTTTTGCTTAGAGGGATATTTAAGACAAATATTCGATATTTTGCTTAGATGGATATTTTAGAAAAATGTTCTATACTGTAATCCTTTTTTAAGACAGATATTAAGTATCAAGTTCTAGACTGGAAAACTGATACTTTGTTAAGATGGAAGTTTTAGAAGATAACGTGATACTTTGATCCTTTGCTCAGACAGATAAATAAGACGAGTACTCGATAGTTTGATGGTATGAAAGAAGAACGTCGTAATTTGTAACACTTGTTACCTTGATGCACATTATTGATAAATTATAGCAGTCGATGTAGGACAAACATAAAAGGGCGTTTATATCAATATACATATTTCTATATTCATTTTCAGATTTCGCATTGATGACCTAACAATAAAAGGAGTATATGTCGTTGATTTATATTTTAACATTTGCTTCACAAATGCCAGTTGTGAGAAATCATATGCAATTTTTGACCGATCAGTACTTCCGAAAATACCATGCTCTTGGAATATGGGATTTAGAAACCAATGTAAGTAATGTATATTGTTTTTATATTTTCTTGATAGATCTAGTTGAGACTTTACCTTAGCAAAAACATTATAACGATTCGAATGTTTTGATCAGTTGCTTTCAATTTTATTTTAAAAACACTTGAATAAGTTGTCTGATGGAGAATTATCTATTAAGTGTTTCTGAAAATTAAACACAAAAAGAACATATTTTTATGCCCCCTCCATGTAATGGCCGGGGCATATAGTGTTACCCTGTTCCGTCATTCCGTCCTTCTGTCATTCTGTCATTCCGTCATCATCAGTTTCCGTTCATTATCTTAGTAACGTTTACACATTCAACTCAAATTTGACATATGGATATGTCATGAGAAAATACAGATCAAGTTCGAATTTGGTCATGGTTCAATGATTTTTGGCAGAGTTATGCCCCTTTTACTTTAAACTAATATGAAATTTTCTGTTTTCGTTCATTATCTCTCCAACAGTACAACACATTCAACTCAAACTTAACATATTGATATGTCATGAGAAAATACAGGTCAAGTTTGAATTTGGTCATGGTTCAATGATTTTTTGGCAGAGTATTGCCCCTTTCACTTTGAAAATAATATGAAATTTACAGTTTCTTTTCATTATCTACCCAACAGTGTAACATATTCAACTCAAATTTGACATATGGATATGTCAAAGGAATGGGCAGGTCAAGTTGGAATTTGGTCATGGTTCGATGATTTTTTGGTAGAGTTGTGATCCTTTCACTTTGAGAATAATATAGATACATCTTAGGAATAAGCAGTTTAAGTTTGAATTAGGTTGTGGTTCAATGATTTTGGACAAACTTATCTTTCCTGAATGTTGAAAAATTTTGAACTTTCAGTTTCAGCACTCATACTTTTGTGGAAATGTATGTAGCCATTTTTTTGGCTACAAATATGCAATATGCTATTTTCAAAAGGTTAAGACTGAATAATTTCAGTGCCTTGAACATTGTATGAAAATGGTTTGTGTTAACATTGAAAAGTTTTAAGGGCTTTGAACTTAAAATGAAAAAATAATTTGTGCAAACAAATTTGGAACCAAATGTTATAACATCTAAATGCGGGGGCACCCGTGGCATGATGATACATTTCTAGTTGTTATTATATTTCTAGCCTTCGACTTCGTAAAACTGAAACCAACTTGATTAGTGGATTTGTAATAACTACTTATTTTATCTCTTTATAGCATTTTCTCTAAATGAATGGCTGGTTGACCGTGGAATCACAAAAGGAGATGTAACAGATGTACAACGAGACCAACTGCTGGAAACACTTGGTGTGGCGCCGTATATCGAAGACATTAATTGCTATCTTCATGAATCGCCATTCTCGCCATCACAAAGTGGCTGGAATACCGGTATTTTTGATTTGTCTTTTTTATGTTACCTTATTTTTAGATAAACATCTGAAATTCTGTCGCCAAAAGTATTTTCCTGCTTAATAATATGAAGCAATTAAAAGATATATATGTCAAAAAAAGACTATAAATATTTGAAATATGTGTATTTTAATAAAAAAACTATAAATTAAAGTGTTAATTTAGAAGTTTTGACATAAGTCATGGTTTGCATTACGGTCTCCTGACTTAATTGCCAAAATATAATTTTACTGATAAAGTAAATTATGAGTATTAAGCTGTAGTTTATAAGAATTATAAAAGGATGAAGTTTCCCAATATACATTTATGTTTATATGGTAAACATGTAAATTTTTATCAATAAAATGCTGCTGCCTGTGTCGAAACTGATCCAAGATATGTTTTCAACAATTTATGTGGCCCGGTAGTTAAAATTTTTTTCATCCCGACCTTAGAACCCTACTTGGACCATGATTATGTAGTCTCAAATGACACTTGTAGTAATGAGTCATGAACTCAGCCTAAAAGTTATATAAGTGAAAAGAACTCACTTCACAACTGACGCTAAGTAAAAATGTTTTAAGTACAACAAAATTGAAAATATGACTTTTGATTATTTCAACATTAAAACACGAAGGTACAAGCATGGTCTATATATATTTCAGAATGCCCAGCAGATTTAGAATTAGAACCTCTGCCGTCAGGTATAGGATGCTATATTTCTGACATGTGTACAGCAATACGTTGTTGTCTTGAAGTTGATATCATCAAAACATCTGTTCAGTTTTATGTCACCGTTGACGGATGCAAAAAACAATTAACAGTTGGTATTGAGAAAATGAACACAGTCAAAGACATCAGTGATTACAAATTTGGTAAGAACTAGAACATTTTCATTTCACAGTTTTTAATAGTGTGCATATAGATAAGAAATACATCATTGACATGACTTCTAAACGTAAACACAAAATTGAATTAAAAGGAATCCACACTGAACTTCTCAAGTAAAATTATTTCCGAGACGTTTTCAGCAATAGGAAATGTTTTTGTTAAAAGCAGGTGTATTCGAATAAAAGCCAGACTATATCATCATTATTCTTTTGTAGTAATTATGAAACAAACCAGTAAAACATAAGAGTTGTTTTGCAAGCAATTACTTTTTTATGATGTCTTATATATATTTTGGTTACATTGCAGGCTCATGGGATCGTTTCTATTTGAACGGGGTCTTCAAGTTAGAGTGAGCATTTTAGATTTTAGAATGAATGAAATGATTACTATACATATATTGTAAATTTACACATAGTTTATAACAGTTTTGTGGATATGTAACAAGATTTAAAGAAAGTACTAAATTCAAGTAAAACCAGACAATTCCAAAGACACTAACTACTAAAATGTCAATAGTGATGTTGATGTTTATAATTTAACTTTGAATAGACAACAAACATTTTGTGTTGTTATATAGTGTTTACTTTTACGTTTTGCAATTATTAAACTTATATTAACATAGTAATCTTTGCCATGGGTTGCTATGAATAGTTAAAGGATGTTTGATTCAACGTCATCATGTATTTAAATGTATCATTCGTCTTTCATTGTCTTTCATTTTCATCTAGTTTCAAGATTGAAAACTTTCAAGGTGGACGTAAATATGTCGTAGATATGAACGTAAGCGCTTGCTTTGAAAGTCATGGAAACTGTTCATATATAATTTCTGTTCTTAAACAAATGATTTTGCCTAAAGTGAAATGCAGTTGGCTTAATGGATTCAATAATGCAGGTACGTGCCATTAAATTCTTTGATTTGTTTTGATAACAATTATAATTGTTACAGGAATGAAGGTCAGTTTCATTACTGTAACAATAAAATGTAAAAAATCAAACATTTCTGCTGTTACATTAGAATATACTTCTTATTTTTCAAGCGCAAAGAAAAGTAATCAGTTAAGGCATTATGACTTTCCTTCAACGTAGAAGGCTTTTATTTTAATAAACTTTTAAATCATAAACATTGTAAGTGACAGTTGTGTTTTAACGTTGTTTTCTCCTATCTATTTTCAGACTTTTCGCTGGAAACTTGGAAACTTGAAAATGGTGTGAACAAAGGCGCTGCACTTTCACAGAATCAGTTTGATGTACTTGCTAATAATCTCGGAATAGGTCAATACCTTAAAGATAACGAATGTGCATTGTCATCTGCAAGACCTTTAGATGGCTGGGCAAACTGTAAGTAAAATCATTTTTTATAAATGATATTTTATATAAAATATGTTCACACAAGTTTAATGAAAGTTAAAGTTGAAACTGTTTTTTGATTTCTTAGACAAATCTGCATTCAGAAATATATTGCCACGTCCTAGCGTTTCTCTTTTTCAATGAATATATCTTCATGCTCTTAAAAGTTGCTATGGTAATAAATAATATGCTATTTTTATGTTTTATTTATAATGTCAAAAGATGAATGAAAATGTCTTTCTTTGGGATAGTGTGCCCTTTGAATGTGAAGTTACCCGCACTTCCAAACAGCACAGAGTGCTCGATTGACTCATCTTGTTTGAACATAATATGTTGCGTTTTTGTGAGTGAGCTAAATCGAAAGTTTAGCTTCTCTCTACAAGTGGACGACTGTAACTACCAGATATCAGCTAGCATTGAAAACCTGGTGATGGAGAGGAAATTGTCTGCCTTCGAATTTGGTAATTTCATATTGTTTGATTAACATAATTCGCAGGGTTTTATGATATTTAAGATTAAATGTTAAAACGATTATGTTTTGATTTCATTGGAATTGTGCGTACAGAGTCTTTGATATACTATGACTCGGCATAAAAATAATACATTACATTTATTCTTTATTTTTTTGTTATCAAAAATAATTTATAATGCATAGCAACAGTCTCTCGAATATATTTGTTTCATAAATTCTTGTTTCGGTTTGTAGGTAAAAAGATTGTGTTTGACATGGATGGATTTATGGCGATACAGTAAATATTTTGTATTCAGTACTTTTATTTCTATTAAACAGTGTAGAGAGGAGTCATAAATATAGATTGATGTTTTTATCCATAACTTTAACGATGTTTTAGATAGATAAACTCATTAAAGATTCTCGACTTTGAACATTCACATGTCCTCTCTCCATTCTTCTTATTTTTGCCCGTTGCTTAAATTCTATCAAGTAGTTTCCCTACATAATACCCACCCGTCGTATAAGAATAATCACATGATTTACTAGTATGTTCACAGCTGCTGTAAATTGATGTTTATTATTTTTCATTCTTCCTGAGAGAAAGCAAATGTGCAGTACTATAAAGACAAATGTCATGAAAGAGGTTGTTATATAACCGAGGTGGTCGGGTTATATTAGCACTCAACCGTTTATAATATCGGTTATACAAGTTGCTGACGGGATATACGCAAAAGTTATTTGAGAATATAGTATCATAGCGGTGTTCTTTCAGATATTTTTTTTAAAAAGTAACTTTATTTAAATCGAGAAATATGTTATAATGAATAAAACGCAATGAAAATTTATATAAACACTACTATGTAAAAACATTGTTATTAGTGCACGCTTCGGTTTTTCACTGTTTAAACAACATCGTATACGAAGAGATTAAGCCAATTAGAAATCGAGAAATTTATTTGCGTTATTATGATGGACCATATAATATTCTAAACATCTTTAAGACAGTTATTAAAATATCAAAACGTAAAGATTTGTCAATTCATTCAATATCACTGTTACAGGTTCATGGTTGTTAATCTAGAGTACAAGAACAAATATATGTTAGATTTAGCTGTAGATATACATTTGGAAGCACACAAACCAGCTGCCATGTCTGTGAACGTTCTTGACGATGTGATAGTGTCACGGTTGCCGTGTCAGGTCAATGCTGGGTTTATAGCCAAAGGTATTGTATCATTAAATTTCAAACAATTCATCTACCATATACTATTAACAATTCAATATTACTTTTTGTCATACAAAGACCTCAGTATGGTTGGTCACGAACAGTATACTTAGCTTTTCAAAAGAAAACGTCGGCACAGAAACTGTTTAAGTTTGCTACCTGATACTATCTTTTAATAGATCTGAAACTTCTTATGTTCTAAGAACGTACCTAAGATAGATTAACCACGTCAGCGCCCATGCAGATGGTATAATAACAGACTGATGGTAACGAAGTTAGCCTAACCCATATAACTGCCGTTTAAGTTGTGGCTTACATTTGCAATAATCTTTTTGCAACGGGCTTATGTTTTCAAAATCTAACTGTTCTCACAAATACTTTAAAGACAATATATCTCCAATGTACATAATGTACATGTAACATCACAATAAGTTATGTCACCGTAATTACATATATACACATTTTTTAATTAGACTTCTCGCTAGACAAATGGATGGAAGCTGGCAATGTCAGTGTTATTGACGAATACCAGGCTGTTCAACTGCTGGAAGACATTGCGATTGCACCATTTATGTTCTCCAACGAATGCAAAATGCACAGTGACTCAAAAATAGGTAAATGTAGGCTAACTTAATTTGTTTATATTTGTTAAAGAGGTTACCTTTTTCCTTAAAAAGGTGTTGATATTGTATCACTTATGCTAACACGACCCGCATTTTTCCCTATTAGATTAGCGTTGTCGTTCGGATGCGCATCATTATATCACTCGGGCTACGCCCTCGTGATATAATTCCTCGTATCCGAACTCCAAACAGTGATGTTATTGAGCGATAAAATCACTGTTTGGGATATATTATTTCTTAAACATAATACATACTTCTATTTGTCAAATAATGGTATTAAAATAAGATTTTTAGCTTATTGACAAAAATACCAACAGTAGGACAAAATTTCGGATAATGACATCAAATAATCTACTATTTTCTATTTATGATAATACGAATATTCTAAAATCAATACTCGTTACCTTTCCTTCTATTTCATTTCTTCTTTAAACTGTTTAATCAAATTCGCAATGATTAAGATAATATATGTATACTTAACAAATTGTTTGCTGTGATAGTTTTCAGTTTGCAAAATCTGAACTGATGTTGAAATACTTGACTTACAGATATCGCCCTTTGCCCTATGAATGTCAATGATTTACACGTGTACGGTCCAGCAACATGCTCACTCTCAGAACTTTGTTCCGGTATTATATGCTGTTTAAGATCTCCTGAAATACCGATGAATTTTCAAATCGAGGTTCAAATAGATGCTTGTAGGGAAGAAATAACCGTAGGATTGGAAAAATTGAGACACTTAATTCCGTTCAGAAACTTTACTTGGGGTAAGAGTTATTTATAAATAAGTTTAAGCAAACATGTTAAATAAAGCTATTAATGTGATGCACCATGGTTACACGTATTCTTTTATTTTTTTACAACTGACAGTGTACATTGTCAACTTTACTGTCATTATTAATTTTGCATACTCAATGTCATTGGTGACAGAAAATGTATGATAAACTTTCTGGGCATGGATACGTTTTGATATACAAATTTTGTATATACAAATTTGTCTAATGACGGTAACATGGTAAAGACCGTGACGTAAGTGTTATTGCGTCATGCATCTTATTGTATGTATTAATGTGTTATTTAATGTCATAGTTATTACATGTAGTTGAAAGTACATATACTTAAACTGTGCCTGTTTTAGACCAATCCACTTAAATATGAAACCATTTTTGATATACAAATACATTACATAACGCATTGACTTATTTCCTATTCTAGGTGAAATGCAAACCTTTAGTTTATATGGGGTACTTAAGATTGAGTAAGTAGTTCTAGTGTTTTATTTTTATCTGATATCTTTATTATAACATAAAATAGAATAGCAGAAAAAATATACATTTAAGTCAAATAAGAAGACATAATTTATCTATACGTAAATAAATCTTGGAGCATCGAGGAGACTAAATAATTCGAAGTCAGCAACCATCAATACATAATTATAATAAAGGCCTCCAAACACGAAATCATTTTTTATGGACAAAAAAGCAATAGATTTCCCAAAGTTTAAACCAGCCAGGATTGATGGCCATTGATTAAATAATTTATTATATTGTATGATAATGTATTAGGGTGAGCTTTTTAAGCAGAGTTGACTGATAAATCATTATTAATACAATTAAAACTTTCAGGTTGGAAATATCGGAGCCAGTTAAATCACAGGTATACAGTGTAAATTTAAATGCATGCATATGCCTTGGCGAAAAAGAAACATGCAAAACAGAAGTTCAAATTCTTAGAGAGAAATATTTAACTGCCTTGCCGTGTGATTGGTCAGCAGGATTTTTGGACGAAAGTAATAATTCTGATATTTTCATTTACATTATGATGTTAATGATTTGTGTAAATTATTTTAAAAAGTCAAAGAAGCTATTATATCAAGCAAATGTTTTCGCTCTCTGCATACATACAAAAGTTTTATATTGAGAACGTTTAGATGACAAGATAACCATTCTTGCTCACGCCATATCAACGCTTATCTAATTCGTATGAGACACGGAAAGTGGCGAAATAAGTTGCTTTTAACAAGTCATTAATGCATCTTTAGATGGAAATAAGAACAGAATAATAAATGATCAGCATAGTTATATTAACATAGTTATATCAATATTCAATAAGAATGGAGCAATGATTTAAATCTATTATACATATCATCATTATTATTATTATCAGTATTATTATCATTATAATGAAAAATTAAAATAGTGTGTACAGAGAAAACTGCATATAAAAGGGCATGATTTTAAATCACTGAAGGAGGAGAAAGTATTTCAAAGTCAGCTACCTTTGCCAGCCCAAATATTTTATTTACCTGTAAATAATACAAAATGCCAGGTTTTTAAATCAATGTTATAACGCTTTGTTAAAGGTTTCAAATATGAGAGTTGGCGAAACAAATCTCATTATGACAGCACGCAGCTTCCAGAAACCGGTGTTGAATTTTACTTGTCAAAAATTGGTGTTGAACCTTACTTGAAGACTACACAATGTGACACAACGGCGCTTCCATATATACCAACATCTGCTGTCGGTTGGACATCAGGTATTGAACTTTTTTTTGCATCAAAGCTTAATGCTTTCACATTTTTAACCAATCGTTGTGCGAATAAAGATTGAAATTTACGAAAATTGAAACCTATTATATCGCAGTTCGAATAAGTTTTATAATTTTGCATAAATATTTTCACTTAAAGTGCAATATTGGTGAATAAGCGTGTGTTAGAATCCGACCTCTGACAGTGTGTAGTGTTTTTTCTTGTTGTATGTGTTATAATTAAGGATATAATTCACAAACGTGTTGATACTACAGTCGTTATTCTTAAACACTTGATGAAAATACAACTGGTTAGATAACAGGCATGCACGTTGGTCAGACGTACATGTATAGTCTGTTTCATATATATTACAATCTTAGATGTGGAAATTGTACTATTTGTACATTTGTATACTATTGACATTAAAAGAATATATTCCATTCTTTTATAGAGTGTTGGAGCAATGTTAGCTTTCAAACATTACCTGATCACACAAGATGTTTTATGGACGACACGTGCTCCGGATTTCAGTGTTGTTCTTATGTCGACATGATACAACGATCATTTGATATAACATTTAAACTGGATCCCTGCAGTCAAACATTAACAATCGGAATTGAACGCATTTTGAAGCATATCTCTTTGACAAAGTTTGAATTTGATGTACACAACAAGTTTTATGTAAATGGATTTATTAGACTGGAGTAAGTTACATTGATTTTTATGTTGCATTTCACAATAAATGATATTACTCATGAATAACATTAGAATACATGTACATGTGTACATTGTTTTTTTATTTAACTGTCTCATTTCGGAAAAAACTTTACCGGTATCTCATACCACGTCAAAGAATCATTCCTTTAACAAATGAGATCACCTTTTTCGCTTTTTGATAAAATAAACGCGGCATGTGCGAAGATAGTTACTAGGATAAGCAAAAGTTAACCGATTTTACTTTTCTGAAATATTTCCTCATTGAAAAAGTTCATTATAATGTTGCATAATAGTAAAGATACAGCTTTGAATAATCTAAGATCATAATATACAATTAGTTCATTGGGTTATTATTTTTTAGCTATTTAATCAAAGAACTTCCAGTTCAGCGGGTATATATTGCAAGCGTAAACCTAAGTATTTGTTTGGACCAAGAAAACTGTCGGACCGAAGTTGGAGTTCTCAGAAATAACATTCTTCCTCTGTCGATTTGTGACATGAACCCCGAATACACAAACAAAGGTACGAACAACAGTATATATTCTACTAGTAATTGAAAACATACATTTCGGATACAGATTAAAGTTAAGTTAAAAGGAATTGGTCCGTAATGAAGTGTATGTTATACCGTAAAGAATTTTGTTTCTAGGACGTAGTTTGACATATGACAACAGAACACGAAATGATAATAGTTTTATGGATGGTAATTTTTCTAGAACAAAATATTATTTTCATGATATAAATGTTCATAATAAATCGCTCTCATTAACTTGATTTTCATTGTTTTTAATCCATGTGATACATTTCTTTTGTTTTTATCAATATATTTAAAATCATTCAGTGGAAAATGTGCCTGTTGTAGACCAATCCACTTAAATATGATATAATGTATTGAAAAAATTATGCTTAGTCTTAATGTCTGAAAAAGAATTGAAATAAAGAATCGTTATGTTTTTACCAATTTTTATAAATAATCAAAAGCATGTAAGAAAACGTTTGAAAATTTAAATTAATACGGGTCAATTTTGTTGTTTCACAAAAAAAAGTTGATGTTTTATTTATGAAGACTGGTATTTATGTAATTAACTTAATTTCAGACTTTTCACTGACCCAGTGGAAGGAAGATAGGAGCATATCTATATTTGGCACTCTTGATCACGTGGAAGAGATAGAACTGATGACAGATTTGGGTGTCTACCCGTACATGATGGAAACGGGGTGTGCAGTGATAAACAGCAATATATCTCAAGGTATAACTAAATAAAAAATTGATAGAAAAACTTTCGGTAACACATAATTCACAATTTGCATGATCCGACATTTTGGGATAAATTACATCGTGTATCACTTATATTAAATTGCTTATATATCCATCACATAAATGAATTAAAATTTCTTATATACGCTCGTAATATCAAACGCCATTTTGAAATAACATTGAAATAGTTTTATTTATACTTTATTATTTATTATACAGAATGTGGTATAGTGCCTACTTTCCCGCCAGAATGCAGTTTATCTGAAACGTGTTCGAGAATATCGTGCTGCATACAGTCCGACATTTTACAGCGGCGAATTTTCTACGAGCTGGATTATGACAGATGCAATCATTTGATAAATATCACAATTGAGACATTCAGCAGGACATTGTCACTCTATGATTTTGAATACGGTATGAAATTGTTTTAATGTAATCAAGCGAAGTTTTAAAAAGAGAAAGTTATGTAATATTTTATTCGTGTTACCATTTTAGTTTGATCGGGATAATATTCTTCAAGAAAATTGCGTGCTTTTCCCCTAATATTTTTTCAAATTATAAACATTGAATTAAATGTAATAAGCGGTTGCTATATTGCCTTTTACTATATTTTTTAAGTTTTGAAAACATTTATACACATATTTTTATGTCAATTCAATATACACATATTTTTATGTCCATTGAATATGTTGTACATTTGCAGGAAAAGAAATAAAGATTTCATTGTATTCAGTATTGCAAATGGAGTAAGTAAGATGTTAGAATTATGTTTCATCCTTTTGCCTTTAATGTGTATATAGAATCTCAATAAACCCACAGCTTTCTGGAAAGATCTCGAAATTGACAATGCTCAAGTTAAATATTAAAACATAGCAATTGTAGGTGTATATAGATAAGAACAAATCAGGATATTTAGTATATGCAAAATCCTTTAAGCTTTTTACTTGCATACTTTAAAATCAATAATAATGCAATTTCTTCTGCAGATTTATGGTTGATTTCCTGATGATGAGTCAGTCACACGTCATTTCCATCAAAATTAGTCAATGCTTTGAATCCAATGAAATATGTTCAGAAGTTGTTGAGGTTCTCAAAGAACAGAAATTTTCATCCGAAGATTGCCCTATCAATAAAAATTATAAGAGTAACGGTAAGAAAACATACAGTTCTTTTTTCTCCTTGATAGGACATTATTAACTCAAAATATTTATGAAAGCGGGTTCTGTCAAAAAGATTCTATTTGAAAACCATATGAAAGGAATAAAAATTATTTTAAAAAATTTAAGTAGGTGGCCTAACTGTATGTAGGTAAGGTACACACCTCTTGAAGGGCAACACAAGACTTCCTAGTTGAGCTGATATTTTTAGCGTACATATTTATTGCTTTGAGTGTAGTTTCGGGAAGTTTAAAATGATTAATCCATAAGTCTACATACAATACGATAAGTAAGAAGGTTAATAGTACATTATGTATTTAGTATCATACATGACATCAAACTACGAAAGACTTAGGAAAAAAGGGATGGTGTTAATATTACATATGTATATAAATATAGCAGATAATCAATTGATATAGAACCAAACATTGTTATTCATCATATAATTCTTACCTTCCCCAAATCAACAATTTTCACAAACTTTATTTTCTGTAAAGAAATTAATTCGTGTGATGATACTTTTTAAAATTTATAAACCAGATTGTTATCACTTTCGTATTATTTGTTTTATAATTTTTGAAGTACAGGTTTAATGTAAATTTCATTTTTGTGGTCTCTTAAGTGCAAACTTCTAATGATTATTTATTTATTTCGAAGTCAATTTGAATTCATATTTATTCAGATACTATCTATTTATTAAAAGTAGACTTAAGATAACTTTATTATGAGCCCGAGTTTTCTATATAACACTAATAAGAATATGATTATTTTACACATTAAGAATTTTCTTTGACGGAATGGGAAACACATAGAAACATAAATGATACTAAACTACCGGCATATGCAAGAAAGGTTCTTCATCGTGACCTTGGAATAAGTCAGTTCTTGAAGGACAGTGAGTGCGCTGTGATGCCTTTCGATGATTCATATGGTTGGAATTCAGGTAATCAAAATGCATGTTTGATCTGCGGGCACATCATGAAAATATTGTCATTATAATATATATGAGTGACGATTTTATGCCCATTCCAAAAATGGGGCGGAGGCATACAACTAGTTTTACCCTTGGGCCTGTGTGCGTGCGAAAAAAGTTTATACTTCGTGTCCGGTCAATAAAGTCTGCATGCACTCATAATGGGATTGAGGTATAATACCCACACAAGTATGTAATGTGTCGCGTACATGTTCAATGTCTCTAGCTAAAGATAAAGATCACAGCAAGAGATAGATGTTAGCGTATATGTCATATAGTTTGAAGTGATGTTAGAGTTCATGTTCCGGCTTCTGCATGCATGAGAGTTTATCATAAAATTGTACACTTAATCTCCATAGAATAACAATACATGGCAAATTATATCTCTATTGCATGTATATTATATCAAATTCTCACACTTAATGTCAATAATTACCTCGTATAGGGTATCTATTATATCTCCATAAACCTCGTACTATTAAAGCGCATTTTTTTCCAATCCAAACATTCTTAAGTAGGATAAATATAATCAGATTTTTTGTCCCCTTTTCATTTGAGTAGCACAAATATCTCGGAAGAATAACTGTTTTGTAACACTTTCAGACTGTGCTGATAACGTAACTTTACTCAACATCACTGACACGGACACAAGAATATCATGCTACTTACACGCATCATGTTCCGATTTAAATTGTTGCTTCTTTGTCGATGAAATTCAACAGACATTTGAGTACCAGTTTCTGTTTGACCCTTGTGAACTTATACTTACTGTCGGGATAGAAAAGCTTCATCACGAAATATCACTGATTGATGCAGCGACAGGTAAATTCTTTGTTACTTGCAAATGAAAACACTATTACACAAATGCAAGTCCATACTTTTGTTCATTTTATATTTGGATCTATCACTTGTGCGTATCACTTGTTCTACTTTGGATTTAGCTTTTGCTCTGGGGTTTCCTATTTAAATTTTCTTTACCTTTGTTTGATATAATAAAATATGATAGTTATTTATTTTCATGTGCAATATTTTTATATATTTGATTTCAGGTCATTACCTAACAATGAGCCTGAATGGCTTCCTACGAATCGAGTGAGTTATCAATTTTCAAGCAAACCTAATTTCCATTTTTTGTTTTTTCTATAGTCTTTCACGCATACTCTTTTCTTTTGAAAATAGATAATAGGATAAGTGATTTTCAAATATATTCAAGGTAAAACTTGTAGTTGAAATTTGATGCGCTCAATTAGAAATGAAATTTATAATCAACTAAAAAGAGCAAAGAGATATTCAAAAACAAATGCATTGTTGTATTCCAGATTTAAATGGTTTACTTGTCATGTTTAACTTTATACTTTAGGTTTATGATTGATGGGAGCACCGAGAATGAGTACACAATAAACTTACGATTCAAAGTATGCATGGAAAGTGCATTTGAATGTAACCGTGACATTGAAATACTGCGTAACCACGTTGTGAAACGAAAATGTGAATTTAAACCAACATTTCAAATACCAGGTAATTCAACAATTAAAAGATTTTCATCAAGTTATAGTTACTTTACAGATTTCAAACAATTGCAAGCGTATATTTCATCTTTAACAAATCTTCTGCCTAGCTAGTCAAAAGAAGGTCTTTGGTAATTCTTTTTAAATGTTCTTTCTCCTCAGTATATATTAATGTTTGAAAGTACCTTTTGAATGTCGGTATATTTTAAAAGGCCAGATCAAAATAAATATATATTTTATGTAATTCTTCTAAAAAGCCACCCTTTCAAACTAAGCTTTCTTTTCCTATCTGTCGAGGCTGATAAAATAATTATTCTGATAATATACTTTTTATACGATGAGCATTTAATTGTTTTAATTTAACTCTGAAAAAATGCCATTAGACACTTGCTCTGAGCATGATTCAGCATGAAGTTAGAAGGTTTTAAATACTCTGTCTATTACGTCAATATCATCTTTCCACCGGTGACTTGAAATGATTTTTGCAGGTTTCACATTAGAGGGCTGGAAAACTAACAATTCATTGCTACCAGATGCTATATTGACAGACAAACAAAAGGATGAACTGATGCAACAAATGGGCTTGGATCATTTTCTTCTGAAAGAACCATGTAAAATAAATGCTTACGTGACAAAAGGTATTCTACTTTTATGTTTTAGCTATGTATTCAATTTTAAAGCTCTTTTTGCATTAGTGCACTGCTTATGTAACTGTTCTGTTATAGTGTTTTATTTTAACAGGCATCTAAATGATAGTCATTAATATTCTGTAACATTCAATGTAAAATATATTTTTCTGATGAAGCGGCCGAATATACTATTTTAGAGAATGTTTCCGTGTACCGTCGTTGGTTAAAGTAGTTAACGACAGATGCACTCGAAAGATATATGTTAAGAACATTGCATTCGTTATACAAAAAAATAAAAGAATATTGTGTTTGGTCTCAGTGATTTCATCAACATAATTTTCATAAATATTTTTTTATATTTTTCTGTACAATACTCGTAATCAATTTGAACAAATTAATGCAAATCTATATGGGTTTTTTTGTCAAACTGTTAATAATTATATTCATCGTACAATCAATATTTCATTCCACTTTTCAGATGGTGTTGAGATTATTCACAATGAGCCGAATGCTTCTTGTATAGCTACAAAAGATAAAAGGAGCTTCGATTGTTGTATTGAGTCAAAAGTCCTTGGAAGAAATCTGTGGATGAACTTTACTCTAGACCCATGCAATTACCGAATGGAGATGAACCTTGAAAATATTCAACAAAAATATGCTTTGCTTGTTTATGAATGGGGTAGGAAAAGAAAGGATCATCTTCTAACTGTTTCATCGTATAGAAAATATACATTAGTTCATGAAAATTCAAATAAAATATATATTGATCAAGAAGAAGGCGCAAACATTTGTCGATCTGTAATTCATTGAATATTTTTGTATCTCTATGATTTCTAAATTGAAAAACTAATGTATGAACGCGTATGGCGTTTGCGCATAATCATCTCTAACCCTACTTAATATCACGTTTGATTATTCTATTCGTGAACTTATACAGTCATGTATTATGTACGTTCAAAAAGGAGAAACACAACGTACTTGTGAAGGTTTTGAATTTGCTTTATTTTCTGTAAATTTCGCCATTTATGTCTTTCCACCTTTTAATAAATTGAATATTAATTGATTTCAATTATCTATTCCCATTTTATGCAAACAACATTCAGGTGATATGTCTTATATGATAAAATGTTACATTCATTTGAATATTTAATTTTGCAGGAACTTTACATACATTGTCAACTAAAGGCCTCTGGAGTACAGAGTAAGTAATTCATATGTTATTAAGTTCTATAGAAATTGCAATATTATTTTCATATGATTATGTTTATTTTCAGAAAAAGATAGATAAATAGCAAATGTTGATAATGTGTCATTTGATACGTTGTAAATGAATAACTTAATTTTATTTTATAAATGTTTGCCTGCTTTTAAAGCAATCGAGACTTCAGATATTAACAAAGAGTGTACATATTACAGGAATAATTATTGGTTTGTTTTATTATTGGTTGATTAATTTGAATTAGAGTTTGTATAAAAAATAAATTCAACTTAATATTAATCCTTGACCTGCTGAAAGCGAAATCGTTTAGCATTGGCCACAAGTATAGAGCAAGATCAATCTTCATATCCGTAAAGTCTCACTAGGCTTCTTTACTGTTGGAAGCTTCTTTTTCTGTTTTGATTTTCAAATCCTTTAAACTCTGAAGTAACAATTCGAAATTCAAAGCAGGGCAAACCATTTACGCGATATAGAAGGTAAGATGTTAACTAACTCTGAAATAACATGCGATAGAATATTCTAAATTACTTTAATTGCACTTTAATTACAGGTATATGGTTACAAACGTGCAGTCACAGCACGAGTTTGACCTAGATATATCACTTCAGCAATGTTATGAGACAACATGTAAAATCACACCGTTCATCGTTGCTAAAGATATCCGTATATCTTATCCCACGTGCGAAAACGTCACCAAAAATGATACACGTCAACCATATTACGGTATTAAGTTTCAAAATTTCCATATACATGTTCTATATACACAGAACGTTCATAATTAACCTGACAAATTTTATAATTCGATAGCTCGCCAAAATCTTAAGTTCACGGTGAGGTATATATACTAGTAGTGAATTTTCCATCGTTTTGCACCATCTTTGTTGGGTTTTTTTAATTTTAATTTTTTGGGGTTTTTTTTAAACTAATGGCAAGATTTACTTCAAAATTTTGAGACGTCATTGGCAGTCATAATACATATTCGCACAGAACAAATTACTGGATGATCACCCTTTTTTTCTCTAGCAATTTTTAGGTCAGGGTTGTTTTTTTTTCAAATAATTTTTTTAATTATATGTTGCCTTTTGAAGGACTTGCTCGGCTGAAAAAAGGAAAATATCTTCAAGCATCTTCTTTTCATGAACCTATGGATAAAAACTTTCTATCATGTTTGCTCAAATGAACTTGACATCCCGTTTTGGGAAAAATCTTGACTTCTTTTTCTCTTTATCAAATTGTACAAAATAAATTTGGTCAGATATGTTAGGAGAATCTAACGCTCAAAAGAGGAAAAAAAACGTTTAATTTTACTTTAGTGGGAATATAACTAAGGGATATACTGCCCTTTTTAGGGGATAGGCAGTGCTATAATAATAATAATAATAATAATCAAATAATTAAAGTGGCAACATAGTTAGGTATGCAAAGTCTTTCCTATGAGGCTCTGCAGCACATTTTAAGTTCATATGGCGACTTTCCAGCTTTACTAGTGAAGGAAGAACCTAGGTGTGAGGCCACGTAATTTTATCAAAGCAACGACTGGTAAACAATACGGCATAATGCATTAATACCAAAATTCCTAGAATGATTGCTGTCAGAAAAACAAATCTAAAGATTGATAATTTAGTCAAATAAATTAAAATGATAAAGTTCTAATTGTTTTACACTTTAAAGTCACTGTGATGAAATTTTGGAACAATCTACACACTTTTTAGAACTACAACTTTATCTTACAGGAATTACGTATGACTTTTGGAGGCAGCCTATCTGCACAACTGAAAACATAACCGCAACTGCAAGTGGTATGTATGACCAATCATTTATCACTTTTATAAATGAATATAAAGGTTAAATTCATCATAAGAGTAAAAAAGATCAACAAGTTTATATCGTAAATGGAGTATGTCATTTGGTGAAGAAGAAGTTTTAATGTGAGATGAGAGTAATGAAAGTATGAATTAATCGATCAGGTTACTAATGAGCCAGAGGCTATCCGTTATGCAGGTGTTATGACAGTATGCCCAATCTCGTTTTTATTTACGATTTAAAAGAATAATCATCGAGTTATTCTCTTTTAAACACTCATTATGTCCCAGAAATTCTTTTAGTTTTAGTATTCAAAATCTTTTTTTATTTTTGATGTACTTTCATAGTGACTGTCCAAAAAGATTCTGATTGGCTAATTACCTGATCCATGTTTTGTTCTGTAGCTATTTGGTATAAGTTAAGTTAGAGTGATTTAGAATTTTGAATGGAAGTGAAATAACTACTTGTTTATACTTTGTTGCATTTATGAAAAATAATTTCACATAAAGTGCTCTTTTCTTCATGTAAGAAGCATTAAACATGCTTTTAAACCATAATTTAAATGTTGTAATATTCATGTTCGCCCCTTTTTTAAAGAAGTAAAATTTTAACCGTATTGGGTATAATTTGCCTTTAATGTACCTTATATAGTTGGCAAATTAACGCTTTAAAGATTTTGTTTCTTCCAGCATGTGATACATTACCAGAAGAACTCCAGAACAGTTGTGCTTGGTTCCCAGATTGCTCAGGAATTCAGTGTTGTACGGAATTTCATTTCAGTGAGGGCAAACGAAATGTAATGCTAGAATTTAATCGTGACTGTGAAAATAGCAAGTTCCAATATGGACTCGAAAACAAAAAATGGAATAGACCAGTTTCAGAACTTAGCAGTAGGTGTTTACTATAACTAATACATTAATACCTTATTACTATTATTATAGATATAACAAGTTTACTTATTAAAATTGTTTTAAAATTTAAATGACACATGGGGTGTTGATTCAAGAGGGAAGTAAATTGTTTTAATCAATATGTATATATCATATTTGTACAGGACCTATACACGAGGATATTGCTGATGCGATCTTTATTGATATGAATGTAACTAATGCTGCATCAACAAGTTACGATGTATCAGTAACCGTGATAGTATGCACAGGCACTCAGAATTCGTATGATTGTCAACTTAATTTCCGAATGTCACAATCATTAAAATGTTCGTCTCGCAAGAGACGACGACGACGACAGGCTGTTCAAGATGTGGTTACGTGAGTATTACATTCATTAAAAGGATTTTCAAATATGTAAAGGTAATGAATTTGATGTAAAATAGACCTATATAAATAACATTATTTCTCAAAGTAATTTATCCGATAACATTAAGCTACAAAAATTATTTTCACCCAGAAGGAATATATGTGTTTCATATTTATTTCATCGGGCAGACTTGGTATGGACATGAAAGAAGCAGTGACAATTTTAATCAGCCAAGGAACATCGAAAGAAAATATACAGCAATTTATTAATGATGCTATCAAATACCAGGTATAAACAAAATCATCTGTTTAGCTGTATCTAATGTACATGTCCTATAGTCTGCAAATACATGTGCAGTTGTTGTGATGAGTTAATACTTTATTTCTTATATTTATATATGAGGAAAAAATTTAATTTCATTTCAGAATGATTTTAGATTGTTTAGTTTTGAACTAATTTTTGCTCTTGTTGTATATGAAAACAAAGCGGAAAAAGTTCGAAGTGAAAGGTTTTAAAATATATATTTATATATAATATTTTCTCTGTGCATTGTTATAATGTGTTTTTTATAATCATTTCAAAGGAGCAGAGAAATACGTGTTAATAATGCATAATTCATTTTCTTCAAGAGTGATCAAAAAGCACATGTATGGGAAGGGGAGCAATTGAGTGACTCAGATTCAAGCACAGGTTATGCAGCTACCGTAAAGGCATTAGGAGAGCACAACCCTCAATCAATGAAACACAGACAATCAGAAGGTTATGTGAAAGGGGATATTAAAGGCGGTAAGATAACCATTATCTGCTTACTATTATAAGTTCTCATCATAATTTAGGAACATATATAAATAGATATGTAAACAGAATATCACTTATATCAAGTCAACTTAGTTCTTAAAAATAGAAAATACGAGTAAAAATGTGAAGTTAAATTGTATGACTATATTTTCTGGATTAAAGTGTACTTTCAGATAGTTGCATGTAAAACATAACTACAGTATTTATGTTGTTTTTTCTTATTTATCAAATGCACAAGAGGAATTCAGTGTTATGCTCAAGACAGAGTCTGTAAACAAAATTACATAAAATACAAATGACGGAATTCTGTTTGTATTATGATCATTTTAGTAATACTTTACATCGGGTCGTAGATATTGGAATGGATATGTGGACAAATGACACATACATGAATCTGTTTAGTTCTTAAGCCTCCACTGAGGTTTTAAAGCCTAAAAACGTAACATTTGAATCTTACATAAATGAGTTTGGGCACTTTAAATAGAAATATATGCAAATATAGTTAAGATATATACTTTGAAATAAACTAAAAATCGTATTTTTATGCTTTTCTTAGCCCGATTTGACTGAAGTGTTTAAACGCTTTTCATTTTGGGTCATTTTTTTACAATTTGAATAATTATTCTGGTAAAACGAGGTGCGCGAATGATCTGAAAGTTTTCACAAAGATAAGTGGTCTAAACCTTCACCAAATGGTACATTTATCTGTAAAAAATATTTTCATTCCCATCATGTCAAAAAACCTCAGTGGAGTCCATTTAATATCAACGATCAGCTAAGGGAGCTATTATGTTTACCATCTTTATTTTACAGTTACATGCAATGTACAGCAGTCAGATACAACAGATTTAGAATAAATGTATCATACATGTATCATATTTGTGATTTAACAATATACTCTCAGATCACTTTTAACTTAATGAGTCAAATGTTTGTGTTTTTCCTCTAAAAAACAGCCGATAAAATCGTAGCTATGATCGATGAAGTAAATGACATTGTTACTCGGACTGATCAGCTGTTTGTTGTCGGAATGGGACTTTCAAAGAAAGGGACGGAATTACTCGGTGCAGAGCTTGCAAATATGACAATTGGTGATTTGGAAGCAATGCTGGAAACCAATAAAGTCGATCCTACTATGATTGGAAAACTTGTTCATGATTTTATAGATCTAGCCAAAGCATTGGTAAGATAAAAAATAAACACCTTTTAAATCATGTTTCACCGTAATTTTTTTTTATTTCTTTTAAGATGCATAGCATTATTTTATTTTTTTCGGATCGTCTGTTAAATTAGAGTGAAAAAGTTACTTTAAATGAAGATGTTTATGCAAAAACCAGAGTTTTTGTTCACTGTACATATTTTACTCATAAGAATAATTTGTTAGATAGTTTGTATGAATATATAATTAATTCGAAATGTTTTTTTCTTTAAGTATTCTGAAGTAATAGAAAAAATATTCTCCGGAGGCCTTGGCAGCCCATTCAAATCCTTCGACATCTCGTTGACTGGGCATTTTAAAATACCGAGGAAAAACATCATATTCTTTAAATACAATCCAGTATTTTACCTTGGTGGTTTCATAACAGTGAGATTTTGTAAGCATATTTTTACTTTTATATTTAATAACGTTCAAATCAAACTTAAACTCAGTATTGTTATAATATTAACCCATCGGATATGGAACATTAAAAAAACAGTTTTGTAGCAATATGCTACCAAGACTCCTAGATATGGGAGTTAATCTGCTTCAGCATTTTTTTTCTCAAAACTTTCCAGGAATACTATGATATAATTATACAATAGTGTAAGTGATGAGAATAATATCATAAGGAAATGTTAATTAATTGCCATACTATTCATATGATGTTAATTGCTATACTATCCATATTATGTTATTTGCTATACTATCCATATGATGTTAATTGCCAAACTATCCATATGATGTTAATTGACATACTATCCATATGATGTTAATTGCTATACTATCCATATGATGTTAATTGCTATACTATCCATATGATGTTTATTGCCATACTATCCATATGATTTTAATTGCTATACTATCCATATGATGTTAATTGCCATACTATCCATATGATGTTAATTGCCATACTATCCGTATGATGTTAATTGCCATACTATCCATATGATGAAGCATTTGGGGCTGGAGGTTATTATGGCCTAAATCTTGGATGGGAAGGAAAACTTATTGCTATGACAGCCGCAGCAACAGTCGTCCCTTATGGAGGCTTAACGTGTTGGGGAGAAGTTGAAGTTGGTATCGCAGCACTGTATGCTAAGCTTCGGCTGGAAGGAGATATCGTGGATCTAAGGTTTCCTACTCGTGCTGAAATTGGATTTTCAAAATTCCCATTGGATGTAACGTGAGTTATGATGATTAACATTCACTTTATCTAATCACTTTCGTTTAAGTTACCAAAAAATGTGTAGTCCTATTCATTAATGTCATGCTGGTATCTAGTCTAATGCGCAGAACCCATAGTCGGCAAATGTTATTGAACTTAAAAGGATTACATTTTAGATATTTATGATTGTAAACTCTAAAAATAAGCAAATGCAATAACTTCTCTCGTTAAAAATCATCTTTAATAAAAAATAATCAGAATGTTTTATAGATTGAAAATGGATATGGAATTAATTCCAATCAGCCTGCGTTTAAGTGTACTGGTAACGCTTGAAGTGGATCTGGCCCTTGTCTCATTTACAAAGGAGCTATTCAAGAAAAACATTTGGGAATATACGGCACCAAGTATAAGGAAAAACTTGATCGACGTTTCAACGAAAGAACAAGATGAATCGCCACCCCAGTTCTCACCTGTAGTAAACATAAAAGGCGTAAGTATATGTGATCTTTGTACAGAATAGAAGATTTTATTTGATTTTAAGTTGCACCGACACTGTCAAGGTAATGTTGCCACATTCTTAATTTACCTTTGAACGATATTAGGGAAATTGTTGATTTCAAATAAAGTAGTATACAAAAATCAATGTTTCTTATTGAACACTGGTTACCAAAGCAATTACTGATAATTTGTTTTACATAATTCTATGATATCATCTGTTTTATTATTTTCGTTCACCTAGAGTCGACGGAAAAGGTCAACATCTTCGTGTGATATAAGTCAAATTAGGAATAGAGATTATACCGAGCCAGCGTTTGAAATATCTGTAGCAGCAGCAGACGACAAAAGTAACGTTAAGTTTTTCCTTGACGTCGGAACATTCCCTGCCGGAAGTAACGTTGTAAACAACCGTCAGCTTGGTGGATCATCAACTGTCTTGGCAACAGTAAGGTTTCATTTTCTGTATAACTTATGATATAATGTTCATAATGAAATTAGAGCCTGCGTTAAATATACACATGTCATAGTTGAACGGCAATAAATGATATAAGAAAAACAATTTTATCCTTACGAGCAAATTGCATTATACATGTCTTTGAATGCAGTATCTTTCTTATACATAGCATTCAGTCTCTAGAATATTTATATAGTCTAGAACTATTTTTCATTGTATTAAAACCTAGGGCTCTTTGGTTTTAAATCCAACTTGATTTTTCTTTTTCTATTTTTGCGGACAAAATCTATCTGAGAACGGGTTGACTTCCTGTAAAGTTTACAGGAAAGATCTGAATATATGTAGAATTTCAATAAGTCACTTTACAATTACAGACTGTAATCGTGGAATCTCAATGGTCATTCTAAAATCAGTAAATTTATATAAAGGTTCTTTCTGAAACGTATACACGTCGTAACTATTCATTAATCTAAAGGTATTTCGGAAACATCCTTTACAAAAAAAATTAAATCTGTGAACTGTCCTGGCTTCCTCCCATTTAAATATTTTACAATATTTTGACTGCTTTAAAAATTCCATTGATTCTCTTATGAATATCTTATTCAAGATAAGAATTAAATGGGTTATAAATAACATTCTATAAGATTTTTTTCAATATAAAGAGACTACTAATTATCCGTTAACACGACTCAAAATCCCAGAAACTTGTGTATATAAAAATAGCGAAAGACACCAAATATACCTTGAATTTTTATGTTACCCATTGATGTGTTCAATTAATATTAATTTCATAAAATTTATTATATTCTTGCATTTTAATAAAGCCAGAACAAGTGTGTATATTTATATGTCAGTGTAAGGTACACTTACCAAAACATGACAGTTTAATGTAGAAACATATCTTGCAGTGGTTCCTACATCTAATATTAAAATGCTTTACTTCAATTTTCAATTAAGTATGATGCTTTGTTTGATGACTTTAACTTCATCTGAATTCTTATATAAACACATTACTTTAAATAAATGTTAAAATAATATTTTTATTTATTTTATCTGAAAAGGTACACGTGTACTTTTGTTTTACCTTGCTAATTGTGTAGGCTTGGTATCATTTCTATTCAGTGATTTATACGGAATTAATCAGTTCAACGAATGTGCCTTTTTTCATTACAGAATGTCCGTCCGAAGAATGTGATGGTGCATATACCTAATTGTATATAAATTCTATTCTCATTACAGGCGGTAGACGAATATCCGTCCGGAGAGCCATTGTATTACACGGTTTATGCTGAAAATAGTGCTGGCACTAGAGCAGGAGTAACATGCATGCTTACAACCTACGATACTACAGAACCAACCGCGAGAATTTCTCCAGCATTCCTGTCAACGAGCAATCCGAATGTCATTAAGGCATCGGTGTTAGTTCACGACGACTCCATCATCACTGAATCTTACATAGGTGTCGGATACGGAAAGGGGAGTTATGGGGATCAATTGGTTCCGTGGACACTGCAAAATATATACGAAAGGCCACATGTTCCTTCGGGTATGTGCCGAAAATGATATTCATAGAAAATACTTAATCATTCAGCATTTGCACTTTGTTCAGTATCTGAGTAGTCTCTGCAGAAGTAGTTGAATTTTCTGTATAAATATTGTTATTCTAAACTTGATGGAAAATTTATGTCTGGTAGTTAACATAAACTATGTATCAAAAAGTGATTTTGAAAATATTTATAGGTGTAGATCCTTTGAAACAGTTTTCCGACATAGAAGATGGAAAATTCATATCGTCTCCTATCTCAACAACAACTAAAGTATCGACAGCAACTGCCTGCGCACAATCTTGTCTAGCACTTGAACATTGCGTTAGTTTCAATTACGACTATGGCCCTAGTGGAACATGTGAATTGCTTCGGTCAGTCAGACAATTTGATGACACTCTTGCACAGGTAAATATATAGAGTTTATTTGCATATATAATGCACATTTGTTATCAAACACTCATCTAAAATGAGTATATTACTAAAGGCAAGAGCTGATATGAATGAATGGTAGTTATGTCTCCCAAAAGTTTTGGGAGACATATTGTTTATGCCTTCGCCGTCTTATTGTCCTTCCGGGCGAACATCCAATGGTCTACCAGCTTCATTCCGTCCATAATTTTAGTTGAAAAAAGGAGGAAAACCCATAAACCGACTGGTTAAGGTGTTAATTTTTACTGATTTATGGGGAAAAGTGCCGCATAAGTTCAAAGAAAAAACACATAAACCCCAACTGTTGCCAGGTCCGTCCGTCCGCATTAAGCTTGTCCGGCCGTCACAGGTTAAACAACTGGTTGGATTTCAACTAAACTTTAGAGAAGTGATCGTACCATCCCTATTAGTGCACATCACCGGCACGTTTCGCTTCAATGCACAAAATGGCCGCCCGAGCTAAAAAAAGAATTCTTGTCCGGCCTTCACATGTCAACGACTGGTGGGATTTCAACCAAACTTTATATGAGTGATCAGTACCATCCATAGTTGTGCACATCGCCTGCACGTTTCGCTTTGCTGCACCAAATGGCCGCCATAGCTAAAATAGAAAAAATATTGTCTGTCCCACAAAGGTCAAAATACAGGGAGGATTTCATCTAAACTTTACAGGAGTAATCAGTACCATCCCTAGTTGTGCATATCGCCGTACGTTCCACTTCGCCGCACAAAAGTGCCACCAGAGCTTTAAATAGAAAAATCTTTTCCGGCTTACACTAGTCAAGCTGCTTGTGGCATTTAAATGAAAACTGCACAGAAGTGATCAGTACTATCCCTAGTTGTGCATATCAAGGCATGTTCCCCTTTGCTGCAAAAAATGGCTGCCAGAGCTTTAAATATAAAAAGTCTTATCCAACTTTCACAGGTCAAACTACTGGACGGATTTAAATGAAACTTCACATGAGTGATAATTACCATCCCTAGTTATGCATATTGCCCGCATGTTATGCTTCGCTGCACAAAATGGCTGCCAGATGTTAAAATAGAAAAATCCTGTCAGACTATCTCAGGTCAACCTACTGGCAGGGTTTTCACCAAACTTCAAAGGAGTTCAGTTCCATCCCTAGTGCATATTACGGCATGTTCTGTTTTGCTGCACAAAATGGCCGTTAGAGCTATGAATAGAAAAATCTTGTCCAGCTTTCACAGGTCAAGCTACTGGTGGGATTTCAATGGAATTTCACATAAGTTATCATTACCATCCCTTGATTTGCATATCGCCAGTACGTTGCCCATACATAATTTTGGGAGAAATAGGGTTTTTGTGACAAAAAACCCTTCTAGTTCAAAATAATGATAACATAATATCATTGGCATCAAAACTAAAATTTTGATAAATGATTAATAAATGTACTAGATTAAGTAATATTTTTGTTAACTTTATTACAAAGAGGATTCTAAAGTGTTTTCATTGGTCTCTTTAATTTTGTTTCAGTCCGGCCTCTTCTCGCATTTTGAACGCCTGTCAAGTGGTCACACCGTCGAGGTCAACATTGTTAACCTTGACCTGCGACACAACCGTCTTCATTATGTTAACATTGACATCAAGAATGTTCTAGGCTACAGGTCAATTATTCCAAGTGCTGGAATATTGACGGACTTTACATGCCCAGAACCTGGTATGATCTATTTCTAAAATACAATTTACTTTAACAATCCTCGGATGTAGATTTTTTATCTGAATATGGATTGAAAGCGTAAATGTAAAATCTAAAAAATGTAAAATAGTAAGATAAATGGTGTTTTTATTTCGTTTACATGTCTATTGTATTTTAAATTTCAATATTTTATACTAGTCAGGTAAGCAACTATTAAATGTTCCAAATATGTATTCAAACTTCCCACTATCTGACTTTATAGGACCTATCGTCAATTCATCAAAAGATGCTTTGGCTACGAATGATTGCCTACCACTGATACCTTCAGACCGGCCGGAACTTAGAAGATACTGTGTTGGTATAAATTCAAAGAGGCAAAATCACAGGTATTATATACATATTCTATCATTGATCATCAAAATGTCAATCATCCCTGTATGCCGTAAATGAATTACATGTATTACGTGATTTTTATTGTTAAAAATCGAAAATTAATTTGTTTTGATCGTTGACGTAATACACTTCCATTTATTGAAATTTGCCCTGATTGACAATGACAGTTTCCCTCATTTTTAAGAACGATTATTGACGGAGAGGGATCCAGAACGGTGTTCAATGGTGACAAACCAGTATTCGATCTGAAATATACCAGGAGTAATAACTACATCGCTGGTAAGTATTTTACAAGAATTGTAATAAAACTTTTCAGGAGAGGAAGAAGCTGTTACACAATTAGAGAAAAGTAGAATCACTTAAGAACGTCAAAAACTGTATAATAACTGAAAATGCTGTAGACTCAGTTTGAATTGATACGTATGCCCCATGTCATTATACAATGATATATGGTTAGATTCCTTAATAGTTTAATTGTAATTTTCAATCTTTTAAAACATTTTAATTCATATTTCTAATACATGAGTACCTGAATACACTGTGTATGATCTAAATGCAAGTTACTTTCTAACAACAAGTAAACTTTACGAAAAAAGATCAAAATTATTTATCTTATTTCAGTTTTATCTTTTAGCAACTGGGTGTATCGAATTTGTTATTATAGGTAACTGGGACGGTATAACAGATGACGAAACTGGTGTACGAGCATATGCATTTGCAGTCGGAAGAAACATTTGTGAAGATTCTATCCATCCTCATCATGACCCACATAAACATTTAATGCACGAATCACAATGGACAAACATGGCGATAATGACGAAAACAGCGGATTATAATCCATTCCCACTTCCATGTATATTAAATAGACTGATATGAATCGTGATGATGATAATAATGTTTTTAATAATATTCAAAATTGTAATGATAAAATATATAAATACTCAACAATACTCTATACAGTTAAAAATAATGCATCTTTATGGAACATACTAGCGTCGTCTAACATTTGAAAGGTTTTTCAAACATTACTTGTATTTAATAATAAAATATAAATCGTTGATAATGTATACTTGTCGTAATTATTTGACATACTTTATCTAAAGAGAGAATAACAAAATATTTCCTTTAGACGTAAATTTGCCTATTTAAAGAACTGTTTGTTTTCTTCAGCTGGAAAGTACTACATGACTGTAAGGGCGATTAATAAGGTTGAATACGGTGGACCACTTGCAACAACTATATGCCATACTGTACCGTATATAATTGATATAACAAAACCGTTTGTGTTCGAAGTCTTTGACATCAAGTATGACGAATTGCAATATATTATATCGGCTGAACATAACTCAACGTAGGTCTGGCTTACATGTTGTTTTAAACCCAACGTAAAAATAACAAAACATAAATGTAGTGGTAAAGAAGTAATAGATTTGATTTCCCATGTGATATATGTGTATGTTTCACTGCAGTAAAAGATAAAGAACTAATATGACTAAACTGTCCCTTTATTTATAACCAATAGGTGACCAAAACATGGGCAAGACAAAATAATAGTGATTTAGTCAAGCTTACTTGGATTCGGGCTTTATTATATCAAATAAAAATTTTGGCCTCGCATTCCTTGTCATTTTATATAAAGTTATATTAACCCCGTTCCATATCTATTTCAACTCAGGCTCGCTATGTTACAATCTCCTAGTCTCGTTGTTTACTTATGTGAGATCTCAGTACATAGTGTGCAAGTGTGGGTATACTGATGAATCTAATTAACTGTTATTATAAAACTTTGTAATTAAAATATCACTTATTTATACCTTATCATATGTACTGTAGGGACTTTGAATCTGGTATAGACAAAGTCGAACTCTGTGTTGGAGACACTCCAAGAAATTGTGAGCTGTTGAAATGGACGAGAAGACCAAAGTCGCAATACATTAATTATACACATCATATACCTGACGGTATCCCAGCTTGGATTCGTGTACGTGTGACAAATAACGGTATGCTATATTATATCAATTATGAACACACACTCGCTGCCTTTATATTGTACCATGTTACAATCCAATATATTTTATTTACGATGCTGCAGCGACCAATATAATTATTCTGTATTGGACAGTTGTGTTTGTGTGTGCGTGCGTGCGTGTGTGTGTGTCCTTTTTCAATGTAACGTATAAGTTAATGACGAAAGTATCCGAATTTATTCATTAAAAGGGTTGAAATAAAATCTGACTTGTAAAACCATAAGAACACATATCAGAATGGATTTTTTCTCTCACTTACAATAGTGCTAAAATAAGTCATCTTAAACCCCGTTCCACTCTTCCACGTGTAAAACAAATCGCAAGCTTTAAATGTCGCCATTTAAGCGTGCCTGTTAAAATGAAAAGCATGCTTATGATAACGAAGTTTGGGATTTGCAAAACTTTTTCTTACATCACAATTGTCCGTTAGTTATTATAATAAATATCTATTTAAAAACTTTAGCGTCGATTTGATATTTTGTATAAAGGCTAATTCTTTTTGCCAGTATTTGAATTACTCATAGTAACGTTAATTAGACATGTCAACTTAATAATTTATATCATTTTCACTATTGCTATTGTCAAAAAACAAATCAAAATTAATACAAAATACCCATTTGATGGACTATGATTAACCATACGATACGTATTTAGTATTCTTGATAACTAAAGTATAATTATTTTTAACAGATATATACATATTGTTTCACTAATCATTAAAGTAACATTATTTTCAATTTTGCAATACTGGAGCGGGAAGAAACATTTGTTCTTGTAAGTAAAACAGTTAAATCAATATTTTTTTATGCCCCCCCCCCCCCTTCAAAGAAATGGGTGTATATTGCTTTCCATTTGTCTGTCAGTCGGTCAGTAGACCAATTAGTTTCCGAGTGATAACTAACGAACGCTTAGGCCTAGGAACTTCAAATTTAGTATGGTGATTGTTCTTGACCAGTAGATGACCCCTATTTTGGGGTTAATGGGTCAAAGGTCAAGGTCACATCTACCTTGTAGGTTATAATGGTTTCCGAGTGATAACTAAAGAACACTTAGGCCTAGCAACTTCAAACGTAATATGCTGATTGTTCATGACCAGCAGATGACCTATTTTGATTTTTGGGTCAAGGGGTCAAAGGTCCAGGTCACATTGACCTTGTAGGTAAAAACGGTTTCCGATCAAAAACTAAAGGACTCTTAGGCCTAGGAACATCAAACTTTGATTGATAATTGTTCATGACCAGCAGATGACCCCTATTGATTTTTGGGTCAAGGAATAAAAGGTCAAGTTCACATTGACCTTGTAGGTAAAAACAGTTTTCGATCAATAACTAAAGAACCCTTAGGCCTTGGAACTTCAAACTTGGTTTGATAATTGTTCATGACCAACAGATGACTTATAATGATTTTGGTGTCAATGGGTCAAAGGTCAAGGTCACAATGATTGGCCTTGTAGGTAAAACAGTTTCCGAGTGATAATAAAGAACGCTAAGGCCTAGGAACTTTCAACTTGGTATGATGATTGTTCATGACCAGCAGATGACCTCTAATGATTTTAGGGCCAAGAAGTCAAAGGTCAAGGTCACATTGACCTTGTAGGTAAAAATAATTTCCGATCAATAACTTAAGAACACATTGGCCCAAGCTTGGTTTGATGACTGTTCATGACCAGCAGATGACCATTATTGATTTTGGGTCAATTGGTCAAAGGTCAAGGTCACATTTACCTTGTCGGTAAAAACGGTTTCCGATCAATTACTAAAGAACGCTTAGGCTTAGGAACTTCAAACTTGGTTTGATGATTGTTCATAACCAGCAGATGACTCCTGATGATTTTTGGGTCAAAAGGTCAAAGGTCAAGGTCACATTGAATGATCTTGTAGGTAAAAACGGTTTCCAAGTGATAACTTAAGAACGCTTAGGCGTAGGAACTTTAAACTTGGTATGATGATTATTCATGACCAGCAGATGACCCCTAATGATTTTGGGTCAAGAAGTCAAAGGTCAAGGTCACATTGACCATATAGGTGAAAAGGTTTCCGCTCAATAACTTAAGAACACTCTGGCCTAAATACTGCAAACTTGGTTTGATGACTGTTCATGACCAGCGGATGACCCCTATTGATTTTGGGTCAAGTGGTCAAAGTCACATTGACCTTGTAGGTACAAACAGTTTCTGATCAATAACTTGACAAGCTATGGGCGGTTGGCCCTCAAATTTTGTAGGTGCAGGCCCTCAAATTTTGTCGATACATTGGTCTTAGATGACCCCTATTGATTTTGAGGTCGGGGGAATAAAGGTCAAGGTTGCATTGACCTTGTATTTCAAAATGGTTTTTTATTAATAACTGTACAACCCATGGACCCTTGACCTTCAATCTTTACCTATGTATTGCTTTTGGTCAGAAGATGACCTCAATGGATTTTTTGCGTTAAGGGGTCAGAGGTCAAGATCACATTAACCTTATAGGTAACAACACATTCTGATCAATATCCAAACTCATGGACCCTTTACCTTCAAACTTCACAGGTGCAATGGTCTTGGCCAGTATATAACCCCTATTGATTTAAGGGTCAAAGGTCAATTTCATAATGACCTTGTAAAGACTGTTTATGACTAATAACTCAACAGCTCAAGTTGTCTTGTTGATATTTTTTTATTAAACTAAAAATCCTTTTGGTATAAACATTTCAAGGTCTTATGTAATATAACAACTTGGCTGTCATTAATGAGACCTACATGATTTATGAAATTTATGCATATATTATTTGGTAAGATTTGAAATAACTTTGTCATAAAATTGCTGCACACAACCTTTGTGGTCACAATCACCTAGTGACTAGTCATGACCAGTAATTAACCCTTGTTGATTTTTTTGGTCACTAGGTCAAAAGTCAGTCATAATAACCTGATCACATGACTAATTGACTGCCGATAGGGGGCATACATGTTTTACAAACATATCTTGTTTCATTAGTTACTTATCTCAAAACAAATGTAGATCTAGATAGTTTGCGATACAAAAGGCTATGAAATAATGACATCAATGTTTTTGATAAATATATTTTCGTTTCAGTTGAGTTACATTCTGTCGGAAGAGCTGATCAACCTATCATTGTCGACGCTAGTCCGCCAATAAATGGAACTGTTTTCGATGGCCCATTGTTTAAAGAGGATTTACAATATACCAAGTTTTCAAAAAAAGTGAGTTGAATTAAGTTGGAAGATATCATTAGTAATAAAATAACCTAAATGGATTTAATTTAAACAAGACACATGTTAAATGCCCTTTACAGGTTTGTTTGTAACTGACCAATTCAAAATAATTTTATCCTTAAACATTTTGCTGATGAACTTGGTGTAAATACTGAAACTGGTATTTTAGATGAAAAACAAGTGTCATGTTTACATGGCCATCCCCCGCCAAATGTTTTTGCTCATTGGAAGAATGTATATGTAGTAGAGCAGAATAATTCAATTTTAGAGGTTTTTTTGTAACGAAAACTGATGGCTGAAGTGATTACAGATTTTAAACCTATGTTAATACTGATGTCTGAAAATAACAAAGGAAAATAACTGAAAAATAATGCAGGGTAGGTTATCATACTTGTGTGCTGCACTCCTCCTCAATGAGATCTATCCACCTATGAAGCTTCAGGTTGATACATCTAACACCTTTTAGAATAAGCTCTGGACAAAAAGTATGAAAAATAACAAAGGACAATAACTAAAAAAGCATACAGGGTAGAGTTACTATTCTTGCGCACAGCATTCCTCCTAAATAAGATGAATCCACCTATGAAGTTTCATGTTAACATCGCAAAGTCTTTTTGAGTTATGTTCCAATCAGGTAAAAAATTAAGTATGAAAAAATAGCAAAGGGCAATAACTCAAAAATTATGAAGGTAAGAGTTATTATTCATGTGCACTGAACACCCCCTGAGTGAAATATATCTACATATGAAGTTTCATGTTTACATCTCAAAGTCTTTTTGAGTTATTCTCTGGACAAAACTTAAGTTTAAAAAATATCAAAGGGCAATAACTGCAAAAAATGCAGGGTAGAGTTATCATTTTTGTTCACTGCATTTCTCCTTAATTTGGTCAATCCACCTATGAAGTTTCAAGTTGATATCTCAAGTACTTTTTGAGATATGATCCGGAAAAAACTGTGGGACGGAAGGAAATAACAAAGGGCAATAACTGAAAAATAATGCAGGTTAAGTTATCATTTGTGTGTGCTGTACTCCTCCTCATTGAGATCTACCCACCTATAAAAATTCAAGTTCATACCTCTAACACTTTTTGAGATAAACTCCGGACAAAAGTAAAAAAATATCATAGGGCAATAACTAAATTATGAAGGGTAGAGTTATTATTCTTGTGCACTGCACACCTCCTGAGTGCGATCTTTTCACCTATGAAGTTTCATGTTGATATCTCAAAGGCTTTTTGAGTTTTGCTCTGGACAAAAAATAAGTTTAATAAAGTAATGGCAATAACTGAAAAAAATATGCAAGGTAGAGTTATCATTCTTATGCACTGCACTCCTCAATATGATCTATCCACCTATGAAGATTTAAGTTACATCAAATACTTTTTGAGATATGCTCTGGACAAAAATGTGGGACGGAAAGATAGACGGACGGAGACTATTTCTATATCCCCGCCGCCTTTTCGGCGGTGGGATGATAAAATATAAGTAAAGACTTCACTTATAAGGGAATTTTCATTTCCCTTCTGAATGTACATGTATATTCTCGTCTTATATATTATTTAACGAAAAGATAACTTCGATTCTAATTTTAGATCTGCTTGAATTGGTATGGGTTTTACGACCCCCAATCCGGAATTCACTCCTATGAAATTGGAGTTGGCACATCACCAGGATCGACCGATGTAGCTGAGTTGAAAACTCTAAAACATAACGAACACTCTTATTGTGTAGACTTGGATGAGAATTCTACACTGATCCATGATCATGTTTATTATCCAATTGTATGGGCGAATAATGGAGCCATTAACCAACAGAACATTTCAGGAATATCAAATGGAGGTACATTGCAGCTAATCCGGTTTCTTGGGCATTGAATGGTTTAATGTTCGTGTTGATTAATAAATGCATATTAAATGTTTTTTATGGACAAGACAACGATCAAACATAACATATTAATCTTATCTAATTCACACCTTGGAATACATATGAAACCATTTAATAGTTTTGTAGATTTGACGCTGATTGATACAGTAATGGATTTAAATTTTTATTCACGAATTTTGGTATTTGAAAGTAATAACAAATAAGAAACTTTAATACATATTAAAGTAAATTGAATATTAGTCATTGTATGTAAGAAAATAACATTTGCAATACTGTACGCTCGAGATTTAATTTAAATAACAAAGATACTTTATTACGTAATTATTTCTTCCCTTATCTTTAACGCCATTCTGAAAAGGCAGATACAATTTCAACAGTTTAGAAAATGGGTTAACTTTATTTCAGTTCGTGTTGACTTGACGAAGCCTATAGCTGGAACAGCTGTTGATGGAACAGACAAAAATTTAACAGATATAGCGTTTAGCTCGTCAATGTCGACAGTTCAACTACAGTGGGATTATTTTTATGACAGAGAATCAGGTATTCGAGAGTACGACATATTGGTTGCCAGAAAAAGGTAAGATGTAGCAGCAATTTAATATAACATGCATAAATATTTTTGTAACTAAATGATTTTCTATGTAATTTATGTATACTGTTTAGAAGAGAATTTGTGCAAGTCTGCACCATATTTAAAAAACAGCAAAATTCGAACCAGAAATCATTGTATATTGTGAAATGATATCGCCTTACTGGACGTGAACATTTTCTGAAATATATGCTTAGTTAAGTAATAGAGGATATTGAATGAGTGTAAGATTATATAATGCGAACCTTACGGAGTCGCAAAAGTGTGATAAATGCTTATAACATATAAATATGCACTTTGAAAAGCTTGATTGGTCTAATTATTCCCAGAATATGGAATAACGGCTGATGGTTAACTTTTAATAAGTCGAAAATTAAGAAGAAATTGTAAGAAAATATCCCTTTTTTTAGAATGTCGTATACATGCAGTTTCTCCTTTAAAATAAATGTAAACTTTATTTACTTCCGTGTTTTGTAAACTTCGACGTCCCATTGCATTTTTAGTTTTGTAAGAAACTTATGAACCAAAATATTTAGGTTTGAAAGTACCAAATTAAATGGACCAAATGTGCATTTTGAATAACACGTTAATGGTAATTATTCAGAAATTGGCATTGACTGTTCAGTCAGATCATAACTTTAGAGGGTTACACTACTTTGTTATAGTAGCGGTTTTCCAGAGCTTTCTGAACATATGTATTTAGTTCTACATTTTGGTGTAAAACATTACTTTTTCCTATTTTTTTTCATCAAAGTCATTAGTAAGCGTACTAAGGAATCTGATGATTATTTTTGTTTCAAATATTATCATACATGTACACGTATTTCACTTTTCATTACTGTTGTTTAAACAACATATAAAATTACAAAGAGTATATGTTTCCAATAAGTAGGCATGGAAGTGACTGGACGATAATCAAAAACTGGTCGAAGTTTTCAAATACTTCAAAAACAGCTGAGTGGAGAAATGTTCATCTGAACCACAAAGACGAAATAAAGAGTACTGTTAAAGCAACAAATGGTGCTTTAAATGACGTCGAGATTGTAACCGACGGATTTATTGTAGACCTGACTCCGCCTTTACTAGAACATTTTAACGACGGGTTAATCAATGGAAAAGATTTGGAATTTCAGGTGGTACACAATTATATTCAAGATTTAAAATACCGACTTTGAATTGATGATATTTAGACTTTGATTATTTATGAAGATAGATATTTATATTATTCAATGAATTATATTTTGTAAAGGTTGACGCTACCGAGGCTCATGTGAATTACCAGTTTAAAGACCCTGAATCTGGAATAAAAGAGTTAAGATACCAGCTGCATGAAAAGAAGCATGGAAAATTGAGACAAATATATCCAAGTATGTTATGTAACTAACGCAAGTTTCATTTCATCCTGTTTTAACTCAAACGTTTTAATTATATATATAGTGATATTATCATTAGTAGTAACATCTGTAACGTACACTTTCCGAATAAGGATACAAACATAATATCAATAATTTTAGGGATAGTGTTTTACATTTCTTAAGGTATGATGATAAAAAACAGAAATCATACGAAAGATACAAAACATTTAATTTAAGTGTTAATCTAAATGATATTCATGTAGTAATTCACCTTGTTATTTATAGAAATAAAAGGGTCATGGATCAAGATAGGTGATACAAATGCAACACAGCATACGGAGTCGGGATTGACACTTTCTGTTGGACATAAATATATATCAAGACTTGTTGCAATAAACGGTGCTGGCCTTATCTCAACATATGAAACAAATGGCTTCATTATAGAGAACACCCCACCAAAGGTTTGTTTGGAGGACTAAATTATCATCATCAAAATAAATTTCAACTGAAACAACCAGTGGAAATATTATTATGATTAACAAAAACGTTGACTGATAAAAAGAGCAATACTGCATGTGAAGGTATTTTGTGTAAAATCTTTATAAACAGCTTTTTACTTACCAATTTGTATGAAAACAGAAACATTTTAAGGTGGGGCATTGCATTAAAGATATAAGAATGCATAATAAGAATGATCATTTAAAATTTTAACTATATAACCTTTGTTTACAGATAAGATGGATTCGTGTCGGGGTATTAACTGGATTGGAACATTTAATAGACGGTTATGTTTATCAATCTGACCATGGAGGCATCAAAGTTTGCTGGTCGGCAAGTGACCCCGAAAGCGGAATAGCTGCAATCCAGTACTCCGTTGGAACAACTAAAGGTTTGAATAATTAAACAAAACAAAACATATCAATGATGTATACGATAAAAAAATATTATGTTTCTTTAAGCTGTCATAAGACATTGACAAAGTACCGGGTCTTTTAATTTCTGAAGAAATATATATTTAGTTTTAGAGTACAATAAAAACTACATTAATAAGCAAAGAGCATTTAATTATAGTCTTACTTTTTTGTTTTAAATGCTCACAGGTTCAGACGATATTATGCCGTGGACAGAGACAGAGACAACGTCTGACAGTGCATATCTACCATGCTCGTTGAACGATACAGATACAGACAATTCTAACAAACCAGTTTACTATGTGTCACTGAAAGCCAAAAATGGAGCAGGTCTTTGGAGCACTGTGAAAAATTCTTCGCCGATTATTGTCGTTCCAGAAGATGTTACAGGTTCATCCAGTTTAAACATATTTCATAAAAGCTCGACTCCGAAACAAGTTCTTGCAACTTATGTTAATCACTTCGAGTCTGCTTCCTGGAAGCAACCATTACTAGTACCATATGAAGAAACATGGTCGTGGCCTAAGTAGGACTCGAACCCATGATCCCTTGCATGAGTTGAGAGGCAGTCACCTTAATAAACAAGTGTTTTGTCCATTACTTTCTTCTTTTGCAATATTAAAAACTGTACATAAATTTAAATTTGTAACAATAAGTCTTTACATTTTACGCTTGCTCTATTGTTTACCAAAAATATTATTGAACCTAGTACAAATATTAAGAAAACCCTTTTGACCAGACCCTTTTATATAGTCATACAATTTACGGCAGCAATTCGATGATATTTTTTAGTCCTTTTTATTGTTCACAAATCGAGCTTTCACTTAACTCTCAAACTCTATCGTCATTTAAATATAAGTTTCGACCAATATTTTAATCACGTTAAAATAGCCTCACCATTGCACAAACACCAGATTATGAACTTAAGCTTACTGGCAAAAGACTGTTTTCTATGAATATTATACCTTTATCACATTTTTCTTTGACTGTCCTAGCTATATTCTGTCACTATTTAATTATTTTTTTTCTTTTTTCTACCTTTTTTTTCTTTATAATAATTGTGTGTATAATAGTTGTTTCATATTCTCTTTCTTGTTCGATAAATGATAGTAGTCCTTTTCATTTAAACATGAGCCATTACTTGACAAATCTTTTTTATTAACTTTAATTATTTACAAGGCAAAGACCTCAATAAGCATTATGGTGTTTAAGTATGCACTTTTTTTATTCTTTAACTTTTTAAAATATGTATTCATTTTATAGTTTGGCGTTTTTTCTTTTTTTTTTTCTTTTTTTATTATTTTTTAGATCACCTTAGTGCTCAATGTGAGCTTTTGTGATCACATTTTGTCCGGCATCCATCGTCCGTCAGTGCATCAGTGCGTTTATGCGTCCGTTCGTCAGTCGTCAATTTTTTATAAAAACAACTTCTTCTCAGAAGCCACCGGGCCAACTGTAAGCTTTAGTAAAATTGTTCAAATGGTTTTGCTCAATTGAACATCTGGATCGTCAGGAGGGCGAAAAATAGATTTTTGAAATGAAATCTTTAAAAAAATTCTCGTCTAAAAGTGGATAGCCTATAGCTTACATATTTTGTATGTAATATCATCTTCTGAAACTCTACAAAATAAAAATTCAAATTATAGCACTGGGGTCAAAATTGGCCCCGCCCGGGGGTTCTTTGATTTTTCTTATATAAATATATATTAAAAAATCTTCCTGTTAAAACCGAAAAAGCTAGAGCTTAGATATTTGGCATGACACATTTTCTCGTGAATGTCTTACAAGTTTGTTCAAATAAAAGCCCTAGGGTCAAAATTGGCCCCGCTCTGGGGGTCATTGATTTTCCTTATTTGTATTTAGTGAAAACTTAAAAAATTATTGTAAAAAAACTGAAAGAGCTAGAGCTTAAATATTTAGCATGAAACATCTTCTAGTGGATGTCTACCAAGTTTGTTCAGATAAATGCCCTAGGGTAAAAATTGGCCCTGCCCCAGGGGGTCGTGGCTTTTTCCTTTTATGTATAAAGTGAAAAATTTGAAAAAATTCTTGTAAAATACAGAAAGAGCTAGAGCTTAGATATTTGACATGAAACATCTTCTAGCGAATGTCTACCAAGTTTGTTCAATAAAAGCCCTATGGTTACAATTGGCCCCGCCCCGGAGGGTCGTTGATTTTCCTTATTTGTTTATAGTGAAAACTTAAAACAAATCTTGTAAAATACAGAAAGAGCTTGAGCTTAGGTATTTGGCATGAAATATGTTCTAGTGGATGTCTACCAAGTTTGATCAAATAAGAGCCAAAGGGTGAAAATTGGCTACGCCCAAGGGGTCATTCAGTTTCCTTTTATGTATATCGTGAAAACTTAAAAAAAATTCTTGTAAAAAAAACGAAAGAGCTAGCGCTTAGCTATTTGGCTAGTGGATGTTTACCAAATGTGTTCAATAAAAGCTTTAGGGTGAAAATTGGCCCCGACCCGCGGGTCATAGATTTTCCTTATTTGTATAAACTGAAAACTGAAGAAATTTCTTGTAAAAAGAGCTTAGATATTTTACATGAAACATCTTGAAGTAAGTGTCTACCGAGTTTGTTCAAATAAAAGCCCTGGGTTCAAAATTGGCCCCGCCCCAGGGCTCATTGATTTTCCTTAACAAACAAAATCTTTTGTTGAAAATCCAAAATCAATAGATCTTAAATAATTGACCTTCTCCAGTGGTCAATGATTTTTGTTATATTTGTATATGCATTCCTTTCTGCAATTACCACCCTTTAATAATATTAAATAAAGTTTAACATTAATAACAAGAAAATAAAGATTTTTTTGCCCCCGGGCATCTAGTAATTGGACCTCCCATCCGTCCGTCCGTCTGTCCGAATGAGGTTAACCTAATTCGGGAAGTTGGATTTTTCTTAAGAACTACCTATACCAATGGCTTCATACTTCACACTCTTACGTATCAACACAATGTATATGATCTGGGCAAGTTACATAACTATGGCTTCCATTTTTACCAATTTATTGCCCCTTTTAGCACTGAGAAAATGAAAAATTGGTTAACCTCAAACGGAAAGTTGGATACATCTTAATTTCTATCTATACTAATAGCACTTACTTATCAATACAAAGTACATGATATTGTTATATAACTGTGCCATCCATTTTTTCCAGTCATTTCCCTTTTTATCACTTTGAAAATAGTAGGGTCTTGTAAGGTTAACCTATTCCGGGAAGTTGGATTTATCTTAATTTCTCATAACTACTTCATGAATTTAATCATATCTTTCATATTTGGTAGGTGGATACCTTAAATGGTCCTCTAATTTTTTATGGAGTAAGGGATCCCTAGGGTCAAGGTCACTTGTGTAAAAAAACAAATTTAAACATTTTTGCTCCTACAGCCTTTATTTTTAAGTTGATGTCATTCATGTTTAATACAAACTGCTAAGGGAGGTCGTCTTCCTTTGGATTTAGTTAGGGGTCATTTGGGTCAAGGTCATGGTCACCAATGTCGAAAAATAGATTTTTATACTTTTACAGGTGTATTAACCTTATTCTATTGACATATGTCTCTTATGTTTGGTAGGAATATAATTTTTTTTCTTCGGATGGAGTTGGGGGTCAGTTACGTCAAGGTTACAAGTGCTAAGAATAGATTTTTACACTTTTGCTCATACAGCCTTTATTTACTGACAGATGTTTTTCATATTTGGTAGGAAGATAACTTGCATGATATTCTTCCTTCTGATTGAGATAGAGGTCAAGGTCACCAGTGTTGAAAATAGATTTTTAATCATTTGCCCATATAGCTTTTATTAATTGATAGATTTATAACATATTTGGTAGGAAGATAACTTGCATGGTATTCTTCCTTTGGATATAGTAAGGGGTCAGCTGAGTCAATGTCACAAGTTCTAGAAATAGATCTTTACACTTTTGGCCATACAGCCTTTATTTATTGACAGATTAATTTCATATTTGGTAGGAAGATAACTTACATGATATTCTTCTTTTTGACCGAGGATGGGGCAGTTAGTCAATGTCAAGGATGCCAAAAATAGATTTCTACACATTTGCTTATACAGCCATTATTTTTTGACTGATGTTTTCATATTTTGAAAAATGATAACTTGCATGGTCTCCTTCTCTTGGATTGAGCTAGGGGTCAGTTGGGTCAAAGTCACCAGTACAAAAAATAGATTTTTTCACTTTTGCTTGTAGATCCTTTATTTACTGACGGATGTCTTTCATATTCGGTTGGAAGATAACTTGCATGCTTTTCCTTTCAATTGAGTTTAGGGGTCAGTAGGTCAAAAAGGCAAATAAAAGATGTCTACACGTTTGCTTTAATAGCCGTTACTTTTTACTGATATCTTTTTCATTTTTGAAAAGATGATACTTTGCATCCTGGTATTGAGTTAGTAGTCATTTGGGTCAAGGTCATCAGTGCTAAAAATAGATTTTTACACTTTTTTATACAGCCTTTGTTGTTTTGTTGTTGTTATTGTTGTTGTTTTTATAAATGTCTCATACTTACATAGAGCATACCTAAGGTGGTCTTTTTAAGTTCGGATGGAGTTTAGTGTCGCTTGAAATTATTTTTCAACTTCATCACAAGTTATAGCAATGACTTGCAAACTTATATTTTCACAATCACAAAACGCCATGACTCTGTCAAGTTATATGTTATATGTGTTACATTTTTTCTTTAAATATTCCGTCCTTAATTGAGTGAATGGTTAATATTTTTTTTAATATTGTGCCGGGTGCATTTGTGTTTAACAAACACGTTCTTGTTTAATTATTATTTTTAATTCATGGTTAATTAAGATGTGAAGGAAATATTTATCTAATGAAAATAAATTTATAAATCTTCCTTAGCCCAATCATCTTTTCAAATAACTGCAGTATATATAGCAAGAGTTGAACACAGCATCTGACTATCACCAGCCCGCAGCTCTCAATGGGTAAGAGCGCGAGACTTGTATTCTCGACATTGCGGGTTCGATTACCGGGCTTGCCAACTAAAATTACTGATCAGTCTTTTTGGATGAGACTCTAAATCGAGATCCCATGTATGAGTGCTTAAACACTTGGAACGCTAAAGAACCAGGAGAAGCTTCTGGAATCGGGGCATCTTTCTGTATCTGTATCTTGCACTATCCTCCAAAAATCTAAAATGACTAATACTCTTCTGGAGGACCTACCCATATGGGCAGCCGGTGGCGAGTATAATAAACTCAATTACAAACGCATGTGTTTATTACACACTGTATATTAACAAGCTCATTGTTGTAGTTGTAAATACTATAATTTTTCAAAGTGAATGCAGGAATACACATCTTGACTTCATTAATTGCTGAATAGCTCAAGCTAACCGTAAGTTGTGTATTTTCTGTAAAATTTAATGCAATTTAAACTACAGTCATGTCCTATGTTATGATCCTGTAACGCAACTTTTTTATGGTTTTATATAATAAATCTGATGTTCTTGGACCTCTATAATGTTTTTCAAATTATAGCCCTCATGGCAAAGTTGGCCCTGCTTCGGGGAACATTGATTTTCCTTTTATGTATACAGTTGTTAAAAAATTCTAAATCTACAGAAGCTAAAGCTTAGTTTCCATATCATAGCAGCTATTTACTTAACGATTCTGTATCTCATTTTTTTATCGTTTTATAATCTCAAATAAGATTTATCAATATTGTAGTTCAAAAAAGCATTATTTGTAAAGATATTACTTAATTTTCATTGTTAATAAAGGGAGGTAATTAAAAATTTATTTTCTATAAAGTCTGAGTCATTTTTTTTTTTCAAAAAGAAATGACTGCATATATTTTAATGATTACATATAATGTGGACAAACATATATTCTTCGAAGTTTGAGAATTGTTTGAGAAGCATAATTATATTCACTTAAGTATGGTAACTATCTTAATTACAGTTAAAGAGAACTGCAACATTTCATAGCAACCAGTCACTTCCATAGCAAACATTATCTATCTGCCATTGAATTTTATAGCAAGCACACCATTTATTTTGATCAGTAACCAGTGACAACTTATGTCATTTTTGTCCCCCTATCAAAAACAGCTTGAAATGTTTTAAAATGGGCACTATTTAATATGAACTTTCTTATATCAGTTTAAGATTTAGATTTTTCTATCTGCTTTACTTCATAGTTTACAATATTACTTGTTCATTGTCATGAAGAGCATTTATATAGACTTGAAATTTGGACCAGGAGTGTAATTACTGATGCTGAATTTAATTTTGATAGCAGCTGACCTACTTTTGATATCATTTGACTTACTTTCTTGCTGTTTGACGTACAGACATGAAATGTGAACCAAATGCTGAATTAAATTTTAATATCAGCTGACCTAATTTTGATATTTTTTTGTTATGTCATTTGACCTTCTTTCTTGTTTTTTGACATACTGGCTTGAAATTTAGATTAGTCACGATGCTATTCTACATAATTGCATGGATGAGTTCAAACATTGGTCACCTCGGATAAAATACTAGGTTACAGAAGCTAAAAATAGAATAATCTTGTTAACACTTTAGAGGCTATTGTTTTGATACCAATATCAAGTGAAGTGACCAGAAAGGTTGTTTTGACGATTTCTAGTTCCAGCTTGAATATGGGTCATCTGAGGTCAAAAACTAGGTTGCACAGCCAAATATTTAAAAACCTTGCTGACACTCTAAATGCTACTATTTTGATCCAAATATCCTGGAATTTTGTCAAAAGGTTGTTTTTTGATTTCTATGTCAAGTTTGAATATTGGTCATCTGGGGTCAAAAACTAGGTCACACAGCCCATATATTGAAAACCCTTGCTAACACTGTAGAGACTACTATTTAGAACCAAATATACTGGATATTGTCCAATAATGTTGAAATGATGATTTCTTGGTCAAGTGCGAATATAGATCACCTGGGGTATAAAAAATAGGTCACACAGCCTAATTATTGGATAACTTTGTTTACACTCTAGGGGCTACTGTTTCAGTAAAAATATCCTGGAAATTGGTTTGAATACTTGTTATAAAGATTTCTAGGTCAAGTCTGAATATTGGTCACTTGTGTTCAGAAACCAGGTCACATAGCCCTTATATGAAAAAAAACTTGTTTACACCTTAGGGGCTACTGTTGTGATCCAAATAACCTGAAAATTGGTCAGAAAAGTTGTTTTGGTGATTTCTAGATCAAGTTTTAATATGGGTCATCTGTGGTCAAAAACTAGGTCACACAGCCGAAATGAAATAGAATTGAGCGTTCATAATCATGTGAGCGATATAAGGGCCATCATAGCCCTCTTGTTGTTGTTTTTCTTGTGTATTTTTTTTCTTTAAACTTTGTTAGGAAAAATGAAATATGTTTAAATCAAAAATTAAATACACCGTAAAAGGAAGGGTATTACTATCAACATAATCAATGGTGTATTGAATGTAGTCATCTTATCATTTTGAATAAAAGTGTCTTATAACATAACAACATAAGCACAATGTTGATAGAACACAGCAGGTTCATTTCATATTTAACAGGAGTTGTCCATGATGGGCCATTTGAAGATTGGACAGACGATTTAGATTATCAGGCTGATGAACACACAGTAACAATGAGGTTCTCTGGCTTTGAAAGCAGTTTACATGGAATAATGTTATTTGACTGGGCTATTGGTACATCTCCTGGTGCAGAAGATGTACAGCCCTTCCTGGAGGACGGAATTATCCACAATGAGGAGGAAGATGTGACAGGAAACGGTATAGTCCTTTTTTTATTTTATTTACCATTTTTAATGTAGATCTGCTAAAACTTTGACACTTTTATAAAAAGGTAATCAGTTATACAATTTATGAACGAGCATTCCGGTAAATTATCTTTTTTATGATGGGTTTAAGAAATAAGATGTTGACTTTGTGTTTATAATTATTATTATGATTATTATTATTATTTTTATTATTAGGTCTAACCAGTTCAGGGTTTGCACAAACTGTTATTGATATTGATCATGGTGGTTCATATTTTACGACACTGAGAGCTAAAACAAACAAAGGTGATATTTTACAAGCTACAACAAACGGATTTATAGTTGATACAACCAGGCCAGAAGTTAATTTTAGCAAGTAAGATTTGTTTTAGTTCTATCATATGACGGATCAATATCGTTTTCATGTTTAGTATAAAATCGTGCCTGTGGTGTTGTATTTGGTTTTGATTAATTCAAATAAACATTTTTAATTGTTTAGTATCTCTTCAAAAAAAAATTGTTTAGTTGTCATTTTTTGTCGATCGTAAATGTTAATAGTTCCCAATATAGTCGGTAACTTACATGTATATGCACTAAAAAACAAATATAATGGAGTATTAACTATAGATAATATTATAGGTTTGTAAAGCTGTAAAAATTGCTACGTAATAACTTTAGGTGGCATCAAAATTTATTTGTTTATTTTAGATTGTTAGAATCAACAGCAATACATCAACATGCCGTTCTGTATCAAAAGGATGAGTCAGTTCTTAGTGCAATCTGGAATTTCTCTGACCCTGAGTATATAGAAAGAGACAGCATAAACAATATAGATTTAACATGGTTTTCTGTTGGATCAATTCCATACATGGGCAATATCTATAACATGACTTACCAAAACATTTCATGGGAGACAGAGGCTTCTCTTCCCGTGGGAGATGTAAGGCCCTCACTACAAGGTAAAATTACTATTATTGTGTATACAAAGTTTCTAATAAGATAAAGTATATCAGTTTTAAGTAATGATTGATAAAATTAAAGTAGTTTAAATTCATTTATTATTTATAGTGTTGTTTTGTTAAAACATTGGCATGCTTTTCAATACTGAGACAAATGTTATAAATAGTGTTTAAAAGAAATAAAAGTAAATATTTTTTTATTAAACTCTAGATTTGATTTATTTATCCAAAACTCTTTTCGAAACAAGTATGGTATATTTTAAAAAAATAAATAACAGGCGCTAGGCAATATATAACTTTCATTAAAATAAAATGTTGTAGCATAGACTGTACATTTTTAAAATACATAAATTAAATATTAATTGAAAATAAAGTTGGATGTTATATAACATATTATATTATAATTTTTATTATCAACCACTTAAACAGGTACAACAAATGTGATAAATGTTGGAGTAAGAAACAAAGCTCGTCTAGAAAATTCAATCACTTCGCCACCAATTATTCAGGATAACACTGCACCACTTGCCGGGACGGTTGAATGTCCAGACTTTGTTCAGGTATTACATCAAGGACGTTTGCCATAAATGTAATTCTTCCCTAACAAATTACGACATAAAGATGTAAAATAATTCATACTTACGTGTTGTTTTGTTTTTGTTTTTTTTTTAGTTCTTTTTTTCAAGATCATGCTTCAGTAGCAAAAAGTGACCAAAATCGTAACAAAAAAAAATGTTATATTATTGTAGAGTCATTCAGCAATAAAATGCTCCTGGACTGGTTTTGTTGAAAAGGAAAGCGAGATTGCAAAATATTACATCACTTTTGGCTCTAAGCAAGGATTTGATGACTTGAGGCTAGTTGAGGAAATTCCGGGAGAAATGAAAATATTTTCTGCAAAGGGTATGTTTTCCCTCACAAACAAATTGTTGAATGTTCACATGTTAAATGTAACGCACAAATACATGCAAATCTGTCCATATTATTGTTTAACTTGGCATGTCTCGTTTTAACGAATGTTTTATTGCAGTAGTAAAATACATTGGTGATTTCAGATGTTGTAAAGGATCATAATGATAAGATATATGCGACTATCACGGCCGAAAACGAAGTTGGACTGACAGTAAGGGCGTACTCTAAAGTTATTGTTGTCGATGATACTCCACCCACTGCTGGTGTTGTTGTCGAGTTATCAAGTGTAGCAAGAATTGATCCAAATAATGTCGACAAAACTGTTCAAATGAATAGGAAAGCCTGCACAACGATGGAAGGTATAAGATAAATATAATTTGTGTTAAAATGCCTTAAAACCGGCATTATTTCTGTACTATGATTGGAATCATTCATCTTCAATGAATTAAACAATTTAGGAAATGTATAATGTATGTGGATGTTTGAAATAACTTTTGGTATTCCTCTTGTATATAAATACATACATCAATGTTTATTCTTTTACATTAACTAAAATGTTGATATCATCCTGTAAATTAATTTAATACTGTATTTGTTTTAATAATCAGAACTTTGTTGGTGTTTTTAATGTACAGAAGAAGCCTGTATACATTTAAGTCATTTATCATTCCAGAGTGCCAGAAAATCGATGCAGTTTGTACTGAGGCATTCACACACCTGTCTGTTGCTTGGGCACACTTCAGTGACGATGAATCGGAAATTATTAAGTAAGCTTTTCATTCATATAAGGATGTATTTCTGCACACATATAGATCTTTTTTGTGATGGACACCAAAGTTTTTAAGTTTTGAGTGTACATACTTCGTTAACAAATTTGAAATGAAAAGTCTTTCGTGGTTCTAAATTTCATTTGTTGTCACCGATTTGACAGTACAAAATCTAACATATTTGCAAAACAGGCTGTGTTAGTTTTACTCATGCTGGACATTTCACCTAGCATGTGGATGGTAGATGAGTCATTAGCTCCAAAATGACGTCATATTAGGCATTTTAGAATGACACTGCGATCTAAGGATGACGTCATTTCACCCTTATGAATGAAGTTGTAATTTGATTCGCTATATTAAGAAAACACTAACGGAAGAAGTGTCATTGATTTCCATCACAATTTTTTTTTTTTTTTTTGCAAATCATGAAAAATATGGTAGAATATTCAAGAAATACAATGCCTTGCATGTGTTTGCGATTTGGATGGCACATCCGTCATTTTAGATGGGTATTCTTGAGGTGGATATTTTTCCAATCTTAAGTTGCCACCCTTGAGCAGGTACCAAATGGTCCAAACTGCGACACTTGGAACAGAAATTATCAGTATAAATTATTTCTTTAATTTGAATGGTGAATATCAAAATGACTGATTTATTATTACATGGAACGAATGCATACGAGTTTTTGTAAATATCGATTTTTCGAAAAATTGTAGAAATATTTTATTGTATGGAATTATCAAAACTATATAATAATTAGGAGGGCATATCAATAATAAACATATATAAGACACTATATGTTGATGTTTTTTCTCTTGGGTAAAACAGTCATGTGATATTTTTCATTTGATGGGGTGAATGGTTGGTGGTGTTTTGGGATTAAGGGATTATTTACGTTAAGGTATCACTAGTTTAAATATAAATGAATTATTTAAACTATGTTAAAATTATTTCACAGTATATAAAAATGAATTATAAAATATTATAACTTGCGCTATCTTAAATTTTATACCTGCGTAACTCCAAAAGCCCGAGTCTATAAATTACTATAATAAGGTAGAACATGCATGCATAGGAAACAATTAAAATTCAATTAAATTGCATTTTTCATGCAATTTTCCTAAATCTGAAACAAATTAATAACATATAACAATGGCATTGACGATATGTTAAGCTTTAACACAGAGTTTGTGCTATTTGTTAGCTACATGAAGGTGGAAATTCCTACTTTTACTTCATCATTTGCGAGTGCAACAATTTTTATTTCGTAGTCTTATTTTTGGACTTTTTCGCCTCCTGGCATATAGTAAATGAACTCTTCGTGCGAGGTTAATCTAAAAAAAAATCTGGATTTTTCTACAGTTCTACCTAGACCAATGGCCTTTACACACTCACTAATAAATACAAAATATACGATCTGGGCAAGTTACATGACTAGGGCTTCCATTTTTAGCACTCAAAAACGAATAAAGGTTGACCTAAACCGGCAAGTTGGATATATCTTATTAAAATAAGTTATATCTATACTAATGGCTTCAAAATTTCCACACTTACTTATCAATACAAATTATAAATACTGCCAAGTTATATAACTGTGCCATCCATATTTCCCTTTTTATCACTTAGAAAATAGGGATTTGTATGGTTAATCTTTTCCGACAAGTTGAATTTATCTTAAATTTCTCCTTATTATTAAATTTCTTATTGATATATTTCATATTTGGTATGTGGATATCTTAAATGGACCGCTTTTTTGAAGTAGGGGCTCTCTAGGGCCAAGGTCACTGGTAAAAATAAATTTAAACATTTTTGCTCATACAGCTTTTTTAAATTGATGTCTTTGATCATGTTTAATGCAAATATGCCAAGGTAGGTCCTCCTTCTTTGGTTGTAGTTAGGGTCATTTTGAGTCAAATTCAAGGTCACCAATATCAAAAATAGATTTTAACACTTAAACAGGTGTACTTACCATATTCTATTGATTGATGTAATTTATTTTTGGTAGGAACATAAAATAATGGTCTCTTTGTATTTTTCCTTTGGATGGAGTAAGGGGTCAATACGGTGAAAGTCACCAGTGCTAAAAATAGATATTTACACTGTTGCCCATACAGCCTTTATTTATTGTTAGTTGTATTTTATAATTGGTAGGAAGGTAACTTGCATGATATGCCTCCTTTTGATGGAAGAAGGGGTCAATGGGTCAAGGTCACACATTGCTTTAACAATTTTATTTATCAACCTTTATATTTTGACAGATGTTTTTAGCTTACCCGTACCACGAAGTTGTTAAGTGAAGTGAAGTCTTGTTAACATTCTAGTGGCTGCAGTTTTGATCTAAATTTACTAAGAATCAGTCAGGAAGGTTGTTTTGTTATTTTTGACTGATTTTTTTCATATTTGAAAGGATGACAACTTGCATCCTTTTGGATTGAGTTACGGGTCAGTTAGATCAAAGTCACCGGTGCTAAATAATAATTTTTCCCTTTTGTCCAAACAGCCTATGTCTTTCATATAAAGTATGAAGTTGCATGGTCCTCTACCTTTGGATTGCGTTAGAGGTCAGTGGGTCAAGGTCAGCTGTCAAAAACTTTCCAGATTTTTCACACTGGCTTATACAGCCTTAATTCATAGCCTGATGTTTTTTATTTTGGAAGGAACATTCATTTGAGGGTTCAGTGCTGGAGTCACAAGGTCAATGTTTCATTTGCTAATAATAGATTTATTACACGTTTTTATAAGCCTTTGTATATTTTTTACAAATGTCTTTTATTTACAAGGAAGATACCTAAGGTTGTCGGTGCAGTTTGGGGTCACAGATTTCACTGTAAAATCCCGCATTTATATATATCTGATAAAGTTGAATATTTTTCAACTTAATCACAGGTCATAGTAATGACTGACCAAAATCAATTGAAATATTGTTCCATAACTTAGTGAATAGGTAAACATTTTTGAAATATTGTTACTGAGAAGAATCTGAGCGGGGGCATTTGTGTTCAACAAACATTTAAATATTTTTTTTTACTTTTTCAATATGGAACATATGTTACATTATTATGTAGACGTAGGGCTTGAAACATAATCATAATACTAACAAATTAACGATCAATAGAAAACACTGCATGACAACTACCCTATATCAAGATCTAATTATTTGTAAAAATACTATAATGAGTATAGCAGATTTTCTACAGAAAACAAGCACCTGCTTCCCCTGATTATGTCAAGGCATTTTGATTCTGTAGAATGACAGTTAATTTACCTATTCTTGCCTGAAACAAATAATAAAACATTTCTTTGTGACGTTCTTTACCTACAAGGCATAACTGTAACTTTATCGCCCGCTTGGTATTTATCCCTGCCAATGAAATGTGTATAGCAAGAATAATTCTCACTACCTTTTCATTTTAGATACCAGCTGGCAATCGGAACTTCTCCTGGAGGAGCAGATATATCACCTTTTATATCTTTATCACCAGAACTGAATCACTATACCGTTACGAATATAGACCTTAAAGGACAAAGACAGGTCTGTTAAAATATCAAGAACATTTAAATAGAATAAGCAATTAAGATTTTTATCATCACCATATAACTCAATTTAAAACTCACTAGGCCTTTTAAACATATAACTGATTTAATCATTATATTTACCTATAATTATACAGCTTTATACGCTCAAAAGAATTTATAGTTTATTTCACAGTACATAAAATTTAACCATTCAACTTGCAGCGTTTTCACAATGTGATCTCTCAATATAAATCTGTGCAATTAAGCTTCGTTTTATTTTGTCAATTAAAACATTCTTACCACTACGGAACTTTAACTTGCCACGTCTTTTTAGCTCACCTGAGCTAGCTTGAGTGAGCTTTATGGATCGCTGAATGTCCGTCGTCCGTCCACACTTGTTCGTTAACACTCTAGCGGTCACATTTTTGACTCAATCATCATCAAACTTTGTCAGGATGCTTGTCTAGGTAATAGCTCGGATGAGTTCGAACATGGGTTATCTCGGATGAATAACTAGGTCACCGGAGCTATAAATAAAAAACTTTGTTATCACTCTAGTGGTCACGTTTTTTGCCTCCACCATCACACTTTGTCAGGATGCTTGCTTAGATGATAGCTCGAATGAGTTCGAACATGGGTCATCTCGGATGAAAAACTAGCTCACATGAGCAAAAAATATAAAAACATTGTAAACACACTAGTGGTCACATTTTTGAATCAATCATCATCAAACTTGGTCAGGATGCTTGTCTATGTAACTGCTAGGATGAGTTTGAGCATGGGTCATCTCGAATGAAAAACTAGGTCACAGGAGCTAAAAATAGAATAACCTTGTTAACACTCAAGATAGTGGTCACATTTTTGAATCAATCATCATCAAGCTTAGTCGGGATGCTTGCCTAGGTGATTGCTCGGATGAGTTCGAACATGGGTCATCTCGGATGAAAAACTAGGTTAAAGGAGCTAAAAATAGAAAAAACTTGTAAACACTCTTATGGTCACGTTTTTGACTCAATTGTCATCAAATTTGGTCAGGATGCTTGTCTAGGTAATTACTCGGATGAGTTCGAACATGGGTCATGTCGGATGAACAAGTAGTTCATAAAAAACTTTGATATTACTCTAGTGGTCATATTTTTGACTCAGTTGAAATCAAACTTAGTCAGGATGCTTGTATAGGTAATTGATAAATTGAGTTTGAACATGGGTCATCTCGGATGAAAAACTAGGTCACAGGAGCTAAAAATTAAAAACCTAGTTAACACTCTAGTGGTCACATTTTTGACTCAATTATCATTAATCTTAGTCAGGATGCTTGTCTATGTCATTGCTCGGATGAGTTGGAACATGGGTAATCTCGAATTAAAAACTAGGTCACATAAGATAAAAATAGAAAAAACCTTGTTAACAATCTAGTGTCACATTTTTGACTCAATCGTCATTAAACTTGGTCAGGATGCTTTTCTAGGTAACTGCTCGAATGAGGTCGAACATGTGTCATCTCAGATGAAAAACTAGGTGACAGGAGTTAAAAATAGAAAAAATCTTGTTAAAACTCTAGTGACTACTGTTTTGATCAAAATATCCTGGAAATTGGTCTGAAGTTTGTTTTGATGATTTGTAGGTCAAGTTAGAATATAGGTCACCTTGGGTCAAAAACTAGGTCATACCGCCTAAATATGGAAAAACCTTGTTAACATTCTAGTGGCGGCAGTTTTTACTTAATTATCACCAATCTTGGTCAGTATGCTTGCCTAGGTAATTGCTAAGATGAGTTTGAATATGGGTCATCTCGGTTGAAAAACTAGGTTACAGGAACTAAAAGTAGAAAAAAACTTGTTAACACTCTAGTGGCTACTGTTTTGATCCAAATATCCTGGAAATTAGTCTGAAAGTTTGAATATAAATCTTCAGAGGTCAAAAACTAGGTCGCACTGCCCACGTATGGAAAAACCTTTTTAACACTTTAATGGCCACATTTTCTTTATCAGTTGTCATCAAACTTGGTCAGAATGCTTGTATAGGTAATTGCTCGGGTAGCTTTGAACATGGGTCATCTCGGATGAAAAACGAGGTCACAAGAGCTAAGAATAGGAAAATCTTGTTAACACTCTAGTGGCTACTGTTTTGATCCAAATATCCTTGATATTGGTTTGAAAGTTTGTTTCGATGATTTCTAGGTCAAGATCGAATATGGGTCACTTGGAGTCAAAAACTAGGTCACACTGCTCAAATATGGATAGTCCTTATCATCACTCTTGTGATAACATTTTTGACTCACCTGTCATTAAACCTGTTCAGAATGCTTGTCTAGATAATTGTTCAGATGAGTTCGATGGATCAGGTGAGCGATCTAGGGCCATCTTGGCCCTCTTGTTCATTTTCAAACTAGTCCAAACAATTCATATCATTATTTCAACAATGTTCTGTCAAAAACGCAATGAAATAAAGATGTCGTTATACATTTTGAGTACAACAATGATTCTTTTGGGTTCAGAAAAGATGCTTTTCACTTGTATTACCTCCCTGTCCGCCATTTTCAGGGTATTTCCCAATATATTGTATGCTTAAGATAAATATCTCTAACAGCTATATCATTATATCAGCAGATGAACAGTTCAGATATTAGTGCTACATAATGTTTACCTTCACATAAATTGCTTTTCTCATATTGCATCAATTGTATTATATTTAGTATTGCCTCCAAAGATGGATGCCTTTTTGTCAAGGGAGATAAAAAATTTGGAACTATCTATTGTACTCAATAATTTATGATATCCTCATATCATTGAATACAAACCTCAATTGAGCGTGAATTTTAAAAATTCATATCAACTAGCTATTGTTTTCCATGAAGCCTCGATTTCCTAATTCGAGTTCATTTTAGTTTTGATAGCTGTGTACTCGTTCAATAGAGTTCAGTATTGTACTCAAAAAATATAATAACCTTAAGATATTATATTAAATGACTAATGGTACTGAATTTAATTAAATTATGTATTGGCATGTAATGCGCACTTAATTTTGCACGCCAGTATAAAATTGGTGATATTTTGAGGTTATCATATATTGTTGTGTACAGTACTGAATACATAGTTGTGTAATCTATTTTGAACGAGGCGCAGTTGTGTCTTATAGAATAAGTATTGTAGCGAACAATGCATAATGATATCTTTATTTCACACCACAATTATTTACATTTTTATGGTTACATAAAGAGCTTGACATGGATTTTAGGCTCTAAAAATGTAAAGGAACAGTGATGTGATCTTGTTTATTTTTACGTTGTTGTTTTGCTGTTTTGTTGATTTTTTTACCTGAAAAAAAAACGAGGAAGCTAGAATGAGAATCATGGATTGTTTGGTGTCAGAAAATGTAAGTGAGTCTAAGTTGTTTAAATTTTATCGATAATGGTGGATCACATGGTACAAACGCTAGAAGTTTATTGGTTTTAACTTGATAAGGTCTGAGATAAAAAGAAATTAAATTATATGGAATTTAGCGATGTCTTTTGTTTACAAAAAAAGAATGTGCTGTTATTAATAATATGCTTAAATTGAAGATGCTGACTATGTTTATATGAAACAAATTCTTAAGATTATCCCATGGCAGACGAAGGAAACATCATTTCAGCTACAAAACAAACAAGTGTTTTCTTTTACAGTCTTTTGAGTAATCTTATCCATTAAAATTTAACTTACTTTGAGAAGAATTGATATGTTATTGTCTTTTTTATATGATTTTAATACAATCATGTGTTTCATGTTTCCAAATAAGTTATTTGACATTTTAAATATTCATGTTAAAATTATATTTAACCGACGAAAGTTACAAATAGACAATTTACATTAATAGGTGTTTGCAACAGTCAAGGCATCCAATTTTGCAGGACATACAACCAGTGCTTATTCAAATGGAGTTTATTTATCGTATCTAAGTCAAGGTTTACCGCCCCTTAAACACGTCGGTATATATGATTCGTCCCAACATTCGGTCGGAGATGTGTAAGTATTTTAAGTTTATTAAAGGTCCTGTAACACAATTTTTTATGGTTTTAAATCATAAATATGACGCTCAAATTAAGATTTATCAATATCGTAGGTTCCAAATAGCACTATTTATAAAGATATTACCGAATTTAACAGTTCATGTAAATAAAGGGAGGTAATGAAAAATTAATTTTCTAAAAAGTTTAAGTTCTGTGTGATGTGTCACTTATTTAAAAGTAAGACAAAAATTATAAGCATCGTAAACAATTAATATTTGTACCATTTTTAAAGAATACTCGTGACAATGTTTAAAGCTATGTTTTCTTTCAGTTCCTTCAGACAAACATTAATTATTTATAATTAAACAACATTATAACATTGTTTTGAAAAACAAACACTTGAAAAAAAAAGCAAAAAAACACGTATATAGGTGTGGTCAAATACAGGCATTTATTCATTGATTATTACAAAACATAAACACACTGATGGTGTCCGCGCAAAAAATTGACCAGAAATATGGTATTTGAGCCCATCTCCTAAGTCATAAGATGAGAGAGAGAGAGAGAGAGAGAGAGAGAGAGAGAGAGAGAGAGAGAAAATCACTTTCAATGTCCAAGAAACCATCTACACTCAAACACTTATTTAAATCCATCCTTGACACTTTCACTCTCCTTTTCATCTTGCAGAAAATTTGACAATGCCTTCGATCTGAAATTGATTAATTAACATGATAATACATAAAAAAATGAAATATCCATATACTGTATTAAAATTGAAGCACTGTGCATTAGTTCATGTAAATAGCTGTAATGCTGTCACAACATATATGCAAATACAATGTTATTGTTGTTTTATAAAAAGTAAAGACTTTACTGTAACCAGATTCCAAATTCAAAATAGTAATCTTTAAAAAATGGGCGGGTGATCCGGAAACTAGACTAACCAGTTTAGTTTAACTGCCTGTTTTCAACTTGAGTCAAGAAAGATTTGACCTAGAGTCAGTAAATTGACAAAACAGTTGAATGACGGGGCACCAGTGTCCTATGGACTCGTTTCTAGTGAAATAATTATTTTGTTGTTAAAACAGAGAATTTCAGTCTGACACTAACACAATTGGAGCAAAGTGGGACGTATCTGGTGACCCATGTCCTGTCGTAAAGTACGAATGGTCTGTCAAGGAAACGGATGGAACAGTTATACAAGATTATATTGACATGTTTAGTAAGTAAATAATGCGCTAAGACAATATGCATATTGTTTTTTTTTTTAACTTGAGTATTAGTGTACCTTACATCGCTCACATCAATGTCAATGCTTTTTCAACATTCTAAACATAAATGATGTTTGTGAGCAGCTGTAACAGCTTGCAAAAATCATACTCCGACTGTTCCGGCTTTATGCAATCCGGTTGTGCTTAAACCGACTAGCTAGAGACAAAACCCCTGAACAACCTGAGCTCCAACTTCTGCTGATAATGAAAAAATCGACAATATTTTAATTTGTGTGTCCGTCGAACTGCAAACAGTCATTAAGGTCAAATTTCGGCTAGGCTCACAAATTTAGGCCTGCTCCTATGAAACTAAGGCTAAATATCGCACAACTCTATATGGTCACATGCTTAGAAATCAGTGGAAAATTCCAGTTTTTAGGCAGTCTGGCTACTTCATGAACACCTAAAAGTAATTATGATTTTATTTTACTTCTAGCCACTACAAGTGGAAGCACTGATCAGTTAGACTTGAAAGAAGGACGAAGATACTACAGTCTTTTAAGAGTTCAGAACATGTTAGGATTTGTGTATACATTGCGGTCAGATGGAGTAACAATTAATTCTAACCCAATGCTGCCTGGAATGGTATATGATGGAGATGTAACAGGATATGACCTAAAGGTATTATCTTCACGTACAATGGTATCGGCAAATTGGGAAGGCTTTGGAGAATTACGACAACCTAAAGGTGTTAGTGAGATCTTAACAGGTAATCAGTTAACATCTTTTTATCACATAAACCGCGGCGCAGGAGTGTAATAAAGCCATTTAATAAAAACGATATTACACTAGTGTAATAACACTTTGACGTGACGTCATTTGCGCTATATAGAAATATAGCGTTAAAGCGCGCTAATGTTAGCGTTACACGTATAGGCGCGTCATTGAAAAAATAATCATTTTAACAGTTTACTGTTCTTATTTTATATATGTGATGAATAGAATATTAAATTCGTGTAGATTCAATACTAAAATAAAAGGGAACTCCGCCACAATTTTGTTATATATATTTACTGTATTTAAACCTTTTTAGGAAACAAAGGTGTTGATGAGGAAGACGAAGTTGATCCGAATCAACAAGTTGCTTATTACGAAGTGGCTCTAGGAACAGACAGACGGTTTGATAAAACAAGAGACAATGTTGTACCATTCACGAACGTTGGTTTGAATACTTCTGTGACTTTCAAAGATTTGGACCTTGAGCCAGGATTTGCTTTTTACTACTTTACAGTGCGGGCATTTAGTACATCTTCCTCTTCAGCAACAATAACTTCAAATGGATTCTTTGTGAGTTTTGATGGTGGTGTTTCTGGTAAGTGTTAAGTTTTAATTTGTCAATTTATTTTATCAAGATATTTTTGTAATGTCATAAAATGAGAAAGCGCTAAGAAACATTGTACCAATTTATCTTTTTATTTTTAGTTATTTGTATAAAATACTATATTACTTTTATATTTTGCGTCGGCTATTTTCTCTCATCATCATTTTATAGTAATGTATCAATTAAATCATTTCACTGTTATTAAATGGGTCTCATGTTTCTAACGTAAATTAAGAGAAAGTCGACAAAATACGTAACATAATTTTGTTATACATTTGTGTTTTATGTTTTATAGCTGGATCAATTACAATGCCGGACTACATAAACTCGGACAAAACCATAAGTGTACAATGGAATGACTACACATCTAATGTTGGCATAATGTTATACTACATTGCAATATCTGATCACCAAAATACTACATCAGAAGACTGTAGAAGATATGTGAGCATGAACTATACATCTTAAAGATATGATAAGTTTTCTTTGAATAAATATTTTATATTCAAAGTTCCCTTATGTTGTTATTAAGGGCGATGCACGCTTGTGCCTGAAATAGTGCACGGAGCACAGGAGGTCATCACTGGAAAATCCTAATATGATCTAAACAGTGTCGATGTTATTTTAAACCCAACAACCGGCCTAGCGTTATCTGCGCTTAAGAATCTTTCTTAGAAGAAACCATATTTAGATATTTCAAATTACCAAACATTTTTAACATGCTAATCTCGTACGAATATAAATTTAAATAGAATACATAACAATATTTTATGCTTTTGAAGAAATTACAAATGTACATTTAACATGTTTTCATTATTTTTCGAATGTTAGGTTGACGGTGGTAAAGCAACGGATAAAGAAAAAGAAGATTTGTTCAATGTTTATAATGTAACTACTGTAGGGGTCAGTACATACATACACATTGACCAGCTGACGTTGACACAAAACTCGTCATATTTTCTATATATATTAGGTAAAGATTATTTCAATAATGATATGTAAGAATTGTTTGTATGTTTCGTACCGTGAAGTTTGCCTTTTTCTAGTAAAATGATATATTTAAAACTATAAATCATTACTTTTGTCTTCCTTTAATTTATAGGCGTAGATAAAGCTGGAGAGTGTAATATGACATACAAGAGATTTACAGTCGATGTAACACAACCAGAAAACGGCAAAATAACTGCTGGACCATACTTCGACATGGTTGTCATCAAAGTTTTTGCTTTACTTTTCCTTGTTCTGTAACACAAGAAATTATAATAAAAAAAACTAGCACCATTTAGCTCCTAATTCAAAGTTTTCATATATGTTCAATTTCACATTGTTGATGGGTTAATTGGTTTCGTTATTGTTATTGATGTAATGTGGCTATAGCTTAGAATATCCTTATATTTAACTTAGCTTAATCAAGACAAATCTGTAAGTGGGATGAATCCACACGTCTTTTTACTAACTATTACTTCTAAATGAAACTATAGAGTACTTATTGTAAAATTAAGCGTTCAGGCAAAGAATATAAGTTATGTGTTATATGTCACAATGGGTTTACATATTTGACAATTGCACTTTTCAGGCATTAGCATATACTAGATATCAAACAGAAATTAAAACCATATGGAAAGGGTTCAATGATGGAGAATCTGGGATAGATACCTTTAGATTGACGCTTTGGCACAGCGGACCTTGCTCTGTTCAAACCACGAAGACCTTAATGGGAACTATCGAAGTGTTTGGAAACTACACAGAATACAGATTTACTAATCTAAGCATTGAAGTCAGTTTTGTCACAATATGTTGTTCCTGGATAGAAAACTTAATATTTAAAGAATATATTTAAAAAGTGCAAATTATGACACTGTCAATTTGATAATTGTTCTTCTATAAATAGGATATAAAATATGTTATAGATAGAAATACATGCAATACGTTTTTTCGGGTGTATGTTTATTACTACAATGTCTGCCAATAGTAAAGATGGTAATTATCATGCTTTACACGTAACTATTTTTTTGCAGACAAATGTTGTTTACCTGGTACACATAGAAGCAATTAATCGAGCAAGATTGATAACATCAGCTGAAACTTCGCCTATAGTATTTGATAATTCTTTGCCAACAGCGGGTCATGTCAGTGAAGGGACTGTCTTCACAGAAGACCTGGTATGGTGGGGATATACAGACCACATTAAAGGTAAATTTATTCTTAAAATATGAATGTAGTTCTTTATACTTTTTGATGACTTTTCAATTTTGCAGCTTTTTTGAACTTCTTTAGAGACTCCGTTTTCTCTACTTCATTGTCATATTCAACTTTCTTTGTCAGGTGTGGATGTTGTTAAAGTCGCCCGTACATCCAATCAGAGATGTTGTATGTCCGATGCTTAAACATAATTTTCGTTTCCTTCTATTTTGTTTATCGTGTTTTCCATTATTCCTAATTTATTAATGAAATTTGTCTTTTAACGTTTATTTCTTTTTATATGCAAGCTTCTTTACCCCTGCTGCCCTTTAAGTTCAATTTATACTGTTATCTGCGTTGTATTCTCGTTAAGGACACTTGGGTACCATACTCCACTTTTGATGGGATGGCACAAAAGTGTCATATTAAAGGTTCTATGATCACCGCCTAAATAAACGTATCTGCAAATGTTTCTTTATCCCGAATTGAACCATCGTCATGTATTTATAATTATAACCGCTTAAGCTGGTGCTACCGGGCCCTGGACGATATCTTGCACATACCACTTCCGTCCATGAACATGCTCAATAAAACCGAGTCTGCAACATTTGCGATTTTCTGGCGTTCTTAAGGGACTTTGTTTTCTCTGATGTTACATGAGTTTTGGTGATTTTCATCAACATGAGTTTAATAGTTCCCGACAATAGACACGTGTGATAACTTTATCTCAGTTTATATTTTTCATTGCTTATAGGAACATTATTACATAATGCTATTCACATCAGTGACCCATGTCCGTCGAGAAACATTTCAATGGCAGACTTCGCATGGAAACCTGTCGAAATAAAACACTTAAATGACCCAGATGGAATAGACTGGAAAATTCAACACCGATTAGCAAATATTCGTTACGAGGCATATGACGACGCAGTCAATATTAAGATTTCCAGGGATTCAAAGGCAGAGCGAATTTATTCAGCGGCATATATGCGTAAAGCAGACATGAAAGATGATGGAATATACGATGTTAGTTTGCTGAACATCTTTTCCTTTGTCGTTCTTCAGATTAAAACCATAACTTCTTTTTCACATAAAACATATCCAATAGATTTATTGATAAATTCATTATTGTACATAGCATATGAATTTTTATATAAATTTTCCGCAACTGTTAAAAACTGGCATTAATATTTAGTGGCCTCTGTGGTCGAGTTGTTAAGGTTTTCCGACTTTAAATCACACAGCTCTGTGAGTTCGAATCTCGTCAGAATATTACCATTGTCCCAAGTGAAGAAGCTATCAAGCTTGCTTACGGAAGTCCGTTCATTCTACTCAGTGCCCGCCCGTGTCTAAAACAATGCACGATGGGACATTTGAGGTCTTCCGACACCACTACAGTTGGGAAATTGCCAATTTACCTTTACAGTAGCTGTGGCCTATATTCCAGAAAAGTAAACACACATAATTGACGTGTCAAGTTATCAGATTGAAAGGAATGTATAGCTTTTAAATAAATGCAACTTTATATAAGTTCTGTACTGATTTTTTAAAGAAGCGTCCATTTACTTATTTCGTACAAAACTTCTTAATTGTAGTTATCAATTCGGGCTGCTGATGGTGAAGGCATGGCTGTTACAGGCGTCACATTCTGGGATGGTGATGATGATGATTTACATATATTTAATCATCAAACTAAAGCTTGGACTGATCTTGGTTCTTGTAGCTGCTGCCTTGAATCTAACACTGTAAGTAAACATCAAGATGATGTATAAATACTCTTCCATGTGTTTTTGATATTTAAATTTTTATCATTTTGTATCTGTGATATTTTATTTCAAGTAATATAAAATCATTGTAAAATGTATTAAAATATCAAAGAAATGAAATTCAAATAAGAAAATTAACTGTTCCAGACTGACTGTGATTGTAATTGTGCTGAGTACATTGCGAGTTTGAATATGTATAATGGAACAGTTAATGAAAATACAACCGGTCAAAACAAGTCATTTGATATGGATGGGCCTGCAGACATTGTTTCACAGCAATCATGTGGTTTTCAAATACACGCAGGTAATATAACACTTATTGATATCAGATGGGAAACAAAATCTTTTTCACTGCAATCTAACGGTCTTCATATTTATGGGGGTAATAAATATTTATTCTTTTATTGTCTATTTATTGACATCAATTGGACAAACATCACACTTTTTAACAGTTTGATCTCAAATCAGAGCTTGTAATCATAGTTTTAAGTAATTACTGATTGTTTAAAATCACTTTCAAAAGTATCTGGTATCTAGCGTTTATATCATCGTAATAACATGTTTAGCTTTATTAACAATAAATGTTCACAGTAATATAAGATGCATTATTTTCTTTGTTTCATTGTCAGGACAAGAACCGTATGTTGTTACGTGGTGTAAATTTTTCAACAACACTGGTAAAAGTATGTCTGTAAGATCAGAAATTGACTTTAACCCATCGACGGACTTTCACCATTACAGAATTGCTTTCTTTAAATTAAAAGAAGATATCTCGGTAATTGCTCACATTTACTCTCATTCATTTTAAGGTCACAAGACAAAGTATCACTATGACTTGTAATGATAGTTGTTAGCTTAACTTTTTCGAAGAAAAAAGAGCTGTTGCTACAGTCATGTTGTCGTCGACATTGTGTTCCTAAAACTCTTTAATTTGTCATAGTTATTTAACTTCTCAATGGATTGCCTTTATACTTGGACACAACAATAAAATAATCATTTGAACAAAACTTTCAAGTTGACCAGCCTGACTTGACTTTCTCTCATAAATGACCTTGACATTCAAGGTTAAATGTTTGAATTTTTTTTTCTTAAAATTGATGATGACCTCTCATTAATGATGATATTGACCTTGAAGATTGAATAATAGAATTTTGCTTGACTTTGCTATACTTGGCTATAATCGTGTTATTTATAAGTGGATTTATATTAATTAATATATTACTTTTTGACACAATACAACTTTAGACAACATCTTCAAGAAAACCAAATTGATAATGACCTTAACTCATCAATAACCTTGAAGGTCACATTATTGAATTTTGCTATTATTGGTTATAACTTTGTTATGTATGAATTGATTGTCTTCATACATGAGCACAATTTCCTGAAGAACAATGTTTTGAGAAGGTCTAACTCAACATGACCTTCACTCGGAAATGGCCTTGACCTAGAAGATCAAATTATTGTAATTCCAGAATTTTTTCAATAATTGTCTATAACTTCGTAAGTAATGAATAGATTGTCTGTATACTTGGGACAAGGCATTAAAACATTTAATTAATCCTGACCTTGGTCCTAATTTGACCATGACACTAAATGTCAAATAAGTGAATTTTGGAATAAATTACCAAATCTTGGTTATTCACCTCTGGCTTTGTTTTAAACCAGGGCAAAAGACACCAATTACAAAACTGACGTAAAGTAATTCGTTTATGACCTTGACCTATAAATGAGCTTGACCGTCAAGGTAAAATATTGAATTTAACTTAGATCGTCATTACTATTTATTTACGGATTTTACGAGTATTAATACATGGTCGGAAGAACAAATGTTACAAAACCGACATGTTAGATCATTTAAAAATGACCTTTATTGAAACCTGACTGTCTTGGTCAAACTATTGATAATTTCTGAACTTGTCATTACTTTGTTAATTATTGACTGATTTGATTCATATTAAAAAGAACACGTGTGAAAAAACAACATTTTGAATTATGATGATTTTGACATCAATTTGGCTTTGACTAACAGGTCCAATATCGAAATTTGCTTAAAATTTCACAACTGTTTCTTCTTATACTCAGACAAAAGAACATATATGACAAAACTTACATGTTGAATTATTCTGATATGACCTGGACCTTAAAGTGACATTGACCTTTCATATCAAATTATTGAAAATTGCTTCAATTGTCATAACTTTGATTTGATTATTGCTTTGAGTCGTGTTTTATTCCCTGTTATTTTCAAGAAAGTCAGGAAGCATATATTAATTTAAAATTGCTCTATTCATTGTAATTTCTTATGAGTGTATTTGATTAAACTAACATGAGAAGAGTATAATCTGTAAATTATATCAATCTGAGTAATTTCAAATGCATTTCACTTCAAGGAAACAACTTGTATAAACGTGTTTGCGGATGGGATGCAAATATCAGAGATGTGCGGATTGCCTCCGCTAAGTATTCACACAAAATTAATTTTACACGTCTGGAATAAGGACAACATAGTTCCAGCTTTAGATGTTTTCTATCTTTGGCAAGCTAATGCTTCTTTTAAAGACCTTGTCATGCCACCAGATGTAAACGCATTATGTCGATATGGCAACCCATTCCAAGGAGGAACAAATGCGATTGTAAAGTATGAGGCAGGTATTGGAACAGCACCAGGGGCGATTGATATGGTACCATTCCAGGAGGTAAGATATAAAACGTTTAAGTTAAAGAAGGTATTAAAAGAATTGATATAGATATTTCACTTGACTTTGTGACATGAACAAATATATTAGAATAAATATAATATTTTGAAATCTTCAATTCATTTTCAATAACTATACCCATATACCATGTAAATTACATTGTTAATAAAACAGAAACGTATTTAGGTTTTTGCATTTTCAGGTTATTAAACCATGCTTACCTTGTATAAATGCATGTTCGAAATATGAGTGTGCAGTCGACTGTAAATCGGATGGCTACATCTTAACAGACTTTATTATCAAAGAAATTGAACTTGATGCTTCCTTTAACAATACACTGTACATTTCAGGTAATTGATACGATATTTTCTTTAAATGAAAACCAGCTATCTGATAATATTGCACAAGTTTGTTTACGTATATAATGCATGTAAACTAATAAATTAAAACCACAAATTATATTTTTAACTCACCAGAATTGAAGGTTCAGGTTGAGCTATTAGTATCAAAGGGGAATGGTCCGGCTTCCCTCGTCATGCATCAACAATCACTTCTTCTCTGAAACTGCTGGGCAGATTTACCAAAATTTGGTCTCTAGCATCCTTGTGACAGTCACACTTAAATTTGCTCATGTCATTTCTGTTGGCCCCTGTCAGGGGAAAACAGAGTTAAAAATAGAAAAACCTTTATACATCTTCTACTACTGAATTAAATGGTGGATGATCACCAGACTTTGTCTGTAGCATGCTTAGGTAGTTTTGTATCCAATTTGCTCATATCAATTTGATTGGACCCTTTAAGGGGGTGCTAAAGCTAATAATAGAAAAACCTTTAATAGTCTTCTTTTAGTGAACTAATTGATGGATGATCACTAAACTTTGTATGTAGCATTCTTCGATAGCCTTTTATCAAGTGTGCTCATATAAAGTTGATTGGTTCCTTTTAGGGGCTGATATAGCTAAAAATAGAAAAAACTTTAAAACATTTTTGTACTGAACTAATTGACGGATGATCATCAAACTTTGTCTGTAGCGTTCTTTATTCAAATTTGTTCAAATTAATTTGATGGGCCCCTTTTCGGGCCTCTAAAGCTAAAAATAGAAAAACCTTTAAACAGCTTCTCCTATTGAACCACTGGATGGATGATCACCAACTTTTGTCTGTAGCGTTCCTATGTGGTCTTTTATAAAATTTGCTTATATGACTTTGGTCGCTAAAGCTAAAAATAGAAAAAAACATTTTAACGTCTCCTACTACAGAACTTATTGATGGATGATCACCAAATTTTGTCTGTAACATTCTTAAATAGTTTTTTTAGCAAATTTGCTCATATTAATTTGATTGGACCCTTTTAAGGGCCGCTAAAGCTAAAATAGAAAAAAAACATTTAATTGTCTTCTTCTACTGAACTAATGGAAAGATTATCACCAAACTTTGTCTGTTGCATTCTTTTGTAACCTTTTATCAAGTTAACTCATATTAACTTTATTGGCCCATTTTAGGGGCCGCTATAGCTAAAAATAGGAAAACCTTAAAACGCTTTTTTGTACTGAACTAATTAATGGATTATCACTATGCTTTGTCTGTACCATTCTTAGATAGTCTGTTATCAAATTTGTTCAAATTAATTTGATTGGCCCTTTTTAGGGGCCAATAAAGCTAAAATGCCCCATGCCATAGCATTTCTTCAAATTATAGTTAAAAGATCCTGTATGTTATAATATAGGATGTAACCACACTTAAGTGAAATTTTATATATGTACATATGAATATAATTATGCTTCCAATGATATGTAAAATACCGGTATGTACTGCGTATGTTAAAAATAAATTCATCTTCTGTTGATAACTTTCGCTCTAGAATTTGGATAGGCATTGCATCATTCTGGTTATTTGTAGATCATTGTAGACAATTTTCCCCAGGAAATGAAATTTAGGCAAAAAGAAAAAATACATTTGTTTCCTGTACCTTACTAACATTATCATTTTTTTTTAAATTAAATGTTGTTAAAATTGTTGTAATCTTTTTTAATTTTTGTTGAATTGGATCCAAACTAGGAGAAAGCAGACTTCAATCAATTTTTAGACACACTGTTTAACCTGGTGTTTCATGTGCATGTGATATTGTCACTGTATTACAGATAGGTGATTGTTTTTCACTGAGACTCATTACTGTATCTGTTGTATAATATAAGAATATAATAATGATATATTGAATAGCCTGATCGATTAACCTGTGAGCCTCCCATTAGCCTAAACTGGTATTCTCCAGCTGCATAAGCACTTTCCCTGATCTCAGTTATTTATTCAAACTTGGTTCCTGTCAATTTTTCTATAAAGATAAAAACATTTAGTGCCTGGAAACTTTATAACTAGAGAAGCAAGTTGAAGTTGAGCTGGACTTGTCTTTGTACAAGTTTATTTAAAGAATTATTTCTATAATCAATAAAAAAACAGTTGTTTCTGGTGAGCGATTCAGAGCCTTCATGGCTCTCTTGTTTGTATTTTGTATTTTCTTTCTGTCGATAATTATTAAATACATGATAGTAAACATTATCAAATTCATTGTGAAAACGTTATGATAACAAACAAAATCTATTCATATGACATAGAATTAATGATATACTGCATATATATATATACTCAGAAATGCTAAACGCCTTACAATTAGCCTGATTGGGTAATATATGACATAGCTAAAACAAGTTGCAAGTTGCAACATACTCTTATTTTATCTAATTTATTTTAAAACGACTATGTTTACGACTATGAATGGTAACGCAAAATGAAATGTTAATAGTAGAGAAAATACATGTTTATAAGATAAGATACAAGAAAACAATGTACCAAATTATTTATATTGAAATTTTTATATTTTCATCGGTGAAATAGTTAAAGCTGTCCTTGGATCAGGCGGTGAAGTTATCGCATCCTCAAATGGTTTCTACATTGACATTACTCCGCCGGTATTTGACGAACACGTGATGATGTATATAGATGTACGGCAAGGAGAGTTTACGCCATCTGACTTCCAAGGATCAAACAATACAATCAAAGCATTATGGCTGTGCAATGATGACAAGAGCCAAATAGAGGTAAAATAGTTAATTACAACGATTATTACCGTAGACTGGTTAACACACTTTAATGCTACAACTTACAGAATTAATCCTGGCTTTAGTTTGAAACGGAAGAATTTTCCTAAAATGGAAAGGTTGGTGCATAAGAATTTTATAATTCTTGGGTATAGTTATGATATGATTGTAATCATAGAGAGAAACGTTTCAAACATTACAGGAGTATAAATGGGCTATTGGAACTGACGTCGGCTTGGAAGACATACAACCTTATACATCAACTGGAACTGTTTCAATGGCAAAAAATGACCAATTAGAGGGACAACTGGAACATAATACAACATATTTTGTGAGTGTAGCTTGCACGAACGCGGCAGGGTTAACAACTGTTTGGGAAGACAAAAAAGGCAAGAGTTTATCTTATCCATCATTCTAATTACTTACAACTACATTAAACCGATTCCTTTACTTTTTATTGTTTATTTGCAATCATACAATAATTTATTTTAAATTTGTCTAGGTGTTACCGTGCTTCTAGAAGCTCCAGACCCGGGCACTGTCAAGGCTGGCGCGGTTGGTGCTGAAAATTTTACCAAAGAAGTTGTTCCAGCAACAGCCGTTAAATCGGAAGACCCAACTTCTTGCGGGGAATCTTGGACTGTTAGCACAGATCCAAACATAAGACGTTACGGTAAAGTTCAAGATTAGTTTAACGATATCCTGATGATACCTTTATTTTGTTTTATTGTTGTTCGATATGAACATTTATTTCATAATTTATAATATAAAATGTAAACATAACTTTACTGCTGCTTTGTCATTTCAGATTTCTGCGTTGGAACTTCCATGGATACAATAGATGATATAATACCATGTGTTTGGGTCGGATATAACATGTCTGGAGTTGTTGAAATTAAAAACGGGTTCCTTTTAATCGACGGCATCAAATATCGTAAGATATCTGAGCTCCGTGCTTTAAGCGAAGGGGTTTATGATTACAGTACGCCCAATGACGACGATAATACTTTCCGTATGGAGAGTGGCAGAACCTTGTTCTTATTCATGAGATTGTGCAACAAAGCTGAGATTTGCATCAACAAGTTTGTAAACTCTTTACTGATTACTGATGATAATTCTGAACTTCTAAGTAGTGATTCTGGAAAGGGCGAACAATTTCAGTTGGAGACGTCACAAGATGGTAGAGTAAAACGTAGCATCGCTTTAGGATTGAGTTTAGAAATGCCAGAAGGTATAAACATGTATAACTGTTATCATTTGACTCTATGCAGAAGAAGATAACTTATAGGTTGATCTATTTCAAAATGATTATATTATCTAAGTAACAGGAGCAGCAGCTTTATTTGTAGTAAATCAATGATATTTTATAATAAATAAATCATTATGATTGAAATGAATTAGTTAATTTTACGATAGTTTTCTTCCAATACTTACTCTGATTACAGGAATGGAAAAGGGGCAGAGTATTTTATACAATGAGCTATCAGAGGAAAACATGACAATGCGCTATGACTCGGCTGCCTCAACAATATTTAAATCATATATTGTTAATCCAGATGATACATCCAACCAAACGGAAAGACTTCTTTATAGAAGGTTTAAATCACTTTCCTATTTCTATTATATGTACTGACTATCAAATGTAATTTGATTAACTGCTGGATAAGCACTATTTAAACCTTTATTATACAAATTAATGATTTAAAATCTTAACTTTAAGCAATAGTTTGAATGTTTTTTTTTAAATATATTTCGATATATTATTACACATTTGATTTGATTTTACAATAAATTTAACTTAAATAGTTAAATAAAAAGAAACAGTTTATCAATGATAAGTATTTATAATTGACAATCGATCGTCGCTTCGCCAATTTTGTATCAATGGATGTTGATTTTTTTGGGATCATCACTTTTTCCCATATTGCAGGATACATGCAATAAATATGTCATTTACACTAAGTCCTGTTGGTCAGAAGCCACTACCTGGACCTCTGAAACTTTTATATCCTAGTGTAAACACGACTGGCGATGACACTGTCATTATGGTTATTCATTGGAATCCAGGTATTATTATTACAACTTCTGATGCTAAAAATATTTTAAAATAAATATGTATGAGGTTCAATATTTTTTGGGTTTTTTTTAATTCAGTAACAAAATCATTTTTAAATTCTTTGCGGTTGGTAAAATTATTTTTGATTTAGTTGATTGTTTATGTCTGTCATAATTATTCTTAGCGTGCATGTGTAAAATTAATAAGCATTATTCTTGTAACACTCACAGACGTACAACAATGGCAAATTACTAACAACACATGTATGTTCGATAATGTAACGATCACCAACAACAATGATGACTTATCATCTATTCTGGTATGTATATCATTTTGTACTCGCTTTAACATTATTGTTCCTCAAGGCACATTTATAAGTAAATGTGAATATTCACTAAGAGCTGCATGAAACATATCATTTAGATGAATATGTATTTTGTATTAGATTTTTTATCGTACTTACATTGTCCTATAGGGGTCACAAAAAGTCAGAAATGCAAACCTATAATGACGAATGCCAGAGGCCTGATTGATAAATTTCAACCTTGTCGTACAATGAGCCGTGCTCTATAATGCGAAAAAATATTGATTACATTTGAAAAAAGAATCAATGGATTTTTTAAATAAATTTTTGCTTAAAAGTATTATACTTAATGTTATTTGGTTAACCAGCGTCATATATGACTTTATTCGACGTGCTGGTATTCATTATTATTATAGAACACCACTTTGCATATTTTGTATATTTACAAAATTTATACATGTATAAATGTCAAAGAAGGAACTAACGGCAATTATCATTCATATTAATTCGTGTTTAAACTTTTTGTCAGTAAATAATGTTAATCACATTTTTCTTTTGATATTGCCAAAGAAAGTATTTTTCATTAAACACTCACTTTTAAATACATACATTTATAATATTCATTTGTTTTAAATTTTGATGCAGATTTGTGATACCCGCCTGTCCTCTAACAATATGACAGGAAATCAAACATATTTTTCTAAGGAGACCCAGTTTTTGCACTAGGGTTTTCGCTAAAATTTTAACAACCCCCAACTTTTATACATACCAATCAAAATTGTAAGATTAAAATTTATATTGTTTTATAGAACTAAGTGACTTTTCTTTCTAAATTGCACTTAATATTGTTTTAACAGTTAAATAAAATACATTGTAGTAATTGCAACACTTTTCGTATGCTATTGTAACGTAAATTAAACCCCTGTTTTTGAAAAATTTTATTATAGAAAACCGTTTTATTATTTGCAAATTTTATTTTAATTATGAACGTAGTGGAAACCTTATGTCCCCTTTTAAAAGAAAAAACCTTGTTCAAATTTAATATTTTCTTTTGAATAAAAAAATTATGTTTTAATAACACCCCTCTTTTTTGCCAAAATAAAATTAGATTAATAATTAACCTATTTGTAAATTTTTAAATAATTTTTATTTAAAAAAAGTGAACGTTTTGATACCTATTAAAGGATTGTTTTATCCTCTAGTAAGAGGTAAATGATGATCTATCGCATTCCAGCTGGCTTAAATTCGTATTGAAAGGACTATTTTATATCGTTTCATTATAAAGAAACCACACAGTTCCAACTCATGGCAAATGATGCTGAAAAAGACCCTTTTATATACAGCCTTGTAGCCAAAAACAATGCCTATTCATTTGGAAACATTTCGTTGAGCTCTGATGGACTGTAAGGATAAACACTTTATTTGTATATAGTGGCATTTATTCTTCAAATTTTTGTTTCAGAGAAATATTAAATTCCATACAGTTTAAAGTTATATTTATTTACCAAAAAAGAATATACATTTCTTTGAAAGATTTAACATGTATTATATGATAGCAATTCAAGTAGGTTGATTTATTTACATCATACATCTTACAGATTAACTGTCTCACTGTGTCTAATTTTTTTGGGACATCACGGTAAAATTTTCACTCGAAACCAGCCTTTGGGAGGATAAATGCCTTTAGCGCAACATTTAATAACATAAATTTTTCCTTTTTTGACCCCCCCGTTATCATGCATTTTCGAAAATGACTTTTTTTTTACTCGACCCCACTGAACCCCATTATGGTAAGGTTCAAAGAATTTGGCGTGCATTAAATAAGGTTTTTTTTGTTTTAAAAAGTTCCATAGCAACTTAAAAGTTTGCTTTTATTGAAATAAAACAAATGATAGCCTTTAAACATTTTTTTTGTAAATAAAAGTCATCATACATTCTTTTTTTATTTAAAAAATAATGTATAAAAATTTTCCCTTTAACTCAATTTTTAAAAAAATAAATATTAAGATTTAAAAACCCCGTCGAAGCACAAAATTTTTAAGTTTTAAAACCCATTATGAAGTTTTTTAAGACTTATTAATGTATGGTAAACTGTAATTATTATTTTTATTAGTGAAAGAGAGAAAACAGCAAGTATGGTCATTAGTTAAGTGTGCTCCCAATTTCAGTCCATGTGGTATTTGTTTTAAATAAAATACCTACGATAACCTAAGAACTACTCCAAACAATATGGGTATTAATCCAATTGTAGATATACAGAGAACAAGTTGGTGAAAATATAACCGAAGTGGCGGCTGTAATAATCGCTTATGACGTTGATGGACCACAGAACTTGCAAATGAAACAATATACAAACAATGATTCCGACTCTTACAATACCAAAGATGTATCCTTGAAGGAAATGCAAAACTATATGACGTGCTCACGTGGGAAGGTATTCAAATGTTTAACTGAATGAAACGGTTTAAATACTTGTGTCATGTTTAGTATGAACTTCAATTTATGTACGTTATTATATAAAAAAACATGTTCAAATGGTTATTAAACATAATCATGTAAAATGGCTGATTCACTTAAATATTAAAAAAAAAAAACCCTTGCCCAAAATTTTTTTGGAATTTAAATGATTTGTTTTCCTACCTTTTTTTCAGGTAACTTTTAACTTGCCAAAAACCCTTTTAAAACCGCATGGGAAAGGGGTCTCTTCATATATACACAGACAAAACATCATTTTTTTGGGATAAAACCATAAAAAAATGTTGCACAGGGGAGAAGGAAATTTTCGGACGTCTAAAGTACAACTTTTAAAATGGAAAATAATGGGGAACATGGAAAAACTTGGTAAGTACAGAAATAACAGATTTAAAAAAAAAAAACAGGGTAAGTAAAACTTAAGGTCTATAATGGAATGTCTGTTATAATATGTTCACAGTATTGTGTATACAAGATAACAAACCATGAACTTATTGTATATGGATGTTGTTGAAAACTGTGAGGTGAATGATCTAGTACGACACATCTTTATATAGCAGATAATGAATTGTTCTAGTACAAAATATTAGTATCAATTATATAAATATTCATATTAAACCACTTAAAACACTATATACATGTTTTTTTTTATTCTCAAAAGCATTTAAATGAGACATTTTTATTGTTTATCAATATTTTAGATATGTATGGTATAATCATCCCCCTTGTAGACTAATTCACTTGCTTACTTAACAATATTTTAATATTTCACACAAATCTACTGTATGCAATGCAATAATAAAAAAATATCAAATATGCAATTTTATTTTTTTTTTCAATTTATGCTGAATGTCGTCTCTTGAATGTAATTTTTATCGTCTCGTGGTTCATTTTTATACATTTTTGTCACATGTTTTTGCTGACTTCAGGTTTGAACCCGCGTCAGTACACTTGCAATGACACAAGAAGAGCTATAAACTTCGACACATACTATACATGTGAATGCCCAACCTCTTGGGAAGGACCTTATTGTGAACAAGATGTTGACGAGTGCGCAAGAGGTTTCTGTGAAGCTTGGAAAGTTTGTGATAATAAAATAGGAAGTTATGACTGCTACTGTAAAACAACGGACATCATCTGTAAACTGTCCTTGGAGGTTTGGGAATTCGCACTTATTGTTACCGCAATTGGTGTTGTACTCCTGTTTGTAGCTGGCCTCTTAATATATAGGAAAATGAAGTAAGTTTCTTGAAAGATAATATTTGTTCGTTTAAAGAAATACTACAGTTGTTGTTACGTTTAACGTTATTTGTTTATCGCCCTTATGCGTTTCCGATTAAGTGTTTTTTGGCCGCATTTCACTGACTGGTGCAAACCCGGGTTATAGTATGGTGAATGTCGGGCGGCGGGCAGCGCTGAGCGGGGAAAATATTTTAGTAACAGTTTTCTACGCAACTACTTATCACAGCCTCTCGATATTTAGCATACATCATTGACACAGAGTCCCATACCGTGGAATCTGAGTTCAGGTCTGTAGTTCATCCACTTCCTGTTTACCTACTTAGTTAATTTTTCGACATTAATGGTCAATAGTATTTTTTTTCATAACATCACAGCCTGATTATATTTGGTGTACAAATGCAACCACCCCTTTTTTCTGTCTTGGACCCATTTTATGAATTTTATATCCGAATTTGTAGGGAGATAAAAAACATGAAATTTCTGTTAATTATACCTTTTCTCTTTTTTGTCCCTACAATTCGAAAGACTTCTCTATAACTTTGTGTATAATTGATTGAATTTAGATGAAAGTTGTCCGGAAATACGGGGAATATGTTTCACTGCAGTAAAAATATTTTTTACAGTGAAAATACGGAAATTGAAAAATTTGCCTTTTGTTTCATCAATATGGCTGATTATTTCATGTATAAGTATATAATAAAGTCAAATTAACCACCCTTGTAAAATACTTCTTTATAAAATATGAAATGACTAGAAATATTCGTAGAGTCAATATCAACTTCCGATAAATTTCCGTTCAACGATATCAATGGCATTACAGTGGAAATAAATGGTTGTTTTCCCGAAATTGGATTCTACGTTAGTTGGTGACGGTGAAGGCATTCAAATAAGATATAACATAAAACACTTAATGCCTGTATTTCGAATGTAAACAATAGTGTGCAGTAATATGCAGCAATGTAAAGTAGATCGCGCGACCAGAAGTATGTGAAATTGTGTGGTAATTTGTAGCCACCGATTGGTTTAATAAATATTTATAGTGTAATGTTGTTGTTTCTTTTAAATTCTGTCAAAGAGCTCGTTTGACTCTTGATTTTATTAATTTCAAATTATTTAACATCGAGCTGTGAAATACGGGAATAAATTTGGATAAGAACAAAGCTGGCTGGAGAAGATGTTTTAGACGAGCCACAAAGTGAAACTAATATGATTTCTCAAGCTGTATTCGTTTCCAAATAAATTCCCATGTTGCACCTGTTCAATGTTAAATAAAATGTTTCTTCTTGATACAAGTCATAATGTGAAGATGTGAAATGTGATATTAAAGCATTATTGTTTAGCAAGCCATATTCATCTAACACGTTGAAATTCATTCGGATACATTGTCTTTAACGGCTTTTATCAATTATGTCAAGCGGATTCAACTATCTAATATGGGGGAATTATATAGAAGGCTACAGCGCCCATTATGGTAACATATTGAATGATCACATGGTATAATTTAAAAGCAGCGATTGGATAAAAGTAACTGATAGAATAAATTCCAATATAAAACGTTCCAATAATCTCGTAAATGAAGAACTCACAGCAGACTAGCCTTATCGACCAATACATTTTTCAGCTTTATACTGTATTTACTATGAATAAAAATATTATGAAGTTTTCTCGGCTAAACATGTCAACAATATTGAAGATATAAATCACATTATGTTGTTGGACTTTTTGTTTGTCTCCAAATGTTGTTTATGTATCCGACCTAAATTAATGTTCATAGTGAACCATATGGAATACTTCTCTCATAAAAATGTTAAGAAGTGGTTTAATTTTTTTAAAAAGTACATTTCTTGCACATTCCACTTTAGTTAAACATTTACTTTTTCTTCCTTTTAAATTTTCGCTGTTGCTATTTATCTATTAATGGTATTGGCTTTTTGTTGTTTAATAAGTTGTTGTTGTTGTTTTTGTTCATTGAACTAAATTCCACATTGCAACAGAATACTTGTCGATTAAATTATTGTCAATCAAGTTTTAAGTCATGGTCTTGCGTGACAATTCTATGTATTATAATAAATTAATTTGTTTTTTATTTAGACTAAAGAAAGAAGCTGTAGATAACAAAAAGGTTAGTACAGACTACTTCTTTTACGAAATGTTTCCTTTACAAAGTTAATGCATTTATTTATTGCAATGGTTTTAAAGTAAGATTTTTGAAACTGATTTTACTATGAAAAAGAAAACACGTAAATATTAGAAAAGCTCAAATACTAATTTAAAACAAGAATCATAGATCTAATAGAGGACATTGGATGAATGTTGTTAAACGAAATCATTGAACTAGTTGTATTAAATCATATACAATGTAAATTCAGCCTTTGGCAAGCATAATAGTTTCATTCAACGAGATCAATATTTTAGTAATGAAAGTCCACGAATATAATATTCCATTTATCACATACCCTAAATACAGAGAAAAGAGTCAATTTTCACTGTAACGGTTACTCTAGCATGACCATATGGTAAGATTGTTTAATGCATACTACGTTACGTCACAATATATGCAAGGTCAAACCATACCGTTTGATGGAACGGGAATGTGATATATGATAAAGAAATACAATGCATTACCAATGTCCATCGCATCATTTGCGGTATATAAGTTGTTGTTTGTCCCTTGTTTTGTTATCAGCTCATCTGGCAAATTTGTAATCTAATATGAGATTTTGGGATGACAATGTACCCGTCGTTCGTCGTTATCTTAAACTACAATGTGGATTTCAACTAAACTTCACATGATTTATCCCAAGGTGGCCGTCTACAAAATGGATTGTTCCAGATTGATCAGTAGGTCTTTCTGGTGCGTACTTTCCGTGCTTATAAGGGCCGGATGGACACTCACTGAGCGAAGAAAAGTGACATAAGTAGGTCAGAAAAACTGAAAAAGAGACATTTAAGTGAAAGCTTCAACATTTTTTTCATCAGAATTTCTAATGCCTAGAGTTTGAAAATTCACCTAATGCTCCTCTGCAAACGTTCTATAAAACATGACCGAAGGGTGGAAGTTGGCCCCACTCCTATGATAATCTAGTTTAAAAGGACTTAAATAGGAAAATACATTTAAGTCTTTTCTTTAGTAAAACTGCAATGTCAAGGGCTTAGATGGTTAACATGTACAATTGCGCCAAATTCGAACTCAAAATTTATATAAAACATGTGCCTTGGATGAAAATGGTTCTGTCCTGGGTGTCACATACTTTTTTTTAACTTATAAGGTAAATGTGTCTTAAAAACCTCTCTGAGACTACAATACCCAGAGATAAGATCTTTAGCATGTAGCATAACATGGTTGTTTTCTACAAAAGTTATAAAAAATCTTGATCCTGGAGTTAACATCCTGGAGGAAAACTCGTTAGTTATTGACTATTGGTTTTTTAATCAGCGGTTATTGATAACCTCCGTATGAACATATCTGCAGATTTTTCTTAATTCAAATGTTAACGTTTTCATGTTTAAATGTTGAATTCTGCTTAAGTCGATGCTAGGGGATTAGACGGTTCTTTGCACTTTCCAGTACCGTCCATGAACTGGCTCAATCAAACCGATTCTGCAACATTTCATTTTTTTGTCGTTTTTGGCATTCCTTATGGATTCAGTTTTTTTCTGAATTTTTGAACAGCTATGTCCAGAGCTCAGGTTTTTGGCATGCAGCCTTATGGGCATCTGTTAAAATCAGATCATAACCCCGGGGTCCAAACTGGCCACATCCTTTGGGTCAAGTAACACATTTAAGTCTTAGATATTTGCAATGTAGCATTTTCTAGCGGACAACACTTGTTTAATAAATCATTCAGCAGGGGTAAAAATGCCTCACCTTATCTGACTTATTATGCCCCCCTTCGATGAAGAGGGGTATATTGTTTTGCTAATGTCGGTCTGTCTGTCTGTCTCTCTGTCCGTCTGTCCGTCGGTCTGTCGGTCTGTCCGTCATTAGACCACATGGTTTCCGCTGATTATCTTGAAAAGTATTTATCACAAAGTCTTCATATTTCACATAGTGATTGGTCATAACTAGTAGATGACCCCTATTGATTTTGGGGTCACTAGGTCAAATGTCACAGGGACCTTTAATGTCAAAATGGTTTCCGCTGATTATCTTAAAAAGTATGTATCACAAAGTCTACATATTTCACACAGTGATTGGTCATCACTAGTAGATGACCCCTATTGATTTTGGGGTCACTAGGTCAAAGGTCAAGGTCACAGGGGCCTTAAATGTCAAAATGGTTTCCGCTGATTATCTTGAAAAGTATGTATCACAAAGTCTTCATATTTCACATAGTGATTGGTCATCACTAGTAGATGACCCCCTATTGATTTTGGGGTCACTAGGTCAAAGGTCAAGGTCACAGGGGCCTTAAATGTCAAAATGGTTTCCGCTGATTATCTTGAAAAGTATGTATCACAAAGTCTTCATATTTCACATAGTGATTGGTCATCACTAGTAAATGACCCCTATTGATTTTGGGGTCACTAGGTCAAAGGTCAAGGTCACAGGTGCCTTAAATGTCAAAATAGTTTCCGCTGATTATCTTGAAAAGTATGTATCACAAAGTCTTCATATTTCACATAGTGATTGGTCATCACTAGTAGATGACCCCTATTGATTTTGGGGTCACTAGGTCAAAGTTCAAGGTCACAGGGGCCTTAAATGTCAAAATGGTTTCCGCTGATTATCTTAAAAAGTATTCATCACAAAGTCTTCATATTTCACATAGTGATTGGTCATCACTAGTAGATGACCCCTATTGATTTTGGGGTCACTAGGTCAAAGGTCAAGGTCACATGGGCCTTAAATGTCAAAATGGTTTCCGCTGATTATCTTGAAAAGTCTGTATCACAAAGTTTTCATATTTCACATAGTGATTGGTCATCACTAGTAAATGACCCCTATTGATTTTGGGGTCACTAGGTCAAAGTTCAAGGTCACAGGGGCCTTAAATGTCAAAATGGTTTCCGCTGATTATCTTGAAAAGTATGTATCACAAAGTCTTCATATTTCACATAGTGATTGATCATCACTAGTAGATGACCCCTATTGATTTTGGGGTCACTAGGTCAAAGGTCAAGGTCACAGGGACCTTAAATGTCAAAATGGTTTCCGCTGATAATCTTGAAAAGTATTCATCACAAAGTCTTCATATTTCACATAGTGATTGGTCATCACTAGTAGATGACCCCTATTGATTTTGGGGTCACTAAGTCAAAGGTCAAGGTCACAGGGACCTTAAATGTCAAAATGATTTCCGCTGATTATCTTGAAAAGTATGTATCACAAAGTCTTCAAATTTCACACAGTGATCGGTCATAACTAGTAGATGACCCCTATTGATTTTGGGGTCACTAGGTCAAAGGTCAAGGTCACAGGGGCCTTAAATGTCAAAATGGTTTCCGCTGATTATCTTGAAAAGTATGTATCACAAAGTCTTCATACTTCACATAGTGATTGGTCATCACTAGTAGATGACCCCTATTGATTTTGGGGCCACTAGGTCAAAGGTCAAGGTCACAGGGACCTTAAAATGTCAAAATTGTTTTCGCTGATTATCTTGAAAAGTATTCATCACAAAGTCTTCATATTTCACATAGTGATTGGTCATAACTAGTAGATGACCCCTATTGATTTTCGGGTCAAAGGTCAAGGTCACAGGGGCCTTTAATATCAAAAGGGTTTCCGCTGATTATCTTGAAAAGTATTCATCACAAAGTCTTCATATTTCACCTAGTTATTGGTCATTAGTAGTAGATGACCTCCATTGATTTAGGGGTCATTAGGTCAAAGGTCAATGTCACATGGGCCTTAAATGTCAAAATGGTTTCCGTTGATTTTTCCATAATTGAACACTTCCATGTACCCATTTTTGGCAAGTTTCTGTAATAAAATTACCAATTATGTGAGTCAATGGCTAGAAAAGGGGGGTATATGTGTCGTTCGACATTCTTGTTTACTTAGTTTTGAATTGATGTAGTGTGGCCTTTTAGCAAGGTTTCTCAGGTGAGCGATCTAGTGACATGATATCCCTTTTGTTAAATTAATGTTAATGCTTCATTCTTTCATACAAGACATAATAATTCAATGCTATTTGAACTGTAGATTTCAGAGTCTAATACATTTGCGGAACACATCTTTTGAAAGAAGGGGTTATGATATTTTTATATAACTTCCATTTATAAACAAAACAACAATATAAAATAGTTCACTTACTAGCATAGCTTCTGTCACTTAAATTTATTCTAGTCTAAGAAAAATAGCTAGCTCTGTATAAAATTAGCTTTCTTATGAGTTTTGTTTATCAAAAGTTCTTCCAAACTCTTTCATAATTACATCTATTTATGAATTATTTCATTTTTGCAGATTCTGGGTCCGTCAAATCGACGATTCGCAAAAGTTTCACCTATGTATTCGGTAAATATTATCCCACATATTCTACATAATATTGTCATAAGCCTGCTGAGCTTATTGATAGAACATTAAATCTAATTCTAAAAGATATATCATTAGTGTAAATTAATTAAAATTTGAATGTTTGACAAGTGTATTAGAAAATCTTGCTAAAATGAAAATATACCAAAACAAATGATAAAAGAGAGTGTACAAAGATGAATTCATTAAATAGAATCCTTGCAAGATTACTCCATGATCTTAATATGACAAAGTAATGTCACTTGATGATGTTTAACGGTTACATATAAACTGTTGAAGCACGATACTGATATTACAACCACAAACTGCCTTGACTCCCCCGCCCCCGACCCCCTACGGTTACAACCCCTTTCCCATCTTCTCACACAGTTTCCCAGAAGTTTATAATTTATATTTCAGGGTGAAGATGATGCAGATCATATTTCCAATGCACCTCCAATGTCAGCATTTATTTCACATAACTTACATGCTGATGTACACAAAGTAAGTTGAAAAATAATTTTAATAATAAAATATATCTGAATGTGTAAAAATGTGTTAAAACGTAATTTTTCGGTTTTGTAAATTAATAATGTACGAATTAATCTAAAAATGTATTATTTTAATGTTTTTGTACACGATTATGTATACATATATGTTGACTAAAAAGTTTATTCCATGATTAATGCATAAAAGTAAATAAAGAAACATTTCGAAATTAAACGATTGTTAAAGATAATCTTTTTGATAATGTTTAAGATACAAGTAACTAAAGCAAGTTATTTTGTGTTAAATATGTTAAAAATACATGTGCTTAACAAATGTTTAAACATTTTGTAGATATATGTGTCGTTTGAAATTGATCAATATGATTGACAAAAGTTGTCAGATGGTGTTAATACTTGTCGCTTTTAGAAATTGGTAAATGACGTCTAATTGAATAAAACAGGTTTAATGTAGAAACAATTTAACATAATGAATCTTTATTGCACACTATTAATTAAGAATTGAATACATTGTCAATTTGTGTAAACAGTTGTGAATTGAACAAATCATTCGTCATAGATTTTGATTATGTCTCCCCTCAACATACGAACATATTATGTTCTTTTCTAAGGTAAACATTGACGAAACTGATAGTGACTTGACAGCATCGGAGGATGCTACTGTACAAGAGGAAGACTTGTATATCCGGGGAACGCTGACAGAGGAAGATACTGCTGGGACGTCAATACAACCTGTGTCCCCGAAAGACTTGGTAATTGCTGAATCGTCAAAAGAACCCGAGTCTCCGGATGACTTGGATTTTGAAGGGATGTCAAAACAACCTGTATGTATGGAAGACTTGGACATTGAGAGAACATCATTATCATCGATATCAGAAGATGTAAGTTACTATGACTGTAAATATCGTTTGAACTGCTTATAGTAAATAATTGAGTTCAGGGCCAGAATTTTATTGAAATCTACATGACTTTTTTTCCTTAAGTAAAATGTAAGTCCGAAAATATTTGAAAAATGTGTTTCTTTTGAAACTTATATAGTTTTAAGAACGTTTGCTTCAGTTTTCAAAGAGATATGGAAAATGCAGAAAACATTATCATTATTCTGAGGAAAGAACAATTATTTCTTTTATTTATGTTTTTATGCCCCCGAAGGGTGGCATATTAAAATCGAACCGTCCGTCTGTCTGTCCGTCCGTCAGTCCGTCCCGCTTTATACATATAGACAGTGGTGGTCGTGTCCGCTCTGAAACTTCAGTATGCATGAAAGGATTTTAATTTTTCTTTCATATATGAAATAACCATAGATGTATGGTGTGTCGCGAACAAGACTCGGGTTCCTACGACTAAGGTTAAGGTCACTGTGGGGTTCAAACTTTGTCATTTTTTTATGTTATATGAATATAGATATTGGTGGTCGTGTCCGCTATGAAACTTCAGTATGCATAGAAGGATTTTATTTTTCTTTCAAATATTAAATAACCATAGATGTATGGTGTGTCGCGAACAAGACTCGGGTTTCTTTGACTACGGTTAAGGTCACTCTGGGGGTTCAAACTTTGTCATTTTAAATTTTTATGTTGGTGGTGGTAATGTCTACTCTGAAACATCAGTATGCATGAAAGGATTTTAATTTTTCTTTCACATATGAATTAACCATAGATGTATAGTGTCGTGAACAATACTCGGGTTTCTACAACTAAGGTCAAGGTCACTGTGGAGTTTGAAACATGTTATATAGATATAGATGGTGGTGGTCGTGTCCGCTCTGAAACTTCAGTATGCAAGAAAGGATTTTGATTTTTCTTTCATATAAGAAATAACCATAGATGTATGGTGTGTCGCGAACAAGACTCTGGTTTCTATGACTTATGTCAAGGTCACTGTGGGGGATCAAACTTTGTCAATTTTTACCCCCACACTAGCATGTAATAGGTGGTTTATATAACGAGAATCCTTCGGGGGCATTTGTCACTTTCTGTGACAATTCTTGTTCATTTTATTTTTCTTCATAATACAAACTTGAATGGACTTCCATTATTAATTTTTGCTCCATTTGTATAGTTTTAGTAGAGGTTTTAAAAAAGTCCATTGTTTGCCAATTTTTGACATTTTGAACAATCACTCTAAAGGAAATCAAGCACATAAAAGGTAGAAAAATGTGGGCCTTGTTTATCATAATGCTTGGTTATCTCCCTTTTAAATAAGCAAAAAATAAAATCTAAGAGAGATTACTCCAAAATAAGAATGTCAGCCTCATTTTGTCGCTATAATTAATTGTGTTCTCATATTCTAAGATCATGCAGAGTTAAAAAAATCTATGATTTTTTTTGTTCATTCCACCCATATTTCTATATAATGACTGACGCAAACGTCTTTAACTTTATTTTGGAGTTATATTTTGAAATGTAATAATTTTGGAATGTAATAATCATTTTTATTCGCTTGCATGTACATGATTTTTCAAGAGTTTGTGGTTTTATTTGCACATCTGCTAGCTGACAATCATTGTATTTTAACAAGCAAAACTATGACCTAAGTCGCGGCGCAGATTTCAAGCAGGATCATTCAAGGATCATCATATAAATAGTACTGCTAGCTAGTAACAGACAATGCCCCTGTCATTGGTGATATCTTTAGGGATTGATGGACAATCTGGGGTCCGTCCGAATGTTAAATATACTAGGGAATATTTTCAATGTGTCAACAGAAGTGATATTTAAGTGAAGTATGACTTATATTCCAGCATCGTGTCCATAGCTACGCTTAAACACCGTCGCTTATACATCCATATGTTTTGTTTTGTCTTACAAATGCTGCAAATGTTTTGATGTCTGATATTTAAATAATATTTATGCATACAAATCTCTTAAATTATAGGCTGCCTCAGAACAACAAAGTAACATACTTTTTGTACAACCAGTACCAGAGTTCAACTTTTTTGAACTTGCAGCCGAACTGAAGCGAAAGAGGGAGGAAGTTGAGGTAAAACCAACAAATAAACTAACAACATTATGTCTAAGCAATTAATAAGACTTAATTAGAAAATTAGAGAGTAAGGATCATATATAAACAACTTCACGACATTTTACAAACTTAATACAAGCCAACTTTAAAGTTTATCAAAATCAAATAAATATATAATCTCCTAAACATGTTTTTTTCTTCCATACATATATTAATTACAATTCAAGTTGTGCAAAATGCAATCAATTTTAGATATGTCCTTGTTTGGGTGGGGTATACAAAAAGGCGATGATAATGATAATAATCATCATGAATTATTGTGATTTTAAGGCAAATCCAAAGAGAAAGAAAGAAATAATGGAACATCCTCCTCCAGAATTAAATCCAACTCATGCAACCCCGAAATTTCAAAAACGAAAAGCAGGACCAAAGGTAGATTTTTAAATAAAATGTTTTTGCAAAAATATATGTATTACTGTTGTTTTTATTTTGCTAAAGATGTATATGTATAAATATCCATATATCGAAAATAAAACACTGTACCGAAAAAAAACACGATTAATGTTGTTTGCTTTGAACGTGTAGAAAAGATGTATAACATACTCTCATGTTTTCCTGGTTTGGTATTAGAAAAGACTGCCAACCTACCTACCTATATACCTAGCATTTAATGCATCTGTCCGCCAGTTTAGCTAAATAGGGAGAGCATCTGAATAGTAAACCAGTGATGGTTGGTTCAATCCTCGGGCGAGGCGTAATTTCTCCCCGACAATTGATCTCGAACATTAAGTCTAAATGTTCATTTTTCCCTCACGGCTGTTTCAGAATTTATATTGTATAGTCGGTCAAGTGTGGAGGAATTGGTAATTACTGGTTAATAACCAGGAAACTCTGTTAGTTGGATTAACCGCTGGGATTTTATCATAAACAAATGTAAAACCAAAAACGATAAGCAAAATAGTTGACCACTAATCGCATATGATCATAAATATGTGTAAAATCGGCGTGCAAACCAAACAAAAATAATTAAGCAAATAGTGGACCACTTATAAGTTAAATTGATATATATACAGACTTATAGTTAAATTGCTATATACATAAATATCAAAATGTTTAATATCATGCAGTATGCTTTTTACGCAAAATATGTTTAATAACAATTGAGCCGAGTAAACGCCAACTTTAATCCTCATATTGTTCCGTTTGAAAAGGTATTTGTCATATTCGAACTTCTTTCATAAATATATTTCTAATCACAATGTTTACTTTGAAATAGGTTTAATTTTTCAGTCTCAACTACTTTTTTTCAGTCAGAGCCCAGCTTTGCTAAAACGAAGAAGGCAAAAACAAACAAACAAAAACAGCTTGGGCATACAAATTCAGGGCAGGATGCTAATGATGACACAGGTTAATCATCTGTACATATTGATCATACAATAAGTTAACTTTTTAATATATAATATATCACGGATTTATTATTTGATACGTTCATATTATATTGAAATATAAAGGCAACAAGTAAAATTATTACTACATGATGACCTTACTCTTAAATGTTGATCTTATTATGTATATTTAATATTGTATGTAATTATAGCGTTTCCGAGCATTCTTGTATACTTTATAAAACATATAAGATGACCGATTGTTTGATCATTTACTTCAATTAAGCTATTATACATGTATATATAGTACAGTATATACGTTTTCTTAGTTCATATTTTGTGTTGATGTCACAATTATCTCATCATTTACATTGATATATCACCAGCTTATCAAATACAAGTATAAACAAAAGCGATGAAAACAAAAATATTTGATATATTAATGTATCTTTTCATTCTAGGTGGTGAAGCGGAGAGAAAATCTTCTGTGAAACATACACACTAAATGATTGACTTCAATTTATAAAACCAATGTGCAGTGCTGTATAATACTCATGTGCAGTGTTTATAATGATCATCGACAAGAAACAGATAGGAAATTGCCTGTGTTTTGTCTTTTATTAAATTCTTATGAAGTTTCTTCGAGTGTTATCTTACAAGTTCAAAAGTGTGTAGCTTTGTATTTTGCAAACCATTTAAACTGTTGATAGATTTTTGCTGGTATGATATGGTTTAATTAGATTTGAAAGTATAAATTCACTCAGTATAGATATATGTATTCTTATAAGTTTATGAAATTGTGCATACAATCTATAGCTATGAAATTTCCTTTTGTACATTATTTTCTTTTTTACTTTCTTATACATATTTGTCTTATTTTATTGGTGGTAGGCTAATGTTTGAAGTGTTTATAATGATTTTCTATTACATATCACAGTATGGACAAAAACAGATAGGAAATCGCATGTGTTTTGTCTTTTTATTAAATTCTTATTGAGGTTTCTTGGAGTGTTATCGTACAGTTCAAAAGTGTGAAGCTTTGTATTTTGCAAACAATTTAAACTATTGATAGCTTTTTGCTGGTATGATATAGTTTAGATTTGAAAGTATAAATTCACTCAGTATAGGAATGTAGCCCAGGGTTCTATGATATCACAGTACTTATCGTTTATCTGAAAATATTCAAATATAGACATCACACATCATTGAGATCTTTCTTTTGTCTAATAAGTGAACTTTTTCCTAAACTGTTTGTCAAAAAATTATTTTAAAAGATCAAATTAAAATGACATTTTTAAACTATTTCCAATGTCTGTCATTTGGGTAATTTCAGAGGAGGTTACTATTTTATCACGGTAATTCCCCAAAATGCAAGTATAGAAGGAAACATTGGTCAAAATCTTCCAGTTAAGTTGTGAAAAACTTCCAACTGTTAACTTGCTATAAAATTCAAACTATATGAACAGACGCTATGTCAGAATATATGATTATAACATATTTTAATTGACTATAAAAACAATTAAGGAAAATAGAAGTCAAATATGAAGATTTTATAGAATAGTTTTTCTTGCCTCGAATACATTCATTATTCACAAAATTAGATTTATTGACAGATGAAAATAAATTTAGTGTGCCAGTTTTAAAAACATTAGCATCATCATGTGTTGCTTTTACTAGCAGTCATAGAAAATGTAAATACCGTGATATCATAGAACCCGTGAAATCATAGGAAACGAGTATATATATATATTCTTATAACTTAATGAAATTGTGCAAACAATCTATAGCTATGAAATTTCCTTTTGTGCATTGTTTCCTTTTTTACTTTCATGTATCTTATTTTATTGGTGGAAGTTAAATGTTTGTTATGTATTTCAACACTATTGAAGATATATATGTTTGTGCAGTTTATCTCTGGGGTCAGGATTCCCCAGCCTACAACATTGTAAATGTAAATCTCTTTGAAACTCTTGAAAGCGATATCATTCATTTTCAGTCTCAAGGAACTGTTTTTGTTGCTGGGGACATGAATAGCCGTGTAGCAGTAAAGCCAGATTTTATCCGTTATGATAGAATGAATTCAATTATCGATGGTAGAGATTATGTGCCAGACGTACCTCTATCACGAACATCAATGGATAATCATAGTAACGCTTACGGCAATAACCTACTAGACATTTGTAAATCAACGGAGCTTCGTATTTGTAATGGCCGTTTCCCGAATACAGACTCCTATACGTATTGTGGATATAACGGTAATTCGGTCATAGACTACCTCTTGTGTAAACAGTGTGATTTTGTTTCCATTAAAACTTTTGAATTGTCTGACTTTAACATGTTTTCTGATCATAAGATCATTCAGTTTCGTGTTGCGGCGAATACCTGCGTTAAATCTTATATTGAGGAATCTTCCAATGATAAGATAAGATGGAATCCGGACAAACGTGATGAGTACAGGAGAGGGCTTATATCGAAGTTACCACAATTTAATTCAATATTTGACACTGTAGTAAATCACAATGCTTCAACTGTGAACAGAGTAGTGTGCGAGTTTGTAGGTCTTATTAACGAGGTCGCAAAACCGTTATTCCTGGAAAAAATACGATCAAGAGACTTTTATTCAGGAACGCACAAATTCAAAAGGAAATCTGTGGTTAAAAAATCGGAGTGGTTTGATCAATCTTGTTATGATAAAAAACATGATTATTTAGAGGCTTTAAAGTGTTTTAATCAATCTCCGACCGATGAAAATAGATTATCCCTTATGTCAAGAAAACGGGTGTACAAAAAATGGATTAAAACAAAAAGATTGCAATTTAAGTCTGTTAAAATGAATGACATTGAGAATTTGAAAACGAAAAACCCACGTGAGTTTTGGAAATTCTTTTCAAAAAAGAAAATTTCAAAAGGTAGTGATTTATCAGCAAATGACTTCAGTGCCTATTTCAAGAATTTAATAGACGAAATCAATATTACATGTGACAGCGAAAGTGAAGAGTTTTGTCGGCAGGAGTTGTCGCCAGATGACCCCATATTTGAGGAGCTTGATACTATTATAACTATTGCAGAGGTACAGCATGCAATTAAGCATCTTAAGCGCGCGAAGGCGGGCTCACGTGATGATTTGATTAATGAATATTTCATTGAGGCTGGGGATATCATTTCTTCACATTAATTTTGACTTGTTTAATCTTATATTTTCGACTGGTCATTTTCCGTCAACTTGGATAGAGGGGATTATCATTTCATTGTTCAAAAAGGTGATGAAAACATTGTGGATAATTACAAGGGAGTTACGTTAGTAAGCTTGCGTGTTAACAAAGATTTTAACGTCTGTAATAAATACTAGACTAACAGACTGGTGCGCGGCAAATGACATCATCACCGATTCGCAATTTGGATTTAAAAACAGAAGCAATATTTTGTCTTCACGGATTAATTGAAAATAGTTTAATTGTGGAAAATGTTTTTATGCAACATTCATTGATATGAAAAAATGCTTTGACAGCGTATATAGAAATGCACTGTGGCTTAAGATATATAAATTTGGTGTTAATGGTAAAATGTTAAGAATCGTGAGATCAATGTACGATCAAGTGTGGTGCCGCGTTAAACACTTAAATAAAATACTCCGAATTCATGGAAATACTAGTAGGTCTAAAGCAAGAAGAAATATGTTCTCCATTATTCTGGTCAATGTTTGTAGAAGACTTAGAATTATACTTAAGCTCTCGTCCAGGCAGTGGTCTTGATTTCGGAGATATTACGTTAATCCTCTTTCTCTACGCCGACGATATGGTTTTAATGTCTAACTCGATAGAAGATCTTCAACAAAGTTTAAATGACCTTCACACATACTGTGATCGATGGGGATTAAAAGTGAACATTGACAAAACAAAAGTGATGGTATTTCGACGGAGGGGAAGACTGAAAAATAGCGAACAATGTACTTATGACGGAAATCGTCTGGAGATAGTGGATGACGTTAATTACTTAGGCACGGTCTTTAATTCTAACGGTCGTTTTGATTCGAATGTACAAATGCTAGTTGGAAAATCGCTTAAAGCAATGAATACCTTAATATCAAATACAAAGGACTTTGATTTTACACCAAAAACTATGTGCAGCCTTTTTGACGCTTTTTGTGTTTCTATTTTAAATTACTCTGCTGAAGTATGGGGTTATACAAAATGTCAAGAAATGGAGAGAATACATCTTAAATTTTGCAAACATATTCTAAATGTTAAATTGTCCACTAGTAATGTTGGTGTATACGGTGAACTTGCACGTTTTCCTTTATATATTAATCGCTATATCAGAATTATTAAATTCTGGCTTAAAATTTTGAATACGAAAAATTGCGTAATTAGAAAAATTTATGATTTGATGCTGGAAGATGAAAAGGTAAACTGGGCTCATAACGTAAAGAAATTATTATATAGCTATGGATTCGGCTATATTTGGGAATCACCACAAAATGTTGACATTAACTGTTTCATTACATGTTTTAGGCAGCGTTTAATAGATACTTTTGTGCAAGACTGGAATAGTAGTTTGACTAACAATAGTGTTTTATTTGTGTATAAGAATGTTAAACAAGACTTTGTGTATGAGGATTACCTGAGTGTTGTTAAATCAAAAAAGTGTAGACAAGTTTTAACAAAGTTTAGACTCTCTTCACATAAACTACGTATTGAGTCCGGTAGATACGGACAGAATAGGATAGAAAGGAGCGAGAGAGTTTGCGAAGTATGTGGATCAAATGACATTGAAGATGAATATCATTTTATTTTAACATGTACAAAGTATAAAAGTGTAAGAAAACGATATATAGACAATTATTTTTACGAACGTCCTAGTGTATTTAAACTCACTCAGTTGTTTAAATCAAAGAATGTACACACTTTGAACAATCTAGCTTGCTATCTGAATTGTTCATTGAAAATAAGGAGTAATTTGTTAACATAGTCTCATTGTATAAATTATTTGAGTCTGTAATAGTATTATATTCCAAAGAAGTACTATAGTTTATTGCTTTTGTTTCAAAATAATATTGCTCTAGAAATACTTAGTAGCCAAGTGCATTTCTCTTGCCGGGATAATAATTGTTCGATATCTTAAGAAAATAATATAATTGTAATCCGACTTTGTATAAATAACCATTATATTATATCACTCTCATGATAAATAATTATGTACTGATGTGTATATATATTTATATAAGAATATTCATACTTTTGTAATGTTTATGTGATACCTTGATATATACTGTATTTCTGTTAAGATGAGGAGCATATGCTCAAGTCTGAAAATAATAAAATATTTGTTCTGTTCTGTTCTGTTCTGTAATGATGCTTTATTCTATAATAGTAGATTTTATTTCATTTGTGTTGTTTTGTATATACATATTTTTCCTTTCTGCGAGTCCTCTGATGTTCGTATACTGACTTTTTTAATGTACGATTTTGAAAAAAAAAACGGAAAAAAGTTTAACAGGTTTCTTTTATTGATTAAAAATCATGTACATTTTTTATTTAACTAGGGTTTTTTTTGTGTTGCATTACCCTAGATTTCATTTTCTTCTGATGTCTGTTTTCGCTATTTTTTCTTTTTCTTTCTTATAAAAATAAATACTTGTATAAGCAAATGTCCATTTGTTGTATTTCATTCCAGTGGCGTGAACGTCAGTGATCGAGTGACACTTTGAATCACTTTCCCGTATACTCGAATCCAGCGAGAGAACAAAAATGCTGATAAAGCAATGAAAGGCAATTCGAGTTCTTCCCCCATTAGTAAAGCTGAAATGTCGCCATGCCACCAATATCGACAATGTTACTTAACCCAACGAAAATAAAAGTTATCTTAGTCATGACCATATAATGCCGCTCATTTGGATTCAAACATCATTCTAACCTTCCTTTAACAACAATTATGTCCGATATCTGTTGGTTCGTTTAATAATCATAAATCAAATTTCCGCCTCAATATTAATTCACATATTCAATTAAAACCTTTTGAAGCTGTATAAATTTCATTTTCGAAAACACCTTACCTAACCTAATACTTTGACAAAGGAGACTTATTTTTTTATACTGAAAGCATGGAAAGCAGCTCTGACAAATGGTCATTCCAATGGCATTAACAGTGAATGTGGCACATTTTCAAAGTACTTCAGATATTTAAAAATGTGTTCAAAGTTGATAACAGACTCTGGACCATCCGTCATGCCTTTATATCTCAACAGAAGTGTAAACCTTTGCTTGTTGTAAAACTGAAGGCTTTTGTTTACAAATTACACAATGTTATAACTTTATGAGGTTGAGAAGACACATTTAATTAAATTCAACATTGGCTTTGGGGGCTATCGACATTTTAATAACGTAGCAATTTATCTTATTAAAGCAGTCGACAAACACCGCTATTTATCCAGACCTATTTTACTGACTTTCTATTTCTTTAAAAAACTTTTCTCACAATATAAGCGGTACACAAAATTTAATTAAACACTTTAACATAGTATGAAATAAGCTCGGCATATTTATGATAGTTGTCATTTATTTTGCTTTTCTATCTGTTCTAATGAGTATATTATAAAGAAATAAACCATTTTCTTATTTCTATGTGCACATTTACTTACAAGATCATTTTTATCCTTCATTCTTAAGATAAAAAGGATAACCATACACGTTAGAATATTAATGAAAATTAATTAATTATTACTTAAATGATGGAACAATACAAAGATCTTGCATTAATTAAAGTTGTATATTTTATGGATAGAGTTTCTTTCACTTTATGAGTCAATCGTGCCCACTATCTTCACAGAAATGTATTGACGAGTAAGCCGTCATGTCTCATAGCATAAA